CGGGAGAAAATATAGAGATTAAATCTGGGCAAAAGAAAAAAAAAGCGCTACTCTCTCTTTAGTCCCGGTTGGTGTTATCAACCGAGACTAGAGATTCCTCTCTTTTTTCCCGGTTGGTAACCGGGACTAAAGATCGATCTTTAGTCCCGAGTATTTGAACCGGGACTAAAGATAGCGATCTTTAGTCCCGGATTCGTACTCCCGGTTAGAAAACCGGGACTATAGGGGAGTTACCAACCGGAAGTAAAAAGGCTTTCTCCACCAGTGTAAACTACTGTAACCCACCGATATTTGGGCCGTTAAAAAATATTTTAAAAAAACATAGTTAAAAAAAAAAAATCTTTGAGTGCGGGTTAAGGACCTAAGTACCAAGATGTCAAAATACCTTCCCTTTATCCCAAAAACCTCCGACCAAAATTTCATCTGAGATTCGAATTTTGAAATTCAAATATCTCTCAAACCCTTCCTCTAAAGTCCTCGGCTCAAATTTCCTCCAGCCAACCCTAGCTAGAATCCTCATAAAAAATTGCCCAAATTTCCCTGAGTTCAAACATAAAGTTTGAATTCAAATCCAATTTCAAATCACCAATTTTCTCCTTTCAAGCTTGAAAATTGCCAAACTTCACTGCTCCAATGGGATGTCCCGCTTCCAGTTCGTTCATCTTTTGGAATCGTTGGAGCTCTCAGCAATTGTAATACTACCTTGAGCCAATCTGCCCGTGATGAAATCAAATATGCAAGTGCCAGGATCACTATGCCGTTGTCTCATCTAGCTGATACTTGTGCCTTCATATCTCCTAATGCGTCCCATGCCAAGCTAAAAGTTTATAGATTCGATTGGACTGGAGAACGAGAAGGATGATGAGAAGAAGAAGAACGAGTAATGAATCTTCGCGGCAACGAAAGGAAATTATCTCTTCTAACTTTAAAACTTTAAGTTAAATAGACATGGGTCCCTCACAGATGGAACCCATTCTCATAGGCTCACATGTCAGCGGACACATATTCACATATTCCTCTAACTTAGAGGAGCCTCCCCCTAATGAAAGTGTAATATAGGATCAGAAGCAAGACTTGTGGATGTAATGTCGTGTAAATATAAGACGACTGCTAGTGACTGCCGAGCAGGGTTAACAAAACCGATCGATTTTCATGAAACTGCCGGTGATCGGTTTTGTGGATGAAATGTTCACCAAAAGTCGTTGATTTTTACTGTTTTTTATCAGTTCCGGCCAGGAGCGGCTTTTTATTTAAAACGAAAAGGTGAACCCTGTTACCGAGTACTGAGTTACTGATTATAGCTAGGTAGGTAAATGATTGGGGGTAAAGATGATCATGAGCACACAGGGGAGTGAAGAGAGCTGGATAATATTAGGTGTACAAAGTTAGGTGCACAATATCATAGATGCATGAAGACAGAGAAGAGATTAAAATAGGAGAATCAGAGTTGTCTGAACTAATTATCTAAAAAGGGGCTAGGTAGTAACAATGTATACAAGAGGAGAGAGCAGAAGACTGGGAGTAAATTCAGTAAAAGGAAAAAGGAGATTGATAATAAAGAGACAAGTTTAGCTAGCTAGCAACACTGGACTGAATGCTGAAAACCGACATGTGCAGCTGACCATATTAATCTTTTATGAACACACAAATAGACAGTTTTTCACCTATAGAAGCAAATGTGCAACAAGTGCTTCAGAAGCCAACATTGAAAGAAACTAGATAGCTCACATCATATATCCAAATGGTAAACCAGGGTTTTCACTTTCGTTTCAACCAAAATTTCTGAATTTCGGTGTCACCAGAATTTTCAAAAATTTCGGAACTTTTTTTCACAAAATTATTTCATAGTTTAATCAATTTTAACTTACTTTGAATGAATTTTGACCAGAATAAAAAAATGACGGGCGAGATATTTACTTGCTACCAGTGAGGAGGGTTTTTTTCTTTTTCAAAATTATCGAAATTGCACCCCCTGCGGTAAGTGGGCTCTCATCAGCCATCTCTTCTCGATATGTAGTAAAACGTGCAAACTTGTACACCAACCAATAAACTTGCTTTGTATAAAAAGATTTGCTCCAGTCCAAGAAAAAGTATCTTAAGGCACTGGTAACTCACAATACTAAATCGTTTCCAATCATTAAATCTAGCTAGGCAGGATGGGTATTGTTAGACCCAACGATCAGAAACGATTTGATACCGTGAGGTACCAATACCTCGAGATATTTTTTGTTGGACCGGAGAAAATCATGCGGCTTTTGGAGAACTCACTGGCATCTATACTGCTTTGTCCAGAATGCCTCCATGCCATCGTCGCAGTTCCATCTCCGCACATCCCGACACTTCCCATGCCGAACCAGTTGTGACCAAGGCAAGAACAAGAACAAGGAGGTCATCAAACTTGATCAAATAAAGAAAACACACGCAAATCCTCAGGCAGCTCTTGGTGGGTTGGCTCACGAACATGGCGGTCTGTCCTAGTTGAGACGATGGCACCGCTATTCCCGTGCCAGCGACGCCACTGCCAACATCGTCGGTGGATGAAAGAGAGAGGAGAGAGGAAGACAGTGAGGGGAAGAGTGGAGAGTCGCTGACATGTAGGTCCCATATTCCACGTCAGCAAAAACCGCTTACCAAATCACTCAAGAAGTCTATTCACACCGGTTTTTGAAGATGAGGAATCCTTATACCCAGTTTTGCGGTTGAGGGAATTGAATCGACGAAGGGCAATAGATGAGGGAGCTAAAATAGACTTATTCCTAAAGTTGAGGGACGACAGAGAATTTACTCCGCAACCAAATAGCTAATGAAACCCACTAGCTATGCAACTGAGCTTTCTTGATGGGCCCTATGGGCCGTTCCATTTCGGGCCCATGAGCTGGATTAGTGAAAAGGACACTGAATAAGAAGTATGTAAAGGGTGTTCAAGTGTGAACCATTAGGAATTTTTCATGGCCGAACTGTCCTCAACGGGGTTCACGTGTGAATGTGTGATTATACTAATCAAATTATTGAATTTTCATTACGTACATTTTCCAACGTAATCACATAAATCGAGGATATTGAGTGACAGTGCTAGCCGGGTTTAATTATAGTACTATCTCCACGAATACTACTCCATTTGTTTTTATTTTAAAATATAAGAATTCCTGCATACCTTTTTCAAAATGAGCAATTTTATGGTATTTGAGGTTTACTATTTTTTTATTATAAATTTAGTATCTCTTGGTATCTAGGTACTACTACTAAATTTTACATTAAATTTTTGCTATCTTATGGTACGTTGTCAAGAATTGTAAAATTGCTCGTATTTACGGCTAATTATTCTTTCAGTGATAGGCGACGTACCCGTCGACAGCGAGGCGCCTGTGGTGACTTCGTCAATCTCAAGACATGCCGGCCCAGTCTTCTGGAGGTGCTCATAGGGGTAGGGTGTACGTGTGTGCGTTCATAGGGGTGAGTATGCGCACGTTGTGAGCGCCTGCGTTTGTACTGTGTTTCTCAAAAAAAAATACAATATGTAAAAGTATAGAAATCATCCTTATAATATTTTAGTACGAAGGAAGAACTTTGCAATCGAATAATTGATGTTGTTGCTGTATGACGACTTGCAAGGACGGACAAGGAGATGAAACCAAAGATGGCTTCCTGACAAGGAGCTCTCCCGGAAAGAGATGGCTGTTTTCTCCATGGTGCTGTTGCAATTAAGGTATAATTCTCTCTCGTAAATGCCAAAAGCATGGTCCAAAATCAGGTTATCCCGAGTAGTATGCAACAAGCTAACCTATCTTTCCTGCATCTCTGTTTTCAGAGAATGAGCAGCGTGAAGGACACAATAGAAAAAAAAAAAAAAGGTCTGCACTGATGCAATCCAATCCTATCTATGTCCAGCTCTCTTTATATTGGGGCCACGATGCTCTGCCGGTATTAGGCCTTTTTTTGTAGCAGACAAATGTGAACAGTAGCAGCTAAATGGAATAAAGGAAGAGATCGAATAAAGGGCTATTTCAATTTGGCACGTGATACCCTGTTCTTTCTTTTATGCTTAACATGACACACTACTTGTACTGCTCCGTATTGCTATATCCGTCTCAAAATATTAACTTTCGAGGTTAGACTAGGATATAAAAAAATTATGTGAAATTAAATAGACGAATGTTGTAATTGGCTGAAAAGACAATATATGTGATGAAATTGTTATATTTGAAGATGCATTTTAAATGTTCAAAGTTACTTATATTTTGAAACGGATAAAGTATTAAAGTTTGATAAATTTATTTAGCATTCAAGAACTAAAAAAAAACTATCGTGTTATTTTGACATACCCAATGTAGGTTATTGTGTGAGTTCTTTTGGGCTGTGTTCTTGGGTGAGAACTAGGAACCTCAACTCCCGCATGAAAAACGGAGCGATGGATTAGTCCATGATAAATTAAGTATCAGCTAAAAATACTTAAAAAAATGGGTTAGTATGATTTTTTAAAGCAGCTGTCCTATAGAATTTTTTTTTACAAAAATTACACCGTTTAGCATTTTGCAAAGCGTGCACGCGGAAAACAAGAGAGTAGAGGATGGGAACAAGCAATGCCGAACACAGCCTTAAGATCCTAAATGGTACAGTTTCTCCGAAAAATTTTCTTCATCAGCATTTGTTAGAAAAGTTTCTAATATTTTTTCGTGAACGCGTAAAAGGATTGCACGATAATATATTAGATGAAATAGAGTTTTAAAAGTTTCTAATATTTATAATGTATTCGTTTGTGTCATCGATGTCGCAAACTCAGTTGCATTGCATCCCTTATATCCATCAGCTCTTTACAACACCTTAATCCTACAAGTGTCAGGTTGGACGGCCAAGATGAGCCGTAGTGATCATCCGACGGTCGAGATCCTTTCCCTGCAACGGCTACGGCTCGGATCACCCCATCCACGAAAAATATCTCCCTTTTTTTTTTGCGGTTTCGCCATGGCTTTCTCTCTCTCTCTCTCTCTCACCACGAACGCCATGGCCACGCAAAAAAATTCCTCCCTTGCTCCCGTCTCCATCGCGCACTGCCCTGTCCCTCTCTCCTCCTCTCTCTCTCTCTCTCTCCATCGCTCTCACTTTCTCTCTCCTCATGTGTGTGACAATGGCGATGCACACATGCACACACGCGCGCGCTGCTGCTGCTGCTGATGCTGTCGCAGTACACTCCCTTGTCCTGGTTGCAGCTGAGAGACTTGCTGTAGCAGTAGGTGTACTTGTCAATTCGCCCCCAAGCATTCTGCTCCATCAGTGAGCGCGAGAGCTCGGCCTCCTCTTCCTCCTCCTCGCATGCCCACCTCAGAATCATCTCTGGTTGTGGTGAAACCGATGGTGATGATGATGGTACGAGCACTGTAGCTTCGATCCAGGTCTAGAATCGCATGTTCTTCCCCCACGCTTTCTTGGATTGCGGCCAAGAATCGATGCGAGCGGCGCCAAGATTTCGTTCTTGGAGCGGGTCACTCTAGTGCGGCGACGACCAGGGGCAATGGGCGGCGCGGCGGCGGCGGCGGCGGTGTTGGTGGTGCTGTGGCTGGCGGTGGCGGCGGCGGGGGCGGGGGCGGGGGAGCGGCCGAGCGAGGTGTCAATCGGCGCGCTCTACACCTACGACTCGGTGATTGGGCGCGCGGCGGGGCTCGCCATCGAGCTCGCCGTCGGCGACGTCAACGCCGACCGGACCGTGCTGGCCGGGACCACGCTCAGCCTCATCTCCCAGGACACCAACTGCAGCGGGTTTCTTGGAACAATCGAAGGTCAGTTCATTGCTTCTTGATTATGCTAGCTGTGATGTGGAATTCTTTGAAAAAGTAATGGTTTTGATTGGACCCTTTTGATTTTCCATGGACTCGAATTTTGAGTGAGCTGATGAGTTCTCCTCCACTGACAGAGTGACAGTATTCTAATCTGATTGGATTGGTATTGGGCTTTATCCCAATTACCAACCAGCTAGGTACAGTTAGAAATTTGATGAAGAAAATAGTGTTAAGCTTAATTTAGTAGCTGAATTTGCAAAATGAGTGAAATGATGATGAGTGAGTGAGTTGCTGTGACCCAAGAAAACTAATTTGGGAAGAAGTTTCAATCTTGTTTCTGGACTGGTTCATCTATCTAGTCCCCTTTGCCCTTTAGCAACTTTAGCATAAGACTCACTGATAGTGGTGGAGATGAGGGAAGCACAATCTGACCACCATAGTCCATACTGTTCCTGGTATGGTGGTGGATGTAAATTATTGCAACTGCAATCAGCAAGCCCTTTTATAAAATCAAAAGTTAGTTGCTACTTGCTACTAAACGTCAGAACTTACACGTTGGAGTTGATTATTGGCATTGCCTAGTTGCTTTCGATAACATATTGTGCAGTACTTGGCCTTTGGTCACATGTATGAAGAAACTTGTTCCATTCGATTCGTTTTAAAGTAATCATATTGGTTATTTCATTTCACTTGTAGTAGATAATTTAGTTATGTTGTCAGTGTCTTTCCTTTTTATATATTCACTTCTGTTGTTGGGCACAACAAATTCAGAGGAACTAAATGTTGACTAGTGACTATGACAAAAAGAATTCAGCTGTGAAGCATTATTTGCACTTTGATGTCTTAGTATATAACTTGGTCAAGCTTCGTTTAACCTCTAATTTAATACAATAACTTGCTTGCACGCGTTTTGCATGATTCCTCAATAATGCTTTAGTTGGAAATATTTGAAACAACTGTTTTGTTGAACTTTTGATGGCGTTGTCCTTTCTTGAGAATTGCGCTAACCTGATTGTCCTGGCAATGAAAGGAGAACAGACAAAAAGCATACTGGTACAATGACATCTCAAGTGCCATAACTCATGAGATTGCTTATGTTCCTTATGATACAAGAAACACATTAAAGAGCACCCAATTCTTTACTTTATTCTCATGCCACATTCTTTTTTCTTTTTGTGGCATGTGTCGGCAACAGCATAACTAAATTATTTGTGTGAGCATCATCAAAAACAGATATTCAAGACACCAATAGCCATATTTTGAACCATAACTGCTTTGCCTATTGCTTTTAGACAAAAAAAAATATTTGCATAATACAAATCAATAGTAGTATCTTATACTATCTGAGCAGAATGAAACTGTTGCCGGTTCTTTCTTTACATACAAATTCAGCTTCAATTTGTCAATTATTATAGCCGGTAATCACTTGAATTGTCCATGAACTGATTCATAAAGCATTATTTTGTTACAGCATTGCAGTTAATGGAGAAAAACGTGGTTGCTGTCATTGGTCCACAATCCTCTGGAATAGGCCATGTTATTTCACATGTTGTTAATGAGCTACATGTTCCTCTTTTATCGTTCGCAGCAACTGATCCAACACTTTCTGCATCAGAGTATCCGTACTTTTTAAGGAGTACCATGAGTGACTACTTCCAAATGCATGCCGTTGCTAGCATCGTTGACTACTATCAATGGAAAGAGGTCACTGCTATTTTTGTTGATGATGATTATGGGAGAGGTGCGGTGGCAGCCCTTAGTGATGCGCTTGCATTAAGTCGGGCAAGAATTTCATACAAAGCAGCGGTTCCTCCAAATTCAAATGCAGCTACAATCAATGATGTACTGTTTAGAGCAAACATGATGGAATCAAGAGTGTTTGTTGTGCACGTCAATCCTGACGCAGGGATGAGAATATTTTCTATAGCTAACAAGCTCCGGATGATGGACAGTGGCTATGTCTGGATAGTAACCGATTGGCTAGCTGCTGTCATGGACTCCTCCATGTCTGGAGATCTTAAAACCATGAGCTATATGCAAGGATTAATTGTTCTTCGTCAGCACTTCCCTGATTCTGAAACCAAGAGGGAGTTCATATCTAAATGGAACAATGTAGCTCGTAATAGGAGCATTGCTTCTGGCTTGAACTCATATGGTTTTTATGCTTATGACTCGGTTTGGATTGTTGCCCGTGCTATCGATCAACTTCTCGATAATGGGGAGGAGATAAATTTCTCTGCAGATCCAAGGTTGCATGATTCAATGAACAGCACACTGCGTCTCTCAGCCCTCAAGTTATTTGATAGTGGTGAGCAGTTGCTACAGCAACTTCTCCTCACAAACTTTACAGGCCTAACAGGCCAGCTCCAGTTTGATTCAGACCGCAATTTGGTACGCCCAGCATATGATATCCTTAATATCGGTGGTTCTGTGCCCCATTTGATTGGCTATTGGTCTAATTATTCTGGACTTTCTGTTGCTGCTCCTGAAATTCTATATGAGAAGCAACCAAATACATCTACGAGTGCGCAGCGGCTTAAAAATGTGGTATGGCCGGGTCACTCTGCTTCTAAGCCTAAGGGCTGGGTTTTTCCAAACAATGGGCAGCCTCTGAGAGTTGGTGTTCCAAATAAACCAAGCTTTAAGGAGTTAATGTCACGTGATACTGGCCCTGATAATGTGACTGGGTACTGCATTGAGATATTCAACGCAGCAATTAAACTTCTCCCGTATCCAGTTCCTTGCCAATTCATAGTAATTGGGGATGGTTTAAAGAATCCTAACTATGATGACATTATTAACATGGTTGCTGCCAATGTATGTCCTTGGTCTTTGCTCTTTCTTCTTCTAAAAGTTTGATTTTATTCCTCTGATTTGTATTTATTTTCTTGTAGTCCCTTGATGCTGCTGTAGGCGACTTTGCTATTGTGAGAAACAGGACAAAGATTGCAGAATTCTCACAGCCTTATATTGAGTCAGGGCTTGTGATAGTAGTGCCGGTGAAAGAAGCAAGTTCAAGTGCCTGGGCTTTCCTTAAACCCTTCACATTAGAAATGTGGTGTGTAACAGGTGTTCTTTTTATTTTTGTCGGAATAGTTGTTTGGATTCTTGAACATCGGACCAATGAGGAGTTTCGAGGCTCTCCAAGACGGCAGATGATAACAATATTTTGGTACGTTTCCGTTGCTCCTCTTAAGGATATGTCTATTTTTTGTTAAAAAGAAAAGAATTTGGTTATATCATAGGTCAGCATATCTTTCTGGAACCAGAACTCAGACTGGGAGCATTTGTGAAACCTTATTCAATGGAGGCAAAAAAAAAAACACCTTTATTACTTTTTTTTTATTCGTGAGCAACAAATAGTTTAATATTTTTATCTTGTTAATTTGTGTAAATATTAATAGTAAGAAAGTAACAGATTATTTTTTTTCTTCCTTTTCAGGTTTAGTTTCTCAACAATGTTTTTTGCACACAGTAAGTCCATTTGATGCATTTTATGACATCGTGTTAAACTATTCCATGTTTTCCCATTTCAATGGACTTATATATCATCCAACTCTCTTCAGGACAGAACACTGTAAGTGCGCTTGGGCGGTTTGTGCTGATCATATGGCTGTTTGTCGTGCTGATCATCAATTCAAGTTATACTGCTAGTCTGACGTCGATTCTCACAGTCCAACAGCTTGCAACTGGAATAACTGGGCTTGACAGTTTGCTTTCAAGTGCTTTACCTATTGGATACCAGGCTGGAAAGTTTACTAGAAATTACCTGATTGAAGAGCTCAATGTTCCTGAATCTCACTTGGTACCGCTAAACACAATCGACGAGTACGCTGATGCCCTTAATCGTGGACCCAAAGATGGTGGTGTTGCTGCAATTGTTGATGAGATGCCATATATCGAGATCTTCCTGTCATACCATTGTAACTTCAGAATTGTAGGACAGGAATTCACAAAGGAAGGATGGGGATTCGTATGTTCACTATCCTTCATCCTTCACCTTTCCTGGGCACTCCTGCCCTTGCATCTAAATTCTGAACTAAGCATAATCCCCATGTCTTGTACTGTGGACGGAACAATTTAATCTGCTTTGATGTTTTCCTTTGCAGGCATTCCAGAGAGATTCTCCTCTTGCTGCAGACATGTCAACTGCAATCCTTCAACTTTCAGAGAGTGGCCAGCTACAAAGAATACATGACGAGTGGTTCTCGCGGTCGAGCTGCAGCTCTGATGACAGTGAAATGGGAGCAACCAGGCTCGGCCTCAGAAGTTTTTGGGGCCTCTTTCTTATGTGCGCTCTGATATGCGTATTCGCTCTCGTGATGTTCTTTGCAAGAGTCTGCTGGCAATATTCCAAGTACTCAGGTTCTGAAGAACCTGATGAGCCCAAAGACGATAGTGCTGGCACCGCCGAGATTGCAGCTGAAGCCGTTGCTGAAATGCAGCGGAGGAGGCCAAAGCGTCTTGGTAGCTTCAAAGAACTCATGCAGTTTGTTGATAAAAAGGAAGAAGAAGTCAGGAAATCGATGAAGCGGAGACCAAGTGAGAAAGATAATCAGGGTGTTGGTTCTTCAGATGCGCAGTCAGTGGCTTAACCGTAGAAGATTCTTTCAGGTTCAGTCCTTCCTTCGTTCTGCACATCACAAAAATGAAAAACATACTAAAGTAGATAACAGCAGTATACTTGTAGAATCTAGAAATCCATTTTTTCTCAGGATTACTCGAATTATGTCTGATATATACTCTTAATATGTTCAGCAATTTTCCCATTTTTTTCCCATTTGGGAATGCCATGAACTGTGAAAAGTGTATCTGTTTAGGTGCTTCTCTGAAGCACATGTATGACTTCTCTTTTGCTTTATTTTTTTTATCTTTGACACCATGAATTTGTGGATTACTGAATTGCCTCGCTGGCATTGGATATTTGTGATCAAAAGTAAGAACTACAAGCTCCATACTATCATGTGAAACATTACTTAGAAGACAAGAAAAGAAATAGACATCCAACTGTATTTTTTCTTCTGAATCTTTATTACCTGCAAAATAACCTGAATTATGAACTGAGTTTTCAGGAAGGGAAACAGGCTAGCTGAGTAGTCATCACTTAACCCAGATCTGGCCAGTCTTGCGTGGGCACAAGAACCATAATGATTCTCACTACCTTTCTGGTCCTGAATCAGATAACACGGCATACTAGTAGTCTAGTACTACTAGTACTTGTTAGCATAACTAACACCCCTACTCCTAAACAAACAAGTACTACCCTTTGTTTCATATTGCAAGTCATTTTAATTTTATCCTAAGTCAAATTTCTCTAACTTTAACCAATTTTATAAAAAGCAAATACACCAATATCTACAATAATATATAAATGTACCATCAAGACATATATTATGGTGAATTTAACAAAATTAGTTTGATGTTTAAACATTGGTGAATTTTTCCATATACTCGGTAAAAAACTTACTGAAGTTTAACTTAGGATAGAACTAAAAATGACTTTAATATGGAACAAAGGGAATAGAACCCTATAGAAGCGCTTCCTGGGATCAATGTTGGATTGGAGACAAAAAACTTCATCTCTCCCAACCATGGTTTATAAAACTGCACGGTTACCACGTGCGGTAACCTTCTCAGTTTTTAAACCACGATATACCTCGCGATAACCGTGTAGTTTTCACGGTAACCACCAAATCATGGTGTGGCGGTAACCCCATCAAAACGGGTTGATAAATCCTACTCCCAACTGATTGAATTAAGTAATGCACTAGTCACACCAGCTACCAGTGATCATGAACAAGGCAAGGATCACCACTAGCACTTTGTGCATTTCTGCAGCTCGGTCGTCAAGCCTGCTGGATCCAAGGACAGGCAAGTTACTCCGGTTCCCCTTGCACTCAAGTGACTCAACTACCAGCAGCCGGACAGTTACAGTGGCAACCTGCTAGTACTCGTACCGTGCCTTGTCTACTAAAGCTGTTTCATGTTCTGATATCTCCATTGCTGTTATTACCACTAACGAAACGAATTAGAGTTCTTTCCTGAATTGTCTTTGGAATTCAAGTACCCACATCTCCATCAAATCGCAACAGAAAGCTCTTGATTCATTCAGCCGATGGATCAGTCGATCGCCTTTATCGCCATGGACAGCGACGGCGAGAAGACGGCGTGTATGTGTGTATGTGTTCAGTAACCGATTTCGCTCGCTGCCTCTAACGCCGAAATGTTGGGAAGTGGTTCCGCCTTTGTGTCAACTTTTAAAGAGACAGTGAGTGATAAAACACAGTGATCCGAACACACTAGCAATATCCTCACAATGCCTTTTTTTTTAATATATAATTGATTTCACGATGCCTTTTTTTTATATATGATTGATTTCTAAAAGCCAGCATCTGCATCCAACCAGACGTACACCGTCAAAACGATACAGAATATTTAGACTCACATCAACACAAAAATCGTTCACCACAAAGCGCTTAGACTCGAGAAACATTAAAAAGGGTATCTTACAACCATAAGATAGCACACATTTAAGACACCAAGCTAAAGCTTCCAGTTATCTTCTCATGTTCCACCTATATTTTGGAACTCTTTGCTTCCAAGATCCTGCATCCATTTTGGAACGCATGAAAATTTCTCGATTTCAAATGTCATCGAAATAAAACATTGTCGTGTGAAATTTTTGCGTTCCAGCTGACGAGCCCGAAACAACTTAATTTAGGATCACTTTAATTTATAGGAAAAACAAAGGATAATTTTGAAAGATTTTAATACTATAGAAAAATTCCTATGAAAACCTTTACAATAAAGCATTGGATCATATCCTATCCTTTGGAATTCCTATGAAATGAATGATCCTATAGAGATTTTAGAGAAAATTTAGCAAGAGTTTTAACTTATTGAAAATCTTCCTTTGAGTCTATCACTCTCATCTGATTCATGCGTTTCTCCTGCGGTCTAATGAAAAGGACATTAATGTGTTTTTTTATGTGTTTTAAAATTCTCTTTTTTTGCACTTGAATTCTTGTTAGAACATGTGTTTTTTCCATTCCTATGGTTTTCAGTTTCTACTATTCAAATGACTCTTAGGCTGTGTTTAGTTCACACCAAAATTGGAAGTTTGGTTGAAATTGGAATGATGTGATAGAAAAGTTGGAAGATTATGTGTGTAGGAAAGTTTTGATGTGATGGAAAAGTTGGAAGTTTGAAGAAAAACTTTGGAACTAAACAAGCGGGTCAAATGAGTAAAATGTATTGGCGGTTCTTAAACTTATAGGGTTGTGTCATATAAATCCCTAAACTCTCAAAATGTATATCCAAATCCCAGAACTTGTCAAAGTGTATCATCTAGGTCCTAAATTGACACATCCCCTCTAAGATCCTATGTGACGCTGATGTGGCATGCCACATTGACGTGACGTGTCTTTTTTTTTCTTATTTTCTTTTTCGTTTTCTTCTCATTCTTCTTTTTTTTCCTTTCTTCTTATAGAAAGGAGAAGAAAGGGAAAAAAGAGAAGGAAAAAAAGGAAATATTTTAAATGGGTCGCATTTGTCAGTTAAAATGATGCCACGTCATGTCCGTGTGGCATGCCACATCAATACCACGTAGGATTCTAAAGGGGTTGTGGCGATTTGGGACCTAGATGACACACTATGACAAGTTCTGGGATTTGGATATGCATTTTGAGAGTTTAGGGACCAAGATGACACACCTCTACAAGTTTAAGGACCGCTCGTACACTTTACTCAAATGAGTAAAATACATTAGAGCATCTCCAAGAGCCTAGCCAAATGGCTTTCCAAGTTAAAATTTGGCTAACTTGCACAAAAAATCTACTCCAACAGACTAGCTAAATACCTCTCCAAGCCATCTGGCTGGCTAAATTCCCCACCAGACTAGCCAAAGTTGGCCAGCCAAAACCGGCTAACCATATGTGGGACCCACGCCTGTTTCCCCCTCTCTCTCCACGCGGCACGCACCAATGATGAGGGCGCCACCGCCCCGTCGTCGCGCGGCCAGCCCCCGCCGCCCCGTCGTCATGCGGCCGGCCACCGCCACCGCCACCGCCGAGCTCCGCCTCGAGCTCCGCCGCCGCCCCCTTCTAGATCCGCCGTTGAGGTCGTCGCGAGCCGCCGCCGCCGAGCTCCGCCCCGAGCGGCGTCAAGGTCGTCGTCGCGAGTCGCCGGCGTCTCGCCTCCCGCCTCCCCGCGTCGCCGCACCACCGCACGCGACCGCCCACCTCCTCGCATCGCCACACCACCGCCGGCGAAGAGAGCTCCCTCCCTGCCTGCCGCACGAATTTGCCGTCAGAGCGGCACCGGCGGTGCATGGGGACACAGCTCGAGCGGCGGTGGGGATGGGGATGGGGCGGCGGCGACGGATGGGAGTGGGAAGGGGGGTTTGGAGAGAAGGGGAGAAAGATGAGGGAGAAGGAGGTGTAGAGACTGACGTGTGGGCCCAATTATCATATAGACTCAGAATAGAGAGGACGAATGGAGAGGCTGTTGGAGTAAAAGAGAGTTTAACTTGCTAAATTAAATGGAGAGTTGACCAAATAGATGGGCCTGTTCACATTGATAAAAAAAAACATTACCAAATTTTGATATAGTTGCCAAAATTTTGGTACGTTTCTTATATAGTTACCAAAATTTGGCAGCAAACTAAATGTAGCCATTTTTTTGGCAACTTACCAAAATTTGGTAAGGTTGAAAATAACATTAAAATGAACAGGCCCGATATTTGGAGAGTCAAATTTGAAGTGATTGTTGGAGATGCTTTTACTGTGCATAAACGAAAAACCGTGTGCAGCCGCCAGTTTGCTACTTTGCAAACGCGTCAGTAGAGTACTACTCCGAGTGATGAGTGTGTGGGTCGTCTTCCCAACCGAACGCGGGAATTAAAGCGCGGGAAGCAAATGGCTAACGGCTGAAGAAAAAAAAAAAACAGCAGCGGCCATGGCCATGGTGGACAGCCAGGTTAGCTCATCACGGGCCAAGCCGCTGGTTTTTCTTCCCATTTTCCACTACCACGGCTAGGGTTAGGGTTAGGGCAGAGAGCTGAGCTTTCACGAGCTCGCCATTAATGTCACACTGGAGCGAGCATTCATGTCTCCCTTTCAGATGGTAGATGGCTCCGCATTTACTCCCCCCACCCCACTGTGTACATGCCTCCGCCGCTATATATCTCTCCCACCCACCCACTCTTCCTCCACTCCGGCGAGCTATACCAAGCTACGAGGTGAAGAAGCTGAGAGTGATCGATCGATCGAGTGTTCGACGGCGGCGGCGAGGTCGAAGATGGTGGACATGAACGACGTGCTGCTGGTGGTGTCGGCGGCGGTGCTGGCGGCGATGTGGTGGCGGCGGTGTTCCAGGACCGGCGGCGCCGACGGCCTCCCGCCGGGGCCGCCGGGGTGGCCGGTGGTCGGCAACCTGTTCCAGGTGATCCTCCAGCGGCGGCCCTTCATGTACGTGGTGCGCGACCTCCGCGAGAAGTACGGGCCCATCTTCACCATGCGGATGGGGCAGCGCACGCTCATCGTCGTCACCGACGCCGACCTCATCCACGACGCGCTCGTCAAGCAGGGCGCGGCGTTCGCCAGCCGCCCCGAGGACAGCCCGACGCGGCTGCTCTTCAGCGTCGGCAAGTGCACCGTCAACTCGGCGCCGTACGGCCCGCTCTGGCGCGCGCTCCGCCGCAACTTCGTCGCCGAGATCGTGTCGCCGCCGCGGGTGAAGGGATTCTCGTGGATCCGCGAGTGGGCCGTCGGGAGCCACCTCCGGCGGCTCCGCGCCGAGTTCGCCGCCACCGGCGCCGTCAGGATGATGGCCAACTGCCGCCTCTCCATCTGCAGCATCCTCATCTGCATCTGCTTCGGCGCCAAGATCCCCGACGAGCTCATCCGCGAGATCGAGGAGGTGCTCAAGGACGTGATGATGATGACCATGCCCAAGCTCCCGGACTTCCTCCCGCTCCTCACGCCGCTCTTCACCAAGCAGCTCGCCGCGGCGCGCGAACTCCGGCGGCGCCAGCTCGGCTGCCTGGCGCCGCTGGTGCGCGCGCGCCGGGAGTTCATCAGGGGCGGCGGCGAGAGGAACGCCGACGGGAACACGGTGGTCGGCGGCGTGGAGATGGTGAGCGCGCCCGGCGAGGCGTACGTGGACTCGCTGTTCGACCTGGAGCCGCCGGGGCGGGGGAAGAGGCTCGGCGAGGACGAGCTGGTGACGCTCTGCTCCGAGGTGATGAGCGCCGGCACGGACACCAGCGCCACCGCGCTGGAGTGGGCCATGATGCACCTCGTCCTCGACGCCGGCGTCCAGGACAAGCTCTACGGCGAGGTCGTCTCCAAGGTCGGCACCACCGCGCGCATCACCGAGGCCGACGTCGAGGCCATGCCCTACTTGCAGGTAATATTTATTTATTTATTAACCAACCAAATTATTATTACTTCTACTCTTCTGGTTTAATTACTACTTAATCCACTACCTAATTGTAGCTGCATATATTAGTATCAAACTTGATCTGACAATTTTGACTGTTTTTTTCCTAAAAAAACTCAAATTTTGTGGCCATGTATTAGAATGCACTGTTCAAGGACAAAATGAAACATGTTTTCTTAAAAATTTGAATGAGTTGAGGTTTATAGAAATTTTATGGTAAAAAGGTTAGTGGGACTCACACTAGGAGTCAAATGGACAATTGTTCTTGTTGTCAATCATTGGCAGACCAATCAGCTACCAACCAAACTTTTGTCACAACTAAAAGGAGTGTCACTGTCAATCGATCAGTAGTAATTAAGTACCATGTTTAATTTCTTTTGTTCTTGAGCTGGATCCCGAGCTGCAAACCAAGATTGCGGCTACTAATTAAGTTCACCACAGAAATTAAGGCACTGATCTGGCACTAACAAAGCCGGCGCAGTCCAAATGGCATTTTCTACAAGCAAATGTCATGAAAAGGACATGTTACTTGTGTTCTGAGAAAACGAGCTTTCATTTGCTCCTCTGTTTAGCTGAAAATGATAAGCACTGCACTGTATTAATTTCATCAGCTATTGAGGTTGCCCTTTTAATTTACACCATGAATTTTTGCAAAAAACCCTGATAAGTCCCCATCATATTGTTCGTGCAAACAAGCATCCCCATGAGTTAAACAACATAAAAAATTCCCCATCTACCATTAACATGTACTAGTATTAATTGTTATAGTAATTAACATTTCATAGTATAATCCGAAGAATAAAAAACATTTTTTTAAAAAAAAATGACATGGGTGATGCGGATTGAGGAGCTCACCGAGATTGGATTGAGACAGTAAAAAAAACTCCCTATCCACCAATAACGTGTAGTATTAATTGTTGAGAACTAATCTCTTGGTATCTATATAAGTATTAACTATAATGTATCACATCATATATTAGTTTTGTTTTTTTATGAAACAACGGGAGTAAAACCATTCTTAAAAAAAAAAGTTGTATCGTAGTTTTGAATCTGGTTATACGCCTGTCCAAACTCATACCTATAATTTGTTTTTCTTGTGAGACAGAGAAGCAGTTCGCTTCATTTCATTGTATAATAAAATGAAAAAAAAATGAAAAAAAAAAGAAGATACGGGTGATGGGGAATTGGGGATATGCTGAATTGCTAACCGAAATGGATGGATTCGCGGCGCTCGATCGCCGGCGTGCGCATGTGCAGGCGGTGGTGAAGGAGACATTCCGGCGACACCCGCCGAGCCACTTCGTGCTGTCGCACGCGGCGACGAGGGACACGGAGCTCGGCGGGTACCGCGTGCCGGCGGACGCCAGCGTGGAGTTCTACACGGCGTGGGTGACGGAGAACCCGGCGACGTGGCCGGACCCGGAGGCGTGGCGCCCCGAGCGGTTCCTCGAGGGCGGCGAGGGCTTCGACACCGACATCACCGCCACCCGCGCCCTCCGCATGATGCCGTTCGGCGCCGGCCGCCGCATCTGCCCCGCCGCCACCCTCGGCGTCCTCCACATCCAGCTCATGCTCGCCAACATGGTCCGCGAGTTCCGCTGGGTCCCGCCCGCCGGCGAGGGCCCCCCCGACCCCACCGAGACCTTCGCCTTCACCGTCGTCATGAAGAACCCGCTCCGCGCCGCCCTCGTCGAGCGCCGCGTCGGCGGCGAGCTCGCCACCGGCGGCGGAGGCGGCGCCGCCGCGTCCGCCTAATTAAGTACTACGATATAAATACTTCGGTAGCTGCTGTCCGTTGGATGGCGGATGGACGGACGGATGGATGGATATGCAGATGATGTCTTAAATTTTTACTTAAATAGAGTGTTCTCTTGATATCTTCTTCTTCTTTGATTTTTTTTTGTTTTATTAGTGGATCTCTTTTTTCTTTTCTCTCTTGTTTTTATCCAGGATTAAGTGTACCTACTGCTGCTTGATCTGCTCATATATATATTGGTTTCCAAGTCGAGAAATACCTATGTTAATTAGTTTTTTTTGCAAAACACGGTGCAAACACATACTCGTAAACATGTGTTCATTCATATGAACGCCCATAGCCTTTACCCTGCCTTATATGATTAATTTGCATCTTTGTTTTGGAAGGAATATACAGTTTAATTAAAGGATGATGTGGGATAGCCAAGGTTTATAAAACTGAACTATCAAAAGAACCGCTCCCGAATAGTTTCGAAACCATTCACTACTGGTGAAATTGGACCAAATTTTATTAAAAAAAAACTTAATTTAATTTTGGCAGATGTATCGAGTAGTATGCGATGATCTCCAGCTAGCACAAAACCTTCTTTTTTTAAAAAAAAAAAAGCGATGATCTCCAGCTAGCATAAAACCTTCTATTTTTTAAAAAAATCAAACAGTTTCCAATAGTTTTTTATGACCCTTGGTGCTAGCCAAGTATGAGATCGCTTCCATTGTTTTCCCCCCTCAAAATGATGAATTACCCATGGTTGGTGTGATTTCTGATTTCCATCTGTGATTTTTTTTTTCTCATTTGAAAACCCTTCCATCTGCGATTGAAAAGAACACTAAATTTCAGCATAAAACCAACAATTTTAATACTATATTGAAGCACGACCCTTTTGCATGGTTGAGAGAGAGAGAAAAAAAAAGACCTTAAACTATTCCAATTGTTTTTCTTTCTTAAACAACATGCAAGGATTCATCGATGCGTCCTTGTAATCCCTCCGTCCCATAATAATATAAGAAGTTTTAGGGTTGGACACGATAATTAAGAAAGTATGTAAAAGTGAATAGTGGAGGTTGTAATTGGATGAGTAGTGGAGATATGTGAGAAAAGTGAATGGAAGAAGTTGTTATATTTTGGAACAAATTCTGAGACTAAAAGTTGTTACTATGTCAAAAAAAAATTAAAAGACGCACCACACGTTCTAGAAGCTCGACTTCCCTAAACGGTTGGGAAGCAGCAACAGTGATTAAAAAAAGTACGACTTAAATAATGGGTGTAGCAATTAAGGTTTTGGATTCCAATTGATTAGAGCTTTGACGGAGCCACAACGTTTGAATCGGTTGGTATGGAAATTAAAGCCCATAGAATTTAAATTAAAAATATAAATATTTTTTTTCATTCAAAATACCAGATCATGGTACCAGATCATGGTAATCATCCCGCTATTCTGCAATTCCAACGTTACCAATAGTTAACTATTAGATGTAAAAATTAAAACATCATTTATAATCAACCTAATATATAGTTCACTCACATATTAGTTAGCTATAAATATATATTTCATTATACCTAATTCTCCCGTCTATTTTGTATAGTTCATTAAAATATATATTTCATTATACCTAATTCTCCCGTCTATTTTGTATAGTTCATTAGTAGAGATTATTTTGCAGTTGGCTATAAATCTATAGTTTTTTTTTCTTTCTTCTCTTCTCTTTTATTCACGTAAGTATAAATGTGATGTACTAACTTGTATAATTCTCTTACATCATTTTATTGCACTCGCTCTAATGGATTGAGCTATGATTGAAAGACAAAAAAAATAACAAACAAACCAAGATTTTAGGATAAGATCTTTACATCTCTCTACTTAATTTTAGCATTTTGAAAGTATGTACGGAAACAGAAAACGATGAAAAAAAGAATTTAGATTTAATCTAAACTTTAAATTCCAAAATTTACATTCCTGTTGTAGCTTCTATGCTGAAGGTCGCAGCCAACAAGAAATGTTGCTATTCTCTCTTCTAGGTTTTACGACGCCGCTAGCTGCATGCGTCACTGTTTGTAAACTCATGTACCTAAACTCGAGAACGATCAAAACTTTAATTAATTTCACAAGCACAGAAGCGAGTACCAATTTTTGTTTGATATAATTACTTTTGATCAACTTGGCACATATGGATAATTAGTGTAGTGTACTAAGAACGTACAGAGTTGGATGAACGTACATGGGCGACCGTGTTGATAGCTCGAGCACACTCATGTCGCGCCATATACAGAGCAACATGACATATATGATGATTGTACCATTTCATGTTACCATGTACTCGATCTAATTAAAAACATTAAAGTCGAGATTAATGGCATGATAGTTGAGGGGGGAGAGAAATAGATCGACTTATCCCAACCGAAAATGATTTTAGAATAAGATCTTTACATTATATACTCTTAGCAGTACTTAAAAGGTAAAATAGAAAATACGATGAAGAAACATTTAAACTAATTTAAACTTATGTTTCAAAAATTACATTCTAGCTACAGCTAAGGACATGTATAATGGTTGTTAATACTGATCTCTTAGCGTTGCTAATTATTAAGAATATTTGTTCACATGTAAGAGAGAGACGTCATTGCTATGAGTAAAGACAGCTCAGCAATAACTCTAGTATTTATAATATGGAAACATGTTTTGCATGAGAGACAATAATAAAAGTAATATTTTTTAAGTTAATGGTTAGAGCCTTCATCGTCTTAACTTTTATAAAAATATGTTCTTTAAATAATCTTAAGTCGTCTAGGAGATCGTATTTATCTCTACCATTGAATATGCCATTAACCGAAAATCATCACAGCAGCCAATAAGAAATGGTATCCATCTTGTGGGCCTTACTACGCCGCTGATACGTCGGTGTCTATAACCTGACGAAGAGGGTCAAAACTTTAACACAAAGCTTATATTAGTAGCAAGTACCATCTCCTGTTTGACATTATTACTTTTAAATCAACATGTACATACGGATCATTAGTGTAGCGTACTAGCTAGGAATGTACTCGAGCGCACCCATATCATGCCACACATAAAGCAGCATGATATCATGCTACAAAGTAAATTTTACTCTAACAGTACAAATGCCGTGCTATACGGATCATCAAACCCTTAACTCATTAATTATTAAACAAAAAACTATTAAGATTTTTTTGTGAAATAACATTAATAATTTTTTTAGTGACAGATAATTTTCCCGCAAAAAAGATAATATCCTATCGTAGTACGTAACTGTATCCATCTTCTTTTTTTTTTTTTAGAGAATGGTATTTTTTTTCTCTACATTCAATCAGTTGTATGCAACCTTTTAAATTAGGAACTTATCTTATCAAACAACCTAATCTGAAATTTTAAATTGGGAACTTAGTCCATCAAATAACCCAATCTAAAATTCGCTTGTACGAATATTTGAACTCAAAATCTTTAGAAGTTACTCAGGGTGTGTTTAGGTCACACCAAAATTAAAAGTTTAATTGAAATTGATACGATGTGACGGAAACGTTAGAAGTTTGTGTGTAGGAAAGTTTTAATGTGATAGAAAAGTTAGAAGTTTAAAGAAAAAGTTGGGAACTAAACCAGGCCTCAGGTCACTGTAACCAACAGACTAAGGTCCTATTTAGTTCCCAGAAACTTTTTCCCAAAAACATCACATTAAATCTTTGGACATATGCATGGAGTATTAAATATAGATAAATTAAAAAACTAATTGCACAGTTAGGAGGGAAATCTTTTGAGCTTAATTAGTCCATGATTAGCCATAAATACTACAGTAGCGTACATTTGCTAATGACGGATTAATTAGGCTCAAAAGATTCGTCTCGTGGTTTCCAGGCAAGTTATGAAATTAGTTTTTTCATTCGTGTCCGAAAACCCCTTCCGACGTGTGGTCAAATGTCTGATGTGACACCCAAAAATTTTATTTTTGTGAACTAAACATCCCTAAGAATCAATCCATGTTTGACATTATTACTTTTTGAATCAACCTGTACACACGAAATTATTAGTGTAGCGTACACAGAGCTGGACGGGCAGGCACGTACATGGGCGATCGACTGTGTTGACAGCTCGAGTGCACCCATATTATCGTGCCACGCACAGAGCAGCATACAAAAGTGTACTCTACAGTCTACAGTTCAGACACCGTGCCATACGGATCATCAGCTAGCTGGACCGCAATCGCACTGAGGTGTACTAAAACAAAAGAACATCTAGCTACTACTACCTCAGCTAATAATCAGGTTGCATTTCGCTGGACGGCTAGCCATGGCAACTATAACCAACCATATTAATTTTTACTGCAGAAGTGCAGAGATGAGGACAAGCTGAGTACTACTCCCTCCATTCAGAATATAAGTATATTTAAAGCTGGACATAATTATTAAAAAAAGTAGATAGAATTAAATAACAAAACTTTTTTTAAAAAAATAATAAAGCTAGGGTTATAATTGGATGGGAAGTAGAGGTAGGTGGAAAATTTGAAAGGTGGTGAGTTATGATTGGTTGAGCAAAAAATTTTTGTAGAAGGTATTATATTTTAGGATAAATTCTAGAGACTAAAAATTCTTATATATTTTAGGAGAGCATTAGCGTTGAAGAAGGATCGGTTTGGATGCCGGCCGGCCAAGCTGGCGCCGGCGAGGCTTGCCGGTGAGTTCACATGCCCACATTCAATAACCCTTGGTGCAGAAATAACTGCCATGAAACCACCAATAAATTCAGTCCATCCATCGACCCATCGATCTGGTCTGATCGATCTGATCTGATTTTGATCTCTGTGCGTGTATCTTTTCAGTTTCAAGATAGAGGCAGCATTCAATTGAAATCGCTCCCCTTTTCTTTCTTCTACTGCCATTGCCATTGCTGCTTGTTTGTTTGCATGTAGCAGTAGAACACGGAAGAAAAAATGGGGCAGATGGAGTATTGAAACTCGGCCTGGACCACCGGAGTTAAACTCCGGTGCTCCACCCCGCCGGCCGGCCGTGATCTATAGATCTGCAAAAGTACGTACGTCTGCAGCTAATCTTGACCACGTCTCATCTAACCTTACTGCACATTGCATTGCACTGGTACATTTATGTTACTGTGGAGGTAGCCAGGTAGGATTTCTTTACCTCGAGGGAATCACCTCATTTTATGCATGCCGCCATTATTCGTAATCAATTCCTTTTATTTACGTATATATTTATATAGGATGAATTTAAATTTATATGTTTACAGAGTAATCTTACTCTTCTCAGATCTTTTTATAATATTTTAAATGACGTGAGAACGAGAAACATTCCCTTGAATTAATTAGACTCTCTGCATTCCATACGTTACATGTATTATAGAAACTTCATACTGCGCATTTGGAACGACTTATTAATACATGATTAATTAAATATTAACTAAAAATTTTAAAAAATAAATCAATATGATTTATAAATCACTTTGTATAGAAAAAAAAGTGCAACATTTTAGCAAGCCTGCGTGTAGAAAACGAGGGGCGAGAAATTAGGAATAACTCATTCGAACACAACCTATTGTCTATAAATGCAGAAATGCAGTGTACAGTGTTCTACTGCACACTTTGGTTAGCTTAGCTAGCTTGGTCAGATCCATCACACTGGCCGGTCTCGTTTCGAACATAGAACAGTTCAAATTTTGTAGGAACGTGAAATTTTCTCGCGTTCCAAACTGCAGGGACCTAATTAACTTTCTTTTTTGTTGTTCATTCTGTAATTCAGTAGGGGAGGCTGAGGTTGAGGCGGCGGAGCCAGATGGAGTGGATGACCATGTTGACCACGTCGAACCGCTTGGCCGGCGGCCGGTTCAGCCGGAAGTGGCGCCGGACGCGCAGCACGCGGCGGCGGAGCACGCCGTAGCGGCGGTCCGAGACGCCGCCGAGGATGTCCTTGATCTCGCCGACGCGTTCCGCGGGGACGGCGACGGAGAACCGTGCCCAGTCCAGCACGTCGCTGAACGGCGGCGAGTAGCCGCCGTCGTCGACGAGCACCGGCACGCACCCGGCGGTGATCGCCTCCACGACGCGGCGGCTCGCCGCGGCCGCGCCCTCGCCGCCGCCGCACGGGCACAGGCAGAACCGCGCCCTGCGCATGAGCTCGCCGTGGTCCACACCCGCCGGGAGGCGACCGTACACCACCACCCGGTCATCCCGCCCCTCCCACCGCGCCAGCAGCGCCTCCCTCACGGCGCCGCCGCCGCCACCGCCGGCGGCGAAGAACGCGAGCACCGTGCGTTCCGAAGCCACGCGGCCCTGCGGCGGCGTCGCGCGGGCGCTGGCGACCACCGGCGGCAGCGCGACGTCCGTGGCGGGGTCGAAGCCGTCCGACATGTCGGCGTCGCACATGACGCGGATGGCGTTGCCGCGTAGCTCCGCCTTGGCAGCGGACAGGATCGGGGCCTACACGCACGCACACATGTCGCAGCGATCGAGTCAATTAAGTTTGAATTTCTTTTGTTCCCTTAAAAAAAAAGATGCAATAATCAATTAAGCAGCATATATTTGATTCGTGTCACGATCAAATGGATACATGATGCTGTTCATGTGTCATCATGTCTCCCTATAACTATGGTCTCTCTGCATAGCTAAACATGATACGTTTCGTTACCTATTGTGGCATCACAGCTAGTACTAAAATGTTGCCGGTTTATTAATTATTATGCATTTAAACTCGTGAAAGCAACTGATCACCAAACTGCCTGGTTAACGAACTAACAAGCTAGACTGCTAGAGTGCTAGACTGTTTGTATTTGAATGCAGAGCTTGACGGGTACGATACAAGTGACCCCATTTGAGACGCGGAATTAATTAATTCATTCATTAATTTATCCATAATTTCGTAGAATTAATTAATTTCAACGCCTTTACTGAAATTACATATACTATCTCTCCTAAAATATAAGTATTTTTAAACTTCGATACAGTTTTCGAGATATTACTTTGACTAATAATATCTATAAAAGTAATATGTTTTAAAAATTTTGTATTTTATGATAGTTTTTTTAATGATAAATCTAGTAATATCAATTTTACATAATTAAGCTTTTTATTTTTTTTACTACTAATAGTCAAAATTAAAAATGTTGACTTTGACACCATGCTAAAAATATTTATATTTTTGAACGGAGGGAGTATTTCTCAATTCCCGCGAAAAGTAGCGCAGGAGAGTGTGGAGTGTAATTTACCCATTGGTGGCAGGAGACGAGGAAGTGATCGGCGCCGCGGCTGCGATTCCAGAAGGGGTACATGGCGGCGAGGCCGTCGACGTAGCCGGCGACGAGCCGGAGCTGGGGGTCCCAGAAGTCGATCATGTCGCGGCGGTAGACGTAGCCGGCGATGCTGGCGACGCTGATGGGGAGGAAGAAGGCGTGCGCCTCGCCGGGGTGGCGTGCCCGGTGCCGGCCGCCGCCGCCGCTGCTGTCCAGCTCGGCGATGAGGTGGCCCTCTATGCCGTCGTTGCCGGCGAAGGCGGCGCCGCCCTTTTGCACGACCGGCGGCTCGCCCTCTCTGTACGTCCACACCTTGAACCTCTTCTCCATCTCAATGTAACTCCTGATGATAGTATAATCAATGATCAAATGATGCAGTAACAGTTAATTATTGGCTGTTAATTAATCATGACCACAATTAAAATTAACCTCCCCTTGTTTTACGATAGTATTGCTTCCTCCGTACGGCGTCCTTTGATGTTGATAATTCATTTTATTTAAAAACTTTGATGAATATCAAATTTTTTATGATCAAACAACTCATAATAAAATAAATGATAATTACATTTTTTAAATAAAACAAATGATCAAACGTGTATTAAAAAATCAGCGGCATCGTTTATTAAAAATAAATGTAGTACAGTACAATGCTCTAGTAGCAAAATTTTACTGTACTGGGTACGCAAGTAGAGTGAAATTCAATTGCATGCAATTTATAAAAATCGTCTACCATTACATGACAACTTACATATACTCCGTATATAGTACCTCTAGTATACTACAGGTGCATTTTGTCAAAGTAGTGAAGTACTACGTGTACTAGGTAGGTTATAATTAGGTAGGTCCACACGTTATATCTATAAATTGAGCACAAATAATTAAGAGTACTCTAATTACAAAATCATCTAGAAGCCGGCTGATGATGATGATGAATTGTGATGACCTCTAATAATGGAGCAGTGTGGTCTCTGCCTGTAAGATTAGCTAGGCGTTGCCGTCACAAAGCATGCATGTCTCACCAAACAAAGAGCAGAGCCAAAGCGATGCACCCATCAACCAACAACCGATCGATCATCGAGTCATCGCACGAGCCCGTACGAAGAATTCATATATCCGTGTAGTGTAGAGTTTAGTGATGGCTGCATTTGGTCAGGCCGTTTGCCGTCCAAATCGGCGAGGAAGGCGTGTTAATGCCCTCGATCGGGTGTCGACGAATCACGAATGCTTATCCTAGCTTAGCCGGCAGCAGCTAGCCGCGGCCAACTTAATTACACATATATAGCTCTTGGTTACTAGCCCCATTGTTTTATAATATATTATAATTCCTTTTGATTTTTTTTCAAATTTTTTTAGGTTTAATTAAATTCATAAAAAAAATTGCCTACATCTACAACATCAAATTAGTTTAATTAGATGTAACATTAATATATTTTGATAACATGTTTGTTATACATTAAAAATGTTATTATATTTTCCTATAAACTTTATCAAACTTTAAAAAAATTAATTAAAAAATTAAAGCGTCTAATAATATAAAACATAAAACGGAGTGAGTAATTGGGTATGCGTGGCCAGATGTGGAGTGGCAAAGGAGACAACCGTATAAATATGACATTTTCAATAAGAATTTAGTGAGGTTACGGATTGGCAAAGGAGACAACTGTGTGAATGTGATGTTTTTCAATAAGAATTTAGTGAGGTTACCGATTTATCGTTTTGCCTCCGTCTCTTGAGCCCTTATGTGTATTTGTGTGTTTTTGGGAACGAAAATACGGAGTGGTGAATTTACTTACTGGTGGAAGGCGTAGGCGTCGCGGTACACGGCGCCCCTGGGGATGAACCCGCCGCCGTCGTCCGGCGTGCAGCTGCGCGTGCGGCTGGCTCGCCGGATGGACACCCGCGCCTGGACCAGCCCGGCCTCCATCCTCCCGACCTGAACCTGACACACACGCATGCACAAACAAAAATATTTGTCAAATATACATGTCAAAAATATTTATCAAAAACATGTCACAGCAACATCGCTGACTTTTTTTTTTTTGCATTGACACTTCCTGCATCTGAAACTGCACTGCTGCAATTCTGCATCCATTGCCCATTACGGATCACATCATCACTGCACAAACACCGTTGAGTCTGAGTGTGGCATGAGCATGGCGTACGTACTCGGCGGTTCACGAGTTCCCTGGCATGATGAGCATGGCGTGATGACGGTGATGGCACCCAAGCCGGTGAGAGTGAATGGTGATGGCCGGCGGCGGCGGCGGCGCCGGCAGGAGACCAGACGCGGCCGACGGCGACGTGCGCGGCGAGGACAGAGACGGAGACGGCGGCGGCGACGAGGAGGAGGCACGAGGCCAGGGTGACGACGACGCCGTGGCAGGCGCAGCTGTTCTTGGACGCCATTGATGGTCAGGTGATCAGGTCAGTTCAGTTTCAGGCTTTCAGGTGAGCTGATCCACTCATGCATTGGTGCATTCCGGGCTATATGTAGCAGAAGATGGTGTAGTCTCTACGTTACAAGAATCAAGATCACCATGGTAAGCTTAGCTCAGTAGCTCAGTCCCAGGTCGATCGATGCGTGATTGGGATCTGCAACACAAACGGTTTTCGAGTTCAGGATCATATCTGCATCCGTGTCAGATAATTGCAGCTTTGGATCTGCAACCAACCTAGGAGTTGGATCAGTCACTTGCAACAGTTGCAAAATTTTGCAATGCAGAGGTTGGGTGCATATGAAGGCACTGGTGTTATTGTGCATTGAGGCGATAGAATAATAACAGAGAAGACTGACTCACCGTGGACGGCACGGTCTCTAGCTTTGATGCCTCCCTGGCCCATCACCATGTGCAGCAGTAGTAGCAGTAGCAGTAACAATATCTGTAGATCAACCAAGTGCTGGCTCTTGAAGAATATCTGTAGAGCAACCAACATGTACAGTACAGCCTTGTGTAAATACTCATGCAAGCAAGAAAGAACAAAAGGAAATAATCAGAGGCTGATTAGGGAGTGTCAGATTTTGTGTAGTGAAGCAGATTATCATTATGGACCTGTACCAAAGTACCGTCTCATTCATTAAGACTCATGCACTGACAAATACAGTAAACAATCCCACAACTGATCTACACACAGTAGCGCATTCATAATGCTACATTGCTACTCTTATACGTACAGTACAGAGCTCAGACACCATAATAAGTGAACCTGTTTCAGAAGCCATTTCACTCTTTTTCGTGGGGTCAAAAAAATAGTAAGTTGAGCAGGGCCTTTTACTCTTTTGGCCCTGAGTAACTCATCTTGAAAGTGCAGGTATCATTCTATCGGGAGGGAATTCTTACATCAGCAACAGCAATTTCAAACATGCAAACATAAGGCATTACTCTGGATCAGGATTGTCAAATTTTTATTCTTGAATATGCAAACATAAGGCATTGTGCACAACATGGTCCCTAGGAGATAAAGGCGTTGTTTTGAAGGCAAACCACTATGAAATAAACTAAACACTCTTGTGGACGACTTAGGTGCTGTTTACTCTAGCTTGACTTCCGCTCTCTTGGGAGGATCCAGCTGCAGGTAAGTATACGGCTCCGTTGGCTCCTCCCTGTAAATAACAGGTTGTTACATGAAAACTTCAGATACAAACGTAAGAGAAATATTCAGGGTTACGATGCTCATTACAATCTAACTACTACTAGTCACACACAAGTACATTTGTCATAACAACATTTCTCACAGCTTCACATTTTAGTGGACTCAAGTAAATAGCGTTTTGTCTACAACAGTTTTCTGAAGTACAGAAGCTTCTTGGGGAAAGAATGTCTATCGAAAGGGTTGCCTCGATTTCTACCCCAAGGTATGGTAGCAACTAGCAACAATACTTCTTTTTCTCACTTGAGTGGCTATTGGTCAGTTCAGTGGTTCTAGCATTAGCCTGTTTGAAGCAGTTGCTCCCAGCCAGACAGTGTCAGTGCTCCTAACTTGACCAAACTGAACCAGCCAAATTGAGATAGACCATATTTTCCTTTCCCTTTCCCAGGTTTGACAACAACAAATTTCATTTGAAAAGAAACCCTACCCGCCATTGGAAGTGAAGAAAGCAACCAAACCACCATCCTAGAAGGTGATACATGACACATGTAACCAAGCAACGAATAACTACATGGCAAAACAGGCCAAGAAGCATACATAAAATTTTATTGGATTTGTATTTAATTGAGAATAGCCCTATATAACTTCTCAAATACAAAGTTGCCTTACAATCTAATTCACACAACTCTCAGAGATTACAAGTTCAGTTGGTCAGAAAACAAAGCTCATGCTAATCCATGTGGTGAAAGGAATCACAACACTAGAGCCTTTTACACTGCAAAGATTAGTCATCATGAGCATTTTCTGCAGCCACTAGGTATATTCACATGGCACATATTTCTTTAGGCTGCTGAAGGACCTATGGTGGAAGAGCCACCGGCAAGAAGGAGCATAAAGAGAAGAACATATCAAACAATAGGCACAATATAATGGTCCACCTTATCATGAGCATCCTGTGACCACTCCTTAAAACCCCTCAATCAGATGATTCCAATGTCCTTTATCAATCATATTAGTTCTTAATGTGCTAGACCTATTGAAACGTATGTTGCCTCATATTACTGGGAATATATGTGTGAACAAAAGCATGAAACATACAAATTGTAAGAAGTTGTACATACCCAGGTTTCGAACGCATGCATTGCCAAAAGAGCTTGAATGGACCTGGAACTGTCTTGAAAGGATTCCCCTCAAAGCAAGCCTGCAACAGAAATTAGAAAACCAGTTCAACATAGAAATGGACAAAATTTTCAGAATTAACAATTGCATCATTTTCCCTAATATGATCAACATAATGAGGCATAGAGCAAAATTCTTCAGCATTCTTGGGAAACATTCATTACGTAGCAGACGCAGATAACCAATGAAAACTCTTTACTGAATATCCTAGACAGGATGAGTTCAACATAAAGATGGCCAAGAATTTCAGAATTAACAATATCATCATTTGCTATAATATAATCAACACATTGAGGCACAGAGCAAAATTCTTCAGCATTCTTGGGAAACATTCATTACATAGCAGACGCTGATAACTGATGAAAACTCTTTACTGAATATCCTAGACAGGATGAGTTCAACATAAAGATGGCCAAGAATTTCAGAATTAACAATATCATCATTTGCTATAATATAATCAACACATTGAGGCACAGAGCAAAATTCTTCAGCATTCTTGGGAAACATTCATTACATAGCAGACGCTGATAACTGATGAAAACTCTTTACTGAAAATCCCAGACAGGATGAAAATTTTGGACCCTGGCAGGTTCAGTGTGAGTGGAACCAGCATGCTAGTTGAAATTAGGGGCAATTCCATACTGAAAATTCGTCCATTTCTACTTGTGATTAAATGGGTTCATGGCCTCCCCGAGGTTTCTTATTCACCTAGCAGTGTATGTTGTTATAATTTGCCTATTAGTTCCCACTTTTCTTATTCACCTAGTAGTGTATGTTGTTATAATTTGCCTATTAGTTCCCACTTTTCTTATTCACCTAGGAGTATAGACCAGTAATATGGCCAATAAGTGCAAATGAACCAATTTGAGTTTATTTCTGTACTTGATCAATACTGAGGATCTAATGTTCAGACATTTGGCCCCCTCACTATTTCGATGAAGCTCCGCCATTGGTTTTTGGGTTAATTACTGAGGCTTATTTCATCCTGGGTAAGCATAAGAATCTGATTGCCATCTAGGCCGTTCCTAAACATGGTTTTGGGATCAAACATGGAAATACCACCTGCAGCCTGAAAGCAACAACAATCGCAGCAATGGCGCAATGCACATGCAGGATCATGGTGGCTGGTGGGCAGAGAACATCATGCAATCTTGTTATGTAACACGAAGAGAAGACATTCAGTTAGGTAAACACTGAAATAATTGTAAGTAAGAAAGGCTAGTAATGCCAAAACAACTATGTTTAACGATGCAATTACAGCCAATTTCACTATCAAGCGCCTTCAAGATCCAAATTTAGTACTAGCAAACAGGCATAGCGACAAGAGGTTCTCCACAAAACTATCATCCGGGTAGCTCTGAGCTCCGCAATTTCCATTACACATTCATCACCACTCATTCATCGGTAGGAAGATAATAAGAGATCAATCAGGTCGTGAGCTGTGGTTGGATTAGGGTTGAGAGGGGGTGGAACCTGGACGACGTCCTCGGCGCGGTCGTTGCAGCGGTGCGCCTTGGGCTCCCGCTTGTCCCCCTCCGGCAAGCCCCATGGGCTCTCCCTCCTCGGCACCGGCCTCCCCTCGCTCATCCTCCTCCAACCACCTCCCTCCTCACTGCAAAGAAGATCGAAATGGCTCAAATTCGCAAAGCAAGAGGCATTCCCATGAAACCCCAGATCATCGCGACGCGTCCGAGGGAGAGATCGGAGGAGGCTGACTCACCTAGCAACCACCCTACCTCTTCCGCGCCGCGTGCGATCCCAAGACGAGACGGCGGCCGGCGGCGGCGGCTGGTTGCCCTCCACTGGTCGGAGTCCAAGCGGAAGCGACGGGTAGACGAAGAGGCCGAGGGGAGAAAATCCGGCCCAACTTTTTTTGTTCGGTGCCGCCTCAGATGCCCAATAAGGCCCAACATTTTCGGCCCATAACGAGTTGGGCTTGGAATTACCAGTCCAACCTTACAATGACAGATGGGGCCCACCTGCAGCGAAGAGCGAGCGTTTAAGCATGCGCCAAACAGAGCTAAATCGAGCATCTCCCAAGACTCTGTCAAACAACATGAAAGAACTGCTACTAGTCTACTCCCTCCGTTAAAAAAAAAAAAAGACAAACTCTGATTTTCGTGTCCAACGTTTTACTGTCCGTCTTATATGAAAATTTTTAATAATTAGTATTTTTATTGTTGTTAGATGATAAAACATGATTAATACTTTATGCGTGACTTGTCTTTTTAATTTTTTTCATAATTTTTTTAAATAAGACGAATGGTCAAACGTTGGATACGGAAACCCAGAGTTTGTCTTTTTTTGGGACGGAGGGAGTACTAGTTATATAAGCAATCCTTAATGAAGAAAACTTCATTTACTAAATATTTTCTGGGTATCTAGCATTGTGTACACTGATTAGACGTGCAAACAAAAATACGGAGTACAAAACTAGTTGTAGTTAGACATGAACTGATCCTCTGCATTTGGCAAATCTTAAGTAGCACAGTTAATTGTGTCATAGTCTATTGGTGAAAAAAACAAGTGGTTGTAATCTGTTAATTGTGTCATCAGTATTAACTCGAGCCGGAACAGTCATAATCTGGCACCAGAAAGAAACAAGTCGTACTCTTAAATGTCCTTTTTGTGAATGTTTTCTGACTGAAATTTGAGTTCATTAAGTTCCATAATCAAGAACCCCTCAATGTTGACAGATTATAAACATGCATGCACACAGCTACTGCAGCTGGAACAAATTGACAAGTTTGTTTTTGCTCGTTATTTGCAGCCTTGCTGCTTAACCAAAAAGAGTATATTTTTCCTCTTTATTTTTTCAATCACAAAGAGGTAACTTTCCTTGACACCACTGGAAACTGGAAAGAGAAGGAATGGAACAAATACAGGCTGTTCAATGATCAAGAACATTCCAAAACTGGTAAGAAATGGTAGTTTTACAAGGAGATATATCAAAACTGTTAGCATCAAGATAATGACAAGCAAGTTGCTTGCAAAAATGTCAAAATTAACTTGAAGCTATGAATACAATATTATGACAGGGTTCTTCCAGGCAGTCCATCTATCTAATTGATGATCTCGAAAAAAAGAACTTCAGGTTGGAGCCTGCAGTCTCTGAAGCGTTCAAGCAACTGCTCCCATGAATCTTCTGCCTGTACACAATTAACAGCTCAGAATCAGAGAGCAGATCAGAATCAAGAAGCCTACATGGCTGCTGCAGAGGCCATGAGCAAGTTATCTACCTCAATAGTCTCAGCATCAGAGATGAGCCACTTATCCTGGTCGCGAGCAAAGCAGAAGTACCGCCCATTGGCATAGGAGATCTGCAGAGTTTTGGATAATATGGAATAAATAACCTCGGCGTATGAAAAGGTAATATATTTGCTAGGCACGGTTATGTTGAAGTTAGCAGGCAGGTTAAGGAGCATCGAACAAACCATGCGAAAAAAAAAACTGAAGTAAAACTCAATAGAGCAAGGGAATAAATTTTAAGGGTAGTCTGATGTAAGTTTTGCACCACTGCATAAGATTTCTAGTGGTGATATTTTAGAATAAAGCAAATGAAAAATATATCAAGACAACTGGAGAGTAACAGAGATCAAAAGAAGTCCAATAAAGATTACCCGGCCATGGTGCTTCATTTTAATGCTCAATCGATGAAACATGGTGATAAAAAGTTCACAGAGATACTCAGGATCCTCTCTATTATTCACCAGTATTGCTTACACAGACTAGGTACTCAAATTATTGCTCCAATACTTGTCTTGAAACTTTCAGTCTTCGAGATCAGTATGGTTTGAGGACAAATAATTTCACTGACAGGACCATTGGTAACTTGCAAATATTCCCCAAAATACTATACGACCAACTCAGATATGAATATTATGAATCATAGCTTGAACCCATTATCCACTGTAGCCTAACCGATTTCAATCTGGTAAAGGCCAATATAAGCTTGGTCCTTTTAATTCTAGTAAAACCTCTTGTCATGCTAACACCATCTCTTTCTTAAGACAAGTAGTACATGTAATGTCCCTGTGACCTCTTTCACCTCATGAGTATAATCCATATATTTTGTGATATTAAGACACAATACCAACCCAGGAACACAATGACACATAGAACTCTCAGGACAATGCATATCAACCAACACCGTATCGCTCATTGTTTTCCCCTCCTTTTCGGATTTCCTTATCATGGCAATCAAGGATAACATTACTTTTCTGTTATATCAACAATTTAATTCATGAAAAAGTCAAAGGTTTTCTTTGCACATACCATTGAGGCCAGAGAATATTTTGCCGAGGAGTGAACACCCTTGCAGAGAAGTTTGATATCAATGGGATGTGCAATGCCAACTAGAACTTCAGATAGCTGAACCTGGTTTTCACAATCACCAAACCAGTATAAACCTGCAGCATAATGGCAAAAAGGGAACACCAAACAAACATTTTGATGTTAACTTTAGGAAACCAAAAGGATAAAAGAACATAGCAAAAAGCCTCCTTCCTAACCAGCATAATAACAAACCGTATCAAACTTAATAGAAGTCAACCTTAAAGTTTCAGGATATGTTTGAGTTACAACAAGTGGTTGTCATGTATATCTCCAATAACATGTTTTTTTAGGAACAACCAATATCATGTTCTGTAATTCTGTTTAGGCAGGAAAAAGAGAGCAAATATTAAATTGCAGTTTACTATTGTAGACAAGGACCTTTACCTATTGTAAAGATATGTGGTGTGTTTGAAGGAGAAACATCAACGTTCTTCGGACTTCCACAATGCTTGCAATTGTCCCCAAAGCACAACTGTTCATCATAGAGAACCGGAAGCTCTGCAAAGGATTCGATCTGCAAAAAGTTATCAATAACTATTTGCTACTCTTGCATATAATATAAAATTTTAGCTACACAGGAAATCTGATGTGACACACCTTTGTTGTTTGAGGTGAACTGGCATCAAGTCTACAGAAAATCGTAGTATGTTCTTTCTCACCAAAACACTTCCCACACCTGCAGCTCATTTGCACATGGAACTTAATCCCGAACAGATCGTGTGTTCGGCATATGCAATCTCCGCAGCTGACAGGACTTACTTCACGTTCCTCAATCTCACTGTTGAAATCAAAATGCAGAGGAGTTTCTGACATATGCAGTGCTTGAAGAATCGTTGCCACAACCTCAGAAGCAATTCTTTTCCAGCCTGCAACTGAAATTGATTCACCAGGTTTAACCTTGTGAAGGCAGAAAAATATACATGAAGGATAAAGTTCTGAAGCAGAATAAAGATCATGGTAGCCTCCGACCGATTAGTTCGGCACTTTACATGTTAATCAGGAAAAACAGCAACGAATTGATTAACAGAGCTTGCCAACTAAAGAACATTGCACTCGTATATCTAAGTTTGTTCATTCCAGTGCATATGGAAGTGTGGAACAATGACAATGCAAAGAAACCCACATACCTTCTGAAACATGTTATCATTTGCAATTTTACAGAGATTAACCTTCAGAGAGGTCAGTAAAACATCCACTCCGTTGTGTCATTATTCTCCCAAGCAAAGAAGATTCCATAGAATAGGTCAGCGATGCAGAAGTTTTCTTTGATATGTAGGATTGTTGCAGGTGGTGCCCTTAAAATCTCATCTCTGAAGCACCTCAAATTCCACAGTGACTGCGCATGTTCATAGTTAATCAGAACTCAGAAGTTAGCACATGACAAAACATACTGCATGCAACTTTGTACTACCTGTATGATCACATGCAAGATAAACATGTCTTTGTCCTTGTTTTCTTTGTTGGGAACATCAATACTTGGCATTTCCTCAGCAGATTGGCCAGGAGTTACTGGATGATAAGAACACACAATCACCATGGATAGATCGGTTGGAGCTCTGCTTTCGTTGGTTTCCTTGTTCCCAGCGGGAGGCCTAGGTAGACGATGGGGAAGTCTTCAACTCGGCAAGAGAGGATGGATTCAACCAGAACTCGTTGTTCATTGCTGCACTGAATCGGTGTAATAGCGCTCTTGCAGAAGTTGGTTTTGAGTCCCGTTGCCTCACCAAAAAGAGTCAGCAATCTCTTGATAGTGTTGGCTTCAGTGGTTGTTGGCTTGAAGAACAGCACCGCGTCATCGGCATACACCGAGAGCAAATCTCTTCTTGCATTTAGAGGCGAAAGCAAACCAGCCAGCTTTGCCCGAGAAACCAAAGCTTGCAGAGCATCCATGACTAAGATAAAAAGCAACGGCGATAGAGGGTCGCCTTGTCTCAGTCCTCGAGCCGGTTTAATTGGATCTGACAGCACCCCGTTAATCAAAATGCTTGTTTCTTCAGTTAGGAGGGCAGCCGAGATCCATCTTCGCCAATTCGGGCCAAATCCCCTAAACTCCATCATTGACAGCAGAAAACCCCAAGAGACAGTGTCAAACGCTTTGGAAATGTCAAGCTTCAACATCATCGTTGCCTTCTTCTGCCGGTGGAATTGTTGCACCAGGCCCTTGACAAAAACAAAATTCTCGTGAATGCAGCGGCCCTTAATGAAGGCAGTTTGCGAGCAAGGGATTAGTGCTTCTAGCTTCGGCGCCAGTCGTTGTGCCATAATCTTTGCAGCCAACTTAGAGAAACTGTGCACCAAACTAATCGGCCTGTAATCCTTGAGCAGGATAGGCGATTCTGAACATGAGATTCACATCGTTCCCTGGCTTAAAGGCAGCCATAGGGTTGCTGCTGTGCCGGCGGTGGTACCGCCATTGGAGCCGGTGGTGTCCGCGGAGACAGCGCTGGGTACACCCACGACGGGCCTTCCGGACGCGGTGGACTCGGTTCACGGATGTGCTTCCCTAGGGGAAGCGAGTCTTCAGCGTCCTGCCACCGCGCCAGCGTGTTTAATGCTGGAGCATGCCGTGTTGCCGTTGGTGAGAAGGCTGTCTTTCGAAGAGTTCGAAATTTCGTCGGTGGAGTTGCCCTTAATGGCGGTGACGTCGGATACAGTGCTTGATCCGCTGGGCGGGAAGTCGCGGGGCGACTCGGCTAGCATTGGCGCGATTGCGACCGACGACGGGCCATCAAGGGAGCCGGCCTGGACAGTTCAAGAGGTGCTGGTAACTGAAGATGGGCTTGCAGCTGAGGATGGGCCTACGGATGGAGATGGGCCTGCAGACGGAGATGGGCTGTCAGCTATCGTGCTCCCGGCAACTGAAGATGGGCTCCTGGCCACTCCAGCGCGACTGACCAGGCCCGTTGGCCTGACGGAGTTTCCGTTAGTTTACAGCCGCCGCAGGTGTCCAGCCCAAGCGGTGGCCGTTGACCAGGGCGCTCTGGCAGCTGTCGGTCGTCGGGCACGCGAAGAGCGTGCGACTGATGAGAACGAGGCACCACCGGAGGTTCAAGCCAGAATCTCGGCCTTCATTTCGTCGATCTCCACCACACCGCCTCCATCCATCCTAGGGGGGCCGCCGGCCTCTGTCCCAGTCACTAGGACTCGACGCCGTGCAACTATCCTAGAAGGATTCACGCCATGGCGAAGCCCGCGGTTGGCTCTGCAGGGGAATGGGACACGGCGGCACACGATCTCCAAAGCCCAGAAGGTGACTATGAAGAAGTTGGGAATTATTGAGGAGGAAGAAGAGGCAAACCAGGAAGCGGTTCAGGAATTCGAGAAGCTCTTTGATGAACCGCTGCCTCCGCATCATGTCCAGGCCATTGCAGAACTGTTGCAAATCGACATGGCCGCACCCCTTCAACCTCTGCCTGAAGTTCTTCCGGGGGTGGAGGTCGCGTCTCCGGCCTGATTGCTTTGTTTCCCTTTTCAGCTAATCTGAAGTGTGTCCAGTTCCCTATGTTAGGTTTTAGTTTCCTAGTGTGGAATGTAAGGGGTCTTAATAACCCTGCTAAGCGTGCGTTGGTGAAAGAGTCTGTAATCTCCTCTAGTTCCTCTGTCGTTTGTTTTCAGGAGTCCAAGTTGTCCGCTGTCAACCAGTCGCTAATTTATGAACTTTGTGGTCTGGATTTTGATGGGTTCGTGTTTTTGCCCGCTGAGGAGACTAGAGGGGGAGTAATAATTGCCTGGAAGAGTGCTCTGTTCCGAGGGGATGTGGTTCATATTGGCACTTGGTCTGTTACTGTTAATTTGTGCTGGTTGGCTGCTAACAGATCATGGTCCTTAACTTCAGTTTATGGGCCACAAGGTGATGAAGAAAAGCTTTTGTTTCTGGAAGAATTGTCAGTGATCCGGGAGATTTGTTTGGGGGAGTGGTTAATTGCGGGCAATTTCAACCTTATCGCTGCAGCAGAAGACAAGAACAACTCGAGGATTAATAGACGACTGTTGAATGCCTTCCGAAGCAAGATTAATGATTTAGAATTGAAGGAAATGTACATGTTTGGCAGACGCTATACCTGGAGCAGCGAACAAGCCAGACCAACTTTGGTGAAGCTGGACAGAATTCTTGTGACAACCTCCTGGGAAGATCTCTTTCCTGAGGCGCATCTGCAGGCTTTGAGCTCCTCAAACTCTGACCATTGCCCTCTTTTGCTGACATGTGGTGAGTTCAAACCTATCTCTAGGAGGTTTCGGTTTGAGACGTTTTGGACAAAATTAGATGGATTCATGGAAGTGGTGAAAGAATCTTGGGAGCGCAGTGTGGATAGCACCGACCCCTTTTGCATTCTGTATGTCAAGATGGCGCGGTTGAGTAAGATCTTGTCTAAGTGGGGTCAGAAGAAAATGAGTAATTTCAGGCTACAACTTCAGATTGCGAATGAAATCATTCTCCGTTTTGATGTGGCACAGGAAATTAGAATTCTATCTGACTTGGAGCGGCAGCTGCGAGCTGCGCTCAAAGGGCGCTGTTTGGCTCTTGCATCACTTGAAAGAATTAGGATTCGGCAGCGTGCCAGGGTCAGAAACCTTCGAGAGGGAGACGCCAGCACTGCTTACTTCTTCATGAAAATGAAATCACACCAAAGGAAATTGAAGATACTCTGGCTGGAGCATGATGGCGTCATTGCCACCACGCAGGAGGATATGGAACAGATGGCGAAGACCCATTTCGAATATGTGATGGGGGCCTCACAGGGTGATTTAAAACAAATCCTTTTCCAAGAAATTCATTTGGCTAGGGCAAACTTATCTGAGCTGGATGATGCCTTCACGGAGGAAGAGGTCTGGGCTACAATCAAGGCCATGCAGAATGAGAAATCCCCTGGTCCTGACGGCTTCACTGGCCTCTTCTATCAGAGATGCTGGGATGTAATAAAAAAAGAAGTCCTAGAAGCTCTTCATAAATTTTGCACAGGCAACTCACAAAATCTTGAACTCTTGAATACGGCCATCATTACCCTTCTCCCGAAGAAAGATGCACCGACACTTTTGAAGGATTTCAGACCAATAAGTCTTATTCACAGCTTTGCTAAGCTCGCAACAAAGATTTTGGCCCTCAGGCTTGCCCCTCGCATGGATGAGCTGGTGGCTCACTCCCAGTCTGCCTTTATCAGAGGCCGTTCCATCCATGAGAATTTCATTTTTGTGAAGGGGTTGGCCACACAATTCCATCGAAATCACAAGGCGATGCTTCTTTTCACACTTGACATCTCGAAGGCCTTTGATTCAGTGTCTTGGAGCTTTCTGCTGAATATGCTGCGTTTTAGGGGGTTTGGGCCGAAATGGAGAAGCTGGGTGGCTGCCCTTTTCTTGACAGCTGAAACTAGGGTTGATCTGAATGGCGCCCTGGGTGAATCCTTCAAGCCGCAGAAAGGTTTACGGCAAGGAGACCCTCTCTCTCCTCTCCTCTTTGTTTTGGTAATGGACACAATGCACTCAATGCTCTAGCAAACTACCACCATTGGCCTCATCGACAAAGTAAACTTGAGGAACCGAGCTCCAAACATATCGATCTATGCTGACGACGCTATTATCTTTCTTAAGCCGCTGGTTCATGAGGTGGAAGCGGTAAAAGCTCTGCTGAATCTGTTTGGGACTGCTACTGGGCTTCACATCAATTTCTCCAAGAGTGCCGTTACCCCCATAAGATGTGCTGAGTCTCAGAAGACATTGGCGCAGAACACTCTAGCCTGCAGATTGGAAGATTTCCCAATTACTTACCTCGGGCTACCTCTCTCGATCAGGAAGCCTACCAAAGCGGAGGTTCAACCCACTCTTGACAAGATGGCTAAGAAGGTTGCAGGTTGGAAACCCAAATTACTCTCACCTGACGGTAGACTATGCCTGATCAAATCAGTGTTGATGGCCATTCCGGTCCATTTCCTCTCTGTTCTACAGCTGCCTAGGTGGGCGATCAAAGAAATGGAAAGGCGCCGTCGCGTATTCTTGTGGAAGGGGCAGGAAGAGATTAATGGAGGGCACTGTCTTGTTGCTTGGAGGGATCTGTGCCGGCCAATTTCAAATGGCGGCCTTGGAATTAAAGACATCGATCTTTTTGGGAAAGCATTAAGGATGAAATGGGATTTCAAAAGACTGGAGCACAAAGATAGGCCATGGACAATGGCTGGTTGGGGGACGGACAGAGATCTTCAAGACATCATCAGCTCAACTGCAGTCCATATGCTAGGCGATGGATGTGACACGAACTTTTGGAGGGGAAATTGGCTTCCTGGCGACGGGAGCATCGCTAGCAGATGGCCCATCCTATTTTCTTTTGTGGGCAGAGCTAATCTAACAATAAGTCAGGGGTTATCCAATAATACTTGGGTTAGGAGACTGCAGGGCTCCTTGTCAGGAAGGGCGTTGCTCGATTATCTAGCCCTATGGGATGAACTGCAGCTGGTTCAGCTGCAGCAAGGGGTGGAGGATTCTATCCTTTGGAAGTTCTCAACCAATGGGCAATTCTCCGTTGCATCGGCCTATGAGTTTTTCTTCCTTACGGCAGTACGCTGCCCTTATGGGGAGATGATTTGGAAGGCTAGGGCACCAGCTCGGGTGAGATTCTTTATGTGGTTGATGGTGAAAAGTCGCTGCCTCACAGCGGACAACCTTGCTAAGCGCGGATGGCCACATGATCCTGCTTGCCCCTGTGTTTGACAGAGCTAGAAGACTGTGATCATCTCCTCTCCAAATGTTCCTTCACCATTAGAGTCTGGTCTTTGCTGAGGTCTTAGCTCAACGTGAGTTTTCCACCCCCAGGACGTCAAAATCTATCTCTGCCAGAATGGTGGCAGCTAGCGCGGTGCAGTTTTCAGACGCGCTACAGGCGTGCTTTTGACACCCTGTTCCTGCTGGTAAGCTGGTTAATATGGAAAGAACACAATGCTAGAGTCTTTGATCAAAAGAGCAAAACAGCAGAGCATCTAGTGGCAGACATCAAAGAGGAAGTAGCAGTTTGGAGAACTGCGGTGGTATTTGAAAGTTGTGAGGAGTAGCCCTAGCATTACCGCAGTTTTTCTTTCTTTGCTTCCCCTCCCCACTCCTGTTTCCAGGGGTCTTAACCTCTGGACCGACAGTATAATGTCGTGTAAAATATGTACTTATTCCCCCTTTCAATCTTAATGAAATTTGGTCGGCTCCTTCGCCGACCCGGCAAAAGATCAGTGGCGAAGTACATTGTCGGAAATGGCGAAAACACTGATTTTTGGACAGCAAACTGGACTGGGCACGGCTGCTTTGCTTGGCGATGGCCAACGCTGTTTTCTTATGTGGGGCGTGCTAGACTTTCAGTTGCTAAACCTTGTGCAACAACAAATGGGTCCGTGGTCTGCAGGGTGCACTATCCAATGAAGCAATGGGCGAATTTTTTCAGTTATGGGATGAGGTCCACGATTTCTCCCTGCTCCCATCGCCTGACGAGATCAGATGGAAGCTGACGGGCGACGGGAAATTCTCGGCGGCGTCGGCTTATGATGTTTTCTTCATAGCTGCTGAGGACTGCCCCTATGGCGAGCTACTGTGGAGATCCAGGGCCCCCTCGCGTGTGCGTTTCTTCATGTGGCTTGCGTTGAAGGATCGATGTCTCACCGCCGACAATCTTGCGAAGCGAAATTGGCCGCACGACCCCCTCTGCTCGCTGTGTCAGAGAGAAGACGAGGATTGCCACCACTTGTTTGTAACCTGTCCTTTTACGGCGGAGGTATGGCGAAAGATCAGAAGATGGTGCAATGCAAACTTTGCAATCCCGGCAGACGGTGACAGCAGACTTGCTGACTGGTGGCTTGCAACGCGACGCCGTTTTCGGACGAGCTACAAAGTGGACTTCGACAGTGCCTTCATGTTAATTTGCTGGCTTATTTGGAAGGAACGAAATGCTAGAATTTTTCAGCATGTGTCGATGACCACGGAGCAAGTAGCCGAGAATATAAAAGAAGAAATCGCGGTGTGGAGGGTAGCTGGGATCTTCTCCCAATTCGGCGAGTAATCGTTGTTGTATTGTCTCTTTCTCTTTCGCTTGTTCACGCTGTTTGTAATGTCGCTGTAATATTCCTTTGTTTTTCTCCCCAATCTTAAGAAATTGGTCAGCCAATCTTTGGCTGACCCGGCAAAAAAAACCATGGATAGATCATGTAATTACAAAGAGATTACTATGTTCACATTAACAAAGAAATCACAGATACAACTGATAATTGTGAAATTTATATTTTTGACAGAAACGACGGTGGGCTTACGCCAGCCTGAACCTTTATATTAATATATTCGTAAGCAATATTACAATGTGATTGAAAAAGAGTTACAGGGGGACAGGAGGAGGAAACGGAATTAGGAACTGGAAAAAGCTAAGAACCTACGGCCCTATTCAACCAAGGCTTGATGGACCATCGTTTTGCAGCTCCAGTCCAGTGCAGCACATCATCCACGCAGCACCAGGCGGTTTGACTGGTTTGTTCGTCGACATTGTTTAAGACCTTGTTGTTGCGACATTTCCAAATGTTCCAAGGGATGCACACCAAAATCGTTCAAGGGATCGAAGGAGGGCTGGCAGGGAGTGCAGGAAGGATTGTCGTTCAGAGATGCTCCAAGGCAGGGAGGTAGGCAAGAGACACATCAAAGCCAAGAAAGGACCATAGCGCTCTGACTTTAGAGCATCGAAGAAACAGGTGTTCTACACTTCCACGCTCTCCGGTACAGGGCAGAAAAGGGTATCGAGGATAGGCGACGGTCCCTCTTTTGTGTCATCATTCATTGGTGTAGTGCCGCTGACGTTTGGTAGGAGCAGAATTCACCCAGACAGCAGGCGCCAAATAAATTACTATGTTCACATTGACAAATAAATCAGAGGTACAACTAGTAATTGAAAGAGGTTTAACCGTTTTCAGGGATGATTAGACCATCTGATAATTACCTTTTGGATAGGGAATGTTAAAGTTGTCCTGAAAACAAAGCAACTATGTAATGTTAATACTACCAAACAACTGGAATGGTTTTCTTAATAAAAATTTTAATGTGATGATTCGTTGCAGATTATTAGAAAGAGTTAAAATGTGACATTCGCACAAACGTAGATACTGCATTTCTCACATTATGAAATTAAACTGAAGTAACTATTGGGTTTCTTTATTTGAATAAAAGTCATGTGGGTTGCTTTTTGGGGGGTAGCTATAAGGTTTCTGCCAATATATAATTTGAGAGATGCATGAACATAACAAGATATGTATCAAAGCAAGACAGGTTGCATTGAAAGAGGATCCGAAATTCTGAATAACCTGATGTTGATGTATCAGCATCATTGCCGTCAGGGGCATCATCAACGTTAGGAAATATTGCATCAATATCAGGACAGACATCAACAAAAGGAAATACTGCATTAATAGCAGCAACATCAATACTATTACTGGCAGCCTCTTTATCTTCAGTCATGCATGTTAGTAACTGGTCCTGTTAAGATTATAGTATAGACTCAGTACTCAGTAAAGGGAGATCAGATGTATAACTATACATAAACAAGAATCTCTAGACTTAACATACCGATATGAAACACATTGCGAGCGGTGAGATGGCTACACGATAATCCATAAGAGAGATTTCAAGAAAATAACGCCACAGGTCTCGGATTTCAGCACAAGCCTCATTGAACTGCAACATAACAAAGATGGCTGTCAGTATGAGTGAATTTAACAAAACAATGTTGAAACAAGGCCATGCAAAACAGAAGATTCTCAAACCTCAGAGCTTGAAATATCTGTGGGGACATTATTCAGCTTTAGCTTAATCTTCTCAAGGATAAAAACTCCATTTCTGCATTTTTCCTCTCGTATTTGAGAAAATGGCTTTTCTTCAATATTATCAGCTGCTCGAAGAAACAAGTACTTGAAAATATCATCCATCCTTTTGAAATGTAAGACATAATTCTCCTCTGAATCTTGACAGATTGTTGCATTGTCCGAGAAATGATCACCCTGATATGTATCAGAGATCGATTCTGGATCAAAAACTTGCCGCAGGTTCGTCCAGAAACCCCCTTCGGGATGCTTGCTGCGCATGTGTTGCAAGAGCGAATCAATGTCTGGGATCTTCTTGCCAACACAATAGGGACAAATCCAGAACCTCCATGACTTGTTTTTCTTGACAAAGTTGAGTGCATCAGATATGGTCTTTGCAGCTTCATGGTCATCTTGATAGAAAGTAACAAAGTGTAGGTGCAAATACTTGAGTCCCACCAATCGAAAGCTGTCCTGCTTCTCGCTTGCCAGTGAGCACCAGTAATCTCTACACACCAAGACAAGCTTCTGAAGCAAACGTTTGAGCTCTGTGCGGATATAAGATTTCCTATCCTCAGGCTTCTCTCCGGGGATAGATCCAGGAGGCACGTCCTCCTCCCTGGGATCAGTAGGCTCCTCCATACGGATTGCCCGGTCACACTCCACTTCCACAGAACAATACTTCCCCATGACAAACCAGAGCTTCGCGCGGAACATGGCAATCTCAAGCGAATTGCTGAACTCTTCAACCAAATTGTTCAATGCGTCGAGGATGCTATTCAGAAACGGCTTCTTGTCAATGTTTGGGTCGAGGCCGCGCGCGAAATCCAAGCTGATCTTTGCGTGGGTCAAGTGCGCGCGCGCCGAGTAGCCGAATCGCTCGACGAGCGCCTTCTTCGCTTGCTTCTTCGCCGTGGCCGCGCCCTCGCGCTTGGAGATGTCGAGCATGTCGACGACGACGGCGGGAATGATCTTGGCGGACATGTGGGACATGATATGGTGAGAGTGGAAGAGCGCGGCCTCCCTCGCTTTCGCCAACCTGTCCATGGTGGTGCTCAGGGTGCGGTCGAGGTCGAACGCGACGTTGTTCTCCGCCGGGTCGGTGGGGGAGGAGATGGCTAGGGCACGCATGATCTCGCGATCCGGCTCGTAGTCCTTGGCGCTGGCGACCTTCGCCATGGCGAAGCCGGTGGCGATCTGGACGCAGTTGGGGGCGAGACGCTTGGCCTGCGCGTAGAGGTCGCGCGCGTAGACGAGGTGCATCACCGAAGCCTGGCCGTCGGAGCCGTCGCGGGCGGAGCGGGTGGAGGCGTTCTGGTGGAGGCCGGCGGCGAGGTGGAGCACGACGGCGGACTCCGGGTGCTTGGCCGCGAGCTCGTCCGCGCGCGCGATCGCCTCGTCGTGGCGGCCCTCGCGATCCAGCCGCATCGCCTCCACGGCCTCCTTGCGCAGGGGGCTCGCCTCGAGGAGGCACCGCCGCTCCTCCTCCTCGCGCGCCGCCTCGGCCTCCTTCCGCTGTTTCCCTCTGCCCCTGCCCATCTCCCCCCCGGTGCGAGATCAAGCGACGCGACGCGACGCGAGCGAGCGAGGTGTTGGTGTGAGACGCCGCGGCGACGCAGGAGATGGAGGCGGCGACGCGCGCGCGCGCGAGGTGTTCGTCGGAATGCCGCAACTGCGACGGGGACTCGAAGGGTTTGGTGGTGGAAAAGGCGGCGCGGGTGAAAGCTGAGGGGTGAGGGGCTCTTCCGATTTAAAGAGTTCGAATGCTGCGGGAGCGAATAGCTAGGGCCAGTTTGTTGAGGTTTCTATCTGGACTGGACGAGGTGATAAGCACGGAGAAGTTGTTATACAGTAGCCTCTTTTATCTTTATCTCTACTACTTAAATTCCATCGTCCGTAAAAAAAACGGACGAAAAAAACTAAATTTATCCAATAAAAAAACCGGGCGAAAAAAAGTACGAAAAAAAACCAAATATGTCCGATCCAGAAAAAAAAGGCGAAAAAAACCAGCGAAAAAAAAACCAAAATTATCCGATCCAAAAAAAATAGGGCGTTGCTCCCCTCAAAATGCTTCCTTGCTCTGTGTACTTTGTTCAACAGGATCAAGGGAAACAACTCTCCACTTATTTTTCCAGTGTCCTTTTAGCACTCAATGTTGGGCGTAATTTAGTGTGGTTTGGAATCTTTCTTTAAGCTTTGGTGAAATGTTGGTCACGGCCAGAAATTCATATAACTCTACCCATTTTGTTGAGAAGGTGCTTTATGCTGCTTGGAACATTTGGAAGCAGAGGAATAGTTTAATTTTTGAAAACATTGTTCCCTCTTGGAGAGTTCTCTTTAGGAATGATCTCTCCCTTTTAGTTCATAGAGTCAAAAATTCTGAGAGAAATACATTGTTACAGTGGTTAAATTTATTGTAATTTTTTCCCCTTTATTAATATAAAATCTTAACGGTGGAGGCTTCCCCTACCGTGGTTCTTTCAAAAAAAACAGGGCGAAAGAGAACGTGCGAAAAAAAAGAAAAACCAAATCTGCAAATCTGTCCTATCTAGAAAAAAGGGGCGAAAAAAGACCGGGCCAAAAAACCAAAATAGTCCGATCCAAAAAAAACGGGCAGAAGAAAACGTGCGAAAAAAGAAAAGAAAAACCAAATCTGATGCGGTAAAAGAAAAATCAGGGGAAAAATGAATTTGTCTGATTCCCCAACAATAATTGTCTGGTCAAAAAAACCGGGCGAAAGAAAAAAAAAGCGAAAAAAATTAAAAAAAAAGTCCGACTTCTATCCGATTCCCTCTCTTATACGAAAAAAAAGTTCAACTATAGATCCGATTCCCCCTTAAAAACGAAAAATAAAAGGCACCACTCCTTTTGAGTCCGATATACCAGCCACCACTCCTCTCAGTTTCAATCTATACCATGATATCTCACACATCTTAGTGAAACAAAATGATGTGCTGGATTAAAGATCTGTTTAAAACCACTTCAATTGAAGACAGGGGGGTAATTTGAATGGTTTTGAAAGTTAAGGGGGATAGATATCTGATTTTGAAGTGAAGGGGTGTATTTTAGACGAACGCAATAGTTCAGGGGGGTCAAATAGACTTATCCCTTTAGAATTTATATATATGAGTTTAAAAAACAAATCTTCATTATTAGAAAACACGAAGGAGAAATACAAGGTGTAATGAGGGCCCCGAATTTAATCCTTTTCATTTTATTATTTTCATATCGACATTTTAGTGATAGATCACACTTCAGCTCCAAGCGAACTACAGTTCTTATAATTCAACGACAGGAACTTTGCTTTCTTTTTGTTTCTTTTTTCTTTTCTTTTCTTTTTGCCGGATTAGCCAAAGAAAGATTGACCAAATTTTATTAAGAGTGGAGGTATGTACAAAACTTTGCTTTCTTATAACTTACCAAGAATATATGAGGACAACTTATAAAGTAAGGATCAATAACCAATCAAGCAAATAGTCAAAGAAGCAATAGCATTTTATTATAATTCTTCAACAATCCAAAAAGTTAGTAAAATAATACTTCAAAGCAATAGTTGGCTAGTTGCAAGAATTCTAACCTATTTACATTTCATTACATTGGTAGCTAAACTCTTCATAACTTACCAAGAATATATGAGGACAACTTATAAAGTAAGGATCAATAACCAATCAAGCAAATAGTCAAAGAAGCAATAGCATTTTATTATAATTCTTCAACAATCCAAAAAGTTAGTAAAATAATACTTCAAAGCAATAGTTGGCTAGTTGCAAGAATTCTAACCTATTTACATTTCATTACGTTGGTAGCTAAACTCTTCTATGCTTTAAAAATGTGGGATGATAAAAAAAGAACTTAGCAGCTGTTATTGATAGAGAGGGAAAATGGTGAGAGAACCCACGCACGAGACATGCCTCGAACAAAGGCTGGTCTAAACCCTGGTAGCGTTCTTACCACTAAGCTAGCCTACGTTCGAGTCATGTCTCATACGTGAGTTTTTTTTAGACTTACACCATTTTCCTCTGCTAAGTTCCTTTGTATCATCCCACAATTTTTCATTTGAAAGAAAAAAAACTCTTCAATGCTTCCAACGCAAACATGCAGACTCAATGACTCAAGTACTCAACCACATTTTTATTTCACTATCATTATTCCACCAATGCAAAAACAAATCCAGAGATAATCCTCTCTAGTCTCTACGGTATCTGTAACAATATACCACTCGATTTCATTTAACTTTACACTGCACAAATAAAAGAACACGTCACTGCAGAAGCAGAAAGCTTCAGATAGCTAGCATGGCGTAGCCGATGTATGCTCCCAGCGACGTGACGACGACGCCGGCCACCACCGGAGCAGCGGCGGCGGCGCCACTCCGGTCGTTGGCTGCGGGCGCCGCCGGCGTCGTCGCGTTCGCCCCATCGGTCCCCGGCGGCGGCGGCGGCTGGGCCACGCCTCCAGGGGTAGTTGACGGCGACGGTGCCATGGCCGCTGGCGCCGGTGGCGAGCTCGGTGTTGACGTCGTCGGAGCAGGCGCCGGCGCCATAGGTGAAACCGACGGCGATGGGCTCGGCGTCGTAGCTACCGGAGACGGCGCCAAGCTCGGGGTGGCGGCGGCTGGCGCAGGCGACGGTGGCGACGACGCCGGGCTCGGCATCGGCACCGGCGCGACGGGAGGAGGCACAGCCGGCGGCGACGGCGGAGGCGCGTGGCGGCCGCCGCGGTCTGCCATGACGACGACGACGAGCTTCTCGCCGGCGCGGCAGTTGGCCTCGTTGCCGCTGATGAAGAAGAAGGGCCCCGACCTGTCGAACGTGAACACCGTGTTGCCGTCGTCGTACCTTCCGCCGCCGCCGCCGGCCACCGACGACGACGTGTTGCACGCGTCGTACGCCCCCTGATCCACCACCACCACCGCGTCCATCTCCTTCGGGTACACGAACACTGCACCAACCAAAAAAAAAAAAGAAAGAAACCGTGAGATCATCACCACGCTTGCACGGCCGGCGAAATCCTCGCCGGCGATCATCTCGGCGGCGGCGCGGCGACTTACGCAGCTGGTCGCCGATCTGGAACCTCATCCTGCCGGCCCACGAGTTGTACGGCTCGGCGTTGGCGTCGGGGACGCTCCAGCCTCTGCCTCCTCCGACTCTGAACTGCGTCGCGCTCGCCGCTGCGGCCATGAGACCCAACCACGCGAGCCCCACACTGACAGTTGCCACTGCTCCCGCCATTTTTTCTTGCACACTTGATAGTTGATACCACCACGACTAGTGATCGATTTCACTGCAGTGCTGTGCCTGATCTGATCGATCAGACAAAGCTGGGTTGCTGGGTATTTGTAGTGGTGATACAGAAATTCAGAATTAATGAATTGGAGACTTGGTAATAATAAGCCTAGTCAGAGGCTTTGTCTGAATGCAATGGACGTGTCACTTTACAAGGAGTTAGCACTTGCCACAGGTTGTCACTTTGATTATTACTAATTGGGTATTTCATTGGCATAATATGTGTTGTACAGGTGATGGTCTGACAGAGTGACAAGTGCTCATGAAAATTCACAGTTTAATGCTTCGATTTGGATACGTATCCAACGTCATTTTCAGATGAGGGATGACTCGAGAAGTCGAGATGTTAACCCACACACATGGCGAGGCTTGAGGCGACGACACCATGCGTTGGTCGGCAGTAGTAGAAGGATTCAGAAAAGAATTCTCTGCATAGGCGGCGAGCAGCTAATCTTATCTATGCACAGAGAGAGATTCAGAGAAGAATTTGAGTTCATCTTGTAGTTCAGAAAGGACAATCATTCATGTCATAGAAAAATTTCAGAAGCCTCCTGGATCGAATATAGTAGGTGTGTTGGAACATTGTGAGAGGAATCTCTGAACAAACAGCAGTAGTAACATTCAGTAAAAAAAAAAATTCTGAGAATTTGATTTGGTAGGGGCTCTTGCGTCCTCCTAGAATGCTCAAAGATGCTGTAAAAAGTTTCAGGATTGGTCAAGAAGGCAGGGAGCATGGAGCCACCAAATATGACAATTTTTTTCAGGAATAGACAAAAGACTTGCGCATCCACAAAATCTGACAATGTCTTCAGAGAATAATTGTTCAGACTAGGTGGAACATTTTTGTTTATTCACCATTTTCAGGTCCGGTCAACTTTTCAAACTTCAGAAATAGCCAAAACTCAAAAAAAGCAGTACAATGCATAGTTTGTTCAGTCATGGACACATTACACATGTCCCTAATCTAGACGCTTAGCATCCATCACAACGCTCATACGATTATTTCAGGCGATTTTATTCTCCTCCTGATCGAACAGCACGAAGAAAACACACACCAGAAAACTATATGAACTGTCATTCAAACTAGGCGACTCGGAGGCCGCCACGCAACTCGCTGAAATCACCGCACGCTGTCACAAACGAGGAGGACCTTGACCTCGACAAGAAGGAGCTCGCGGATGATGCTCTTGCTGCCTTCTTCCTCCTCGGGTTCTTGGGGCCTCTCGGGATGTCATGGCAGCAGGAGGCGGCCTCCTGGCCGGATTTGTCTGTGCAGACTTCTGTTGGGAGCGTGGCTCTTGGTGGTTTGTCAAAATCTGCAGCAATTCAAAGACAAAACATAATGAAATGAGAGGAGGTAGGGTGACATGATTTGTTAAAGAATGGTATGATTCACCAGAAAGACTGTTAGGCCTTCTCGGGGATATGGGAATTCTACATGAATTTTATGAAAATCAGTTCAATTCTGTCGAGAATCGCAAAGAGAACTCCTGAGGACTTAACCTTTCTCATGACTTCTGAAATTCTGTTTGCTAAACGGGTTGGGCAAAAGCAGATTGTGCAGGGTTTACATCATAACCCACTAAAATCATGATGAAACTCTTTCAAGAGAAGAAAAAAAGCATGAATTCAGTCATCCAACTCAGTCAAGAGATCGGAGCTGCATCAGTGGACGAACTGTAGAGAGGCACGCCACCTCACTCACCGACGTTTGGTCCCCTGACAACACAAGATTTCCCACGAAAGATCCGACATATCACTCCTCCAGAGTTAGTCAGCAAGGGGCGACGCTGCAAGTCTGAACATCGCATTCCACCAGGATGGGGACAGACAATGGCAAAAAAGGGTGCAAGTGCTGATATGACAATCAAGTCTACCTTGACACCAAACTAGGCTGAAGTTTCCAAAACCAGAATTAATGGAGAAGAGCAGACAGAGCAATGGTATGGTATGCCACTACTGTAGAACAGAAGGTTCAAGCTTGTACTGGAGTATGTAGATTCTGAATCAACTAGCTAGACACAAGTACATGACTAGTTATGCTTTCTTGCATGAGCAAAGGTTTCAGACATCATTAGCGTCCCGTCCCGACTGAAAACTTCATGAAGAGCAAACACTGAAAAAGGAGCGCATAAGTGGACAGAAGGAAGAGATCGAGGGAGATACTTGCCTTGAGATGCCCAGGATGTCTTCCTTGACTGTGCAAAGGAGCCCATGGAGCCTGCTGACAACTCTTCCAATCCTCTGAATTCACTCATCTAGTAAAATTGCCATAAAAAATCACAACCAGAGAATAGGAAAATGTATAGATCATTGCAAAGAAGATTACTTGGAGAAACCTTCCAGCTATGAGATATGAGATCCTTACCCAGCTTGGGCATGAATCACTAGTGCCCACGCCTATGTGAGACACATGCCTGACGTCTGTAGGGCACCCGATTTCCATCTCTTGTTGCTTCTGCAGTGCTGGATAACCGAAAGGGAGCAATGGTCATACTGGTATATAACCAATGGTATAGAAACTGTGCATTGCTATTGTGGTTCAGCTAATTCATCAAAAACTGAAAATAGAGGTAGATGCAGCAAAGATAAACAATCTGCTTCGCTTACCGAATATTTGAGAGATTATCTTCAAACCTTTGAATATCCCCTTCATCTTTATCTCCATTGGTGAGGTGCCTCAGTACTCCAAACAAAGAAAGAACATAAGTGTCCTGAAGGAAATACTCACGAACTAGTGTATTACTTTGCCATGCACATATCTAAGCATCAGTTAATCTTCAGAATGTGGGGTAGCAGAGTTCATGCATGGAGACCAAGATCATACACTGCATGAATTTGTGTATGACTGCTGATCAGAATAGGGAGTCACTTCCAAGGTGAATGGCTTTATTGACTGTGAACTAGAACTTGTCAGCAGGCAGCCATTTTTGCCCCTACACTGGTTTGCAGTTTTCTCCTATCGCAGAAGCAACCAGCCCTGCTTCCTAATTATTGGACACACTACACACCAGAAAGAGGGATGAGAAGGAACAGAATGGGCTGAGAGAGTGTGAGAATAAGAGTAAGCTCAAGACTACTTAAATAAAGGTGACAACTAACAAGTTAGCTGGCTTTTCCTATTCCAAAAGTCTGCTGTCATCTCATTTGGGCCATTTCATAAGACAGGTGTATATTTGATAACATGTGATGTTTTAGCTGTTCTTGATCTTAATGTTCAAGGATTACTTTATCGTGAGCTTAAATATGCCATTTCTCCCTAAACATTTTCTTGCTAGCGCTTAATTTCTGCATGATCTGCTCCAGATAGTTGCATATTACCAATGCAAAAGATTTGTTGCATAGTCACTCTCACATGCTGCTGTCTTTGACAAGTTACCATAAGTATTCTGGGCCAGTCTCCACCAAATAGAATGGAACGAAATGTTGGATCTATGTGATACACATTTTACATGCACAATAGCTTGATCTACCTGAATTCCTTTGTGCCCTCCAGTAACATCCTAAATTTACTCAAAATCATCCAAGCAAGCTACTTGCATGAGTATGGACTGAAGAAGAAAATGAAGTGCCGGAGCAAGTGCACCTGCCTAGTTTTCACTTGGCATGAAAAGAGAATACAGCCTTGCTTGAGGTAGATTAGATCCTTAAAAGCTGAGTTTTGCTCAAATCTGTCCTCTATTAATGCATGGGGTCTGATGGTCCTATTTCCTTTTAATCATCAAACAACCAAATGTTTGGTTATAAAGTATGGTCTTGACCTTGAACTGTAAAAATTAAGGTAATAACCTCTATGTACTTGGCCGTGCCTAATTATTTTGGGTAGAATACATTGGAATAGAGAATGTTATAGACTCATAATATTGAAGATAAAGCTTGTAGAAAAATGAATGGCAATCATTAACAGTTAGATGAAAAATACCACTACCTCGTCCCAAAACGGACCACATTAAATTTGGACCAAAGATATTATCTGAAGCGTACACTTAGATATAGGAAAACCATATAAGCATTTTTCTTAACTAAAAATATTTCCATGCTGCTATCATACTTTATCTTTTTATCAACTTAAATTAAATTCAGTGGTCCCGTAGCAACCTATGTTTGACACCTAAGTGTAGTTGTGAGCAGACTTAATTCTTTTTTCTGTGGATCATAGGTTTTGCTTACCTAGTCTGGTTCTTACTTTCAGTTCAACATCAGCAACAAATTTTTTGGGTGCTAGTACTTCTCTGGGCTTTGCCTATTAAATCTGTACTCTTTGAGATATTAAAGGCGTAACAGATAGGAAACCTGCAAACACTAAGAGTTAAGCTGGAATCGTCCCCAGTGACACCATGCCTGTACTCTTGTTGCTTACTAAAAAAGCAGGGTGTAAAGCCTTTTCTCTAAACAAGATACTAACTAAGAAAATAGAACATAAAACAATATAGAACTTCACTGTTGTTATATAAGGACTTCATGGAACTGCTTGTCTTCATTAGTACCTTGCCAGGATTTCAGGCTTCATAAGCTGCAGGTACCTTGCAAATATAGAAGTTGCATATCCAAAACAGATTTCAGAACATCATTGTTCCTCATTTGCATAGTGATTTGGTCTACGTCCCTTAATATAATTTCAAATCGACCAAAAGGGACACCTGTTATCATAAAACAAAATGGTCCGTTTTATCATGAATATGGAATAGTCAGTATATAACATATTGTATTGATGAAAGATACTTTTTTTTCTCAAAAACGCAAGAGCCATGCGTTTCATTTCATTAAGGAGAAGAAAAGGTATGTACAGCAGAGTGCTTCACAAAGGAACACTCTGAAAAAAGAAGAGAAAAACACAAAAACATCGCCGAGGCGATGCGCAACAACTCCCGCAGGAGCTAAGCTCCTAGGTGGAGAGCGACCGGGCCAAGAGTTCATGAAGAGCTCTTGCCCCAGCAGTACACAATAATAAACTCTCCCTTGCCAAAGCATCCAATACGGCAGCAGTACTAGGTGTGGCATTGTTGAAGATGCAGTCATTCCGGTGTTTCCAAATTTCCCAGGCCACTAAGATAATCACAGAGTTCAGCTCTTTCTTAGCTTCCTTAGAGACACCTCTGACCACATGGGACCACCAACTAGAGAAGATTAGTCATCACAGCAAAGCTCTTATTCTGCAATATATTTTTATATTTTCAAAGTTTCAGAAGAGATATGCAGTCTCTTGCAGGCTACATCAGGGTCGTTGGGATATGGAAGATGCTCCATTTTTATTTGTGCTGAAAGATACACATTGTTAATACAGGATATTAACTTGTAGGCTAGTCAACAGCTATGCTCTTTTTGTGGAACTTTATGCAAACAATTGAAAGATGCAGTTTCTTGCAGGCTACAAACAAACAAACATAGCTACCAAGTTGAAGATGATGGCATCCAAAAGCAAAACAAACATCTCATCTTTTGTTTTCTTTTTTTTTCCTGAAGACGAGATCTAATCTGAACGATCATGCCTTGCACCTACTATACCCAACCACTGGCATTGTTTGCAATTTAGGATGTGGGCAACATACTTAGACCTATGATGGATTCCTGGACCAAATACTTGCAGATATGGTCCATGACAGTCACACCACATCTAGCTATCTACATACATAGTAACAACCACTTTACTGATGTAGAAACTAGAAAGTTAAAATACTTGTCATTAATCACCACACTGTGATTGACAACTTGTCAAGTGTACTCGTAGTGGTTGGTATATTAAGATGCTGCTTAGGTGAGCACTATAATGAAGGCTGAAGCAACAGAGTAAATGAGTAATCTCGCATTAGAATATGATACTCTTCACCAACTTCTCTTCGCTGTCTTTCTGATACCGTATAACTGAATATTGGTAAGAAAACCGAAGTGTGGTAAGCTTGGAGGATTCAGAATGTACCTGAAGCTCGGCTGTCTCTCAATTCCTCGCATAGTATCTGAACTCTGAAGAGGGGAAATAAATTGTAAATTAACCAAAAAAAACTGCAATTCAAGACAATAGAATTGGTGAATTGTGACTAATATGACATAGTTAGTAGTACTCCTACCAACTAATAGAGTATCGCTGACACTGGGTTAAATCGGTTGCCAAGGGCATGTTCAGACTTCAGAGAATTAGCGCACACTTGGAGCACTGTATCACTATCTGCAGGTGGTGGGATAAGGGATATCGAGGCCTCTTCGGCTGATTACAGCTTGAGCCCGCCGCACCGCCGCGCCCCGGAGGTGGCCGGCAGCACGCGGGGACACGGCGGCGACCGTGGGGGCGGGACGGCTAGCCGGAGCACGGAGGCCATGCATGGAAGGAATACCTAGGTAGACGTAGGCCATACGCCGGCGATCCGATACGGCGAGGCCGCGGGAGGGGAAACCCCGACGTGCTCCAGGCTCGCCGGAGCTCCGCCGCCTCGCCGCCGAGGGGAGGTATAGGAGGGGGAGGAAGGCAACAAGGGTAATAATAAAATTAGAAATAGTGCGAGGGTTTTCGCAGAAAATGCAGATCTCTTCCGCGACTCAATCCGGACCGTGCATGATTAATCCAACGTCCGGATCTATTGTACTCCGTATTTAATGTTGATAAGGCGATGAAGCGATCCTAAAGTTTTACAAATAAGTGGTCTCATCTTCTCGCCTATACTTATACTTAAGCTTATCAGCCAAAATTTAAATTTTTAACTTTAAATTTAGAGTTGATTTTGAAGTTTTCTCATCGAAGTTTATTTTTCAGCCTTTGCTTTTAGATCGCTAAGAACACGTATATAAAAGTTTTATTCACAAATTATTTTTCGTTTGCAAATATGTTGTAAACTCGGGACCACATATTTGGATCTAACATTTCCTAAAATTTTAGGATTCTTTTACATAATTGATAGAAATCCCGTCTTTATATTTACAGTTGGATATTAATAGCCAAATTTTACAAAAGCTTCGAAACAGCTAAATAAATAAGAGAACTAGAAGATTATAAAAAGAAAAGTTTATAGATACTAAGCTTCAAACTTCTTTGAAGTCCTATAGCTTTATACTCCTACATGCTCTTTCTTATGTAGCAACAACCCTTTATATCACAATTTACACAAAAACTTTTGATATTGAAATCAAACTATGGTCAATAGTCATATGCTGCTTGTTCACTCCTATCGCACTAAATCGGTAGCGAAAATTGTGGCGCTACTATTCCTAGTGACCTTATGATTTTGCAGGAAAGTTTTGATTTGTCTCGCTACCATTGGCGGTAATCATAATTATTTTTAGAAAAAAAATCATATTTCAGTCGCTACTAATTATATCGATTATAATAATAATGTACAAATTGATCCATTTTTAATTGCTTCACAACCATCTACATCGGTGTCCAACAAATTCGTAGAACCACCCTCATCTGCATCTGCCTCTCTCCTCCCTCGCCGTGGCTACTTTAGTTTCCTATCTGTCGAGGTCTAACATTGTTGCTGACGAGTGACGACAAGCTTACCATTACTACAGCCCTCTCACCTTGAGACAACGATCCAAGGGTAACCTCAAGAAACCAGCTATCTATAGGTGGCAAAACGGATTACCCCGCCTGAGCACGACGCGTGCCCCGATGGCGGCATGGTTAATAGGCCGTGTCGTACTGGGCCACGTGGCCTTGGTCGAGAAGGCTACGGGTCATTATGTGCAAACCGCTAGAGGTGCATGGGTTGTTGCCAGCCCATCCATATATTTAACCCTATAATTTGAAATATTAGGCTAGGAAAAAAGATAAAAGCAGAAAAAAGTTAGGAAAAACATAGCGAAATTAGGAGAAATGAGGGGAAATAGGAGAAAATATGGACGAGATTCGCTAAAAACGAAAAAGAAAGGGGCCATGCCATGCCGGCCCAAGCACGGCACGGCTAGATGGGCCGCTCCGTACCTGGGCCTGCACGGGAAGGCTCGGCCCATATGGCCATCTATACAGCGGTCCAAAGTGTCTTCATCCGATCGGCCTCTCTTCCCTCGCTGTGCCTGCTTCGGTGCTTCCTCTCCCCGTCCACCGGCTGCCGGAGCCAATGCAGACGGCCGGCTCGCCGTCGCCATGGCCCTCACACCTGACATAGCTGCTAGGAGGCAAACCAAGAGGATTAATTTTCTAACCAATGGACCAGCGCAACTGAGAGTCTGAAACAAAAACAAGATGCCTGTCCAATCTCTTGTTTTTGAGCAATTTTTCTATGCAAAAGTAAATGATTTGAGAATGAGTTTATGTAAATATCGCACTTATCTGAATGATCTACAATAGTAGAGTACAGGGTCAGGAAGCAGTACACTTCCAAAGAATTAAGAGATGTTGAGCTAGATTTCAATAGCTATCTTCCAAAGCAATAGCACAAGACATCCTGTATTCAGATGTAGCACGACAATCAGACAAGCAGCTGTGTTCGAGAAACCAAATTCAGAAAATTACTGAAGCATTGTTCTTCCTTTTCCTCTGAGTCACTTGCTCGCTATCTGAAGACTGAAGAGGAGGCAAAAGAAGTGAAGTGGGATAAGCGCATAACTCTGATGAAACAAAAAGACCTGTGACTTTGTGACATTGTTAGTAGGACATTATGTCATTACCTTACTGAAGTTACAGGGAAGCTTGTTGCAGTATAGTAAGACTGGAGAGTTCATTGCGTTATATATATATATCCTTGAATTCATTATGCTTTTTGTCTGAACAAGAGAAATGGCCGTGAATAAGAGCAAATATGAATGGGATTGTTAGTTTTCGGCTGAAAGCTCAGAGTGTGTAATTCGTTCAAAAAAAAAAAGAAGCTCAGAGTGTGTCTCTAGACTGTAGTTCTCTACTTATTTCCACAACCAAAAGAGCTGGCTACAAGAAGCAATATTGTCGAAGAAATTTTTCATGTCATGTATAAACATTGTGTCAAAGAATCTGAATGGACAGACTTCTAAATATATACTCTCTGATCATGACTACTAGATCTTGGTATTGAAACAAAATAGGTCTACTAGATCAAGATATTGTTTCCGACAATAATGATTTGTGGCAAAGATCAAAAGAATTTTGTCCAAAAAAATATGTCAAAAGAAGAACGATCTGTGCGGTGTGCCATTTCAATACTCACAGTAATATTCCAATCGCTGGAGACTCTTGCCATTGTCTCTGAACCCAAATAAGTTATGAGAGTAACATATTCTCAAAATACAAATAATTTGCGCAATGAGATTAAGAAAAAAAAAGACATTGGAGGAACTCGATGGATACGCATAGGTACGGGAACTGAATTCAATGTTAGGAAGGAACTAATTCTAGAATTTTCATGGAACGCTCGTTCTAGTCTTCTAGATTATCCTAGAACATTCAATTCATAAGAAAGACTTCTGAAATCGAAAGCAGAAACATCCACATAATTCCAGCTTGGAGGCTCATAATAGTCTTGTTCAATATGTATGCACCCCGCAACTAATGGTTCAATTCAACCGAGCCTAACGAATGCTGCCACCTGCCTAGTCATCCAATGCACATATTGTTCTTATCTTGCTCATCGTTAAGCATAGTTTTAATCGCCATTTGGCCAAACATTAACTACTATTAGTCCTGGAATTAGCTTCAACTTGCAGTACAAAGAAGAGATTAGTTCCAACTAAAACACGTCACGAGTGGTTTGGCATTAGTTGCAGGGTCGTTTTCAATTGTATGGCCCTATTAAATTACGACGGAGTCGTCGGTTGATCCTACAAGTCAATGATGAATTGCGTGTTTGTTTACCTGCAAGTGTCATTTAAGCAATTGGTTGCTGACTTAAGAGCCACCGTAAAACATGCTGTCCTGATCAGCTTGGGAAACAAAAAAATAATTCTCAGCAAACAGCTCCTTTCACCTTACGCACGTAGCACAATTTTACTAACAAAATCTAGTAGCATTAGCAGGATTAGATGACAAACGACAGCAACCTGCAACCTCATCAGTTACCCACATTCCCTAATAAACCATAATACTCCCTCCGTCCCATAATATAAGGGATTTTGTGTTTTTGCTTGCACTCTTTGATCACTCGTCTTATTCAAAAAATTTTGAAATTATTATTTATTTTTTTGTGACTTGTTTTATTATCCAAAGTACTTTAAGCACAACTTTTCATTTTTTATATTTGCATAATTTTTTTGAATAAGATGAGTGATCAAATAGTACAAGCAAAAACTCAAAATCCCTTATATTATGGGACGGAGGGAGTATAATACAAATTGATTTACAGGTAAAACTTTTGTATATGTGTTTTTAATGAGCTATTACTCCGTCCCAAGAAAAAGACAAACCCTAGCTATGAACCTATGTCCAGGTTTGTAGCTGGGATTAGGTTTTTTTGGGACGGAGGAGGTAAAAGACAATGTTTAAAAAAACTACATTGAAAATATTTTAAAATTAAGTTTGAAAATTCAAATTTTAGCTTTGACTTTGGTTTATTAAATCAACCGATGGAGCCCTTGAGCAAATCCAGGTTGTCAGGTTGACATTCTGATTAAAATCATGTATTGTTTCTCTATTTTCGTTCATGCCATTGATTAAAATCATGTAGTGTTCAGTTACTAGTTTTTTGTTCATGCTATTCATCTGATTATCTGAAGATACCTTGCCTAGACACTACTGAACTGAACTGAACGCGGCACGCCAAGTTTCAGACTTTCAGTACCAGTACATGAGTACAGAACTAGAAATCCTTTACTTACAACGAGAAAAACTAACACTACAAGAAACCATCTGATTAAAAATTTTGATGCAGTTCAGCTGCAAATACTGCAAAGAATCTCTACAAACAAACAGTCATCTGAAGATGAGAGATAGGAATCTCTCTCAATCTCTCTCTTCTCTGCAATGCCTGTCTATTGCAAAGTCACTGTGATTCTCAAACGAGGAAGACGACGACGAGGGAAAACCAAAAACCAGCGGATAAGAAGGAAAACCGCCTTTGCGAAAACCACAGCCTCTCTCCCTCAGGCTCAGCCTCAGCCTCTCGATTTTTCTTTGATTTTTTTATTAAAGCAAGAATGGTCCTTGGCTCTTGCTGGTACTACCAGCGTGTGGCCAAATCATGCAGCTTTGATGATGGAAAAAAGGAAAGAAAATTCAGGAGAGAGAGAAAGAGACGTGGGGTGTGGTTGGACCGCAAGGCACGGCGCCGTAGCCGTTGGCAGATGCGCGTCTCCCTCCGTCTCCGTTATCACGTCGGCACGCCGACGTCGCTGCGCCTGCGCGTGGGAGGCCAGGGCAGATGCTACGTGCCATCAGGAATGTCGACCTGATGATTATTTTGTTGATCATGATTTTCTTTTGGCTATTTGATTTTTTGAAAGATATTTTTTTCCCTGGGAAGACACCTATGGGACGAAGATATTATGTTTCTTATATAGCACCAAACAAATTTAATATATATATATATATATATATATATATATATATATATATATATATATATATATATATATATATATATATATATATATATATATCACATCAGTCTCTGCACAAAGTGCATCCTGGGCTGCTTCAATTATAAAGCCCCATTCACCACATTTGCTAGATAGTCGAAAAGCACCATCAATATTGAGCTTCAGGTATTTTTGGTTGTGTTGTGGTTGGATTGATTCTAATATATACCAAATCAATATAATTCACTACCAAAATATACCATAGCCATCACAACTTTATTAATTTTGGTAGCTTAAGATGGTATATATAATAACCAATTAACAACTGATTCTAATTTTACTACGGCCCAGTATGTACCAATACAAAACAACGAGTATGTTTTCTTCCATCGTAATCGTACACAGTACAAAAAAACCTGGCCAGCCTTTCTTGGGCTGGGGCTCTCTTTCGAAAGGTCACAAAACGTACACGGCAGTAACGCCGCTTCGCTGCGTGTTAACGGCCACCAACCCCGCCGTGAGCAAACGGCATCAGCTTTCCACCTCCTCGATATCTCCGCGGCGCCGTCTGGACCCGCCCCCTTTCCGTTCCTTTCTTTCCTTCTCGCGTTTGCGTGGTGGGGACGGACTCCCCAAACCGCCTCTCCCTCTCTCCTTTCTTTATTTGTCTATATTCTCACTGGGCCCCACCCACCGCACCCCTGGGCCCACTCACGAGTCCCCCCCTCCCCACCTATAAATACCCCACCCCCTCCTCGCCTCTTCCTCCGTCAATCGAACCCCAAAATCGCAGAGAAAAAAAAATCTCCCCTCGAAGCGAAGCGTCGAATCGCCTTCTCAAGGTATGCGATTTTCTGATCCTCTCCGTTCCTCGCGTTTGATTTGATTTCCCGGCCTGTTCGTGATTGTGAGATGTTGTGGTTAGTCTCCGTTTTGCGATCTGTGGTAGATTTGAACAGGTTTAGATGGGGTTCGCGTGGTATGCTGGATCTGTGATTATGAGCGATGCTGTTCGTGGTCCAAGTATTGATTGGTTCGGATCTAGAAGTAGAACTGTGCTAGGGTTGTGATTTGTTCCGATCTGTTCAATTAGTAGGATTTAGTCTCTGTTTTTCTCGTTGATCCAAGTAGCAGCTTCAGGTATATTTTGCTTAGGTTGTTTTTGATTCAGTCCCTCTAGTTGCATAGATTCTACTCTGTTCATGTTTAATCTAAGGGCTGCGTCTTGTTGATTAGTGATTACATAGCATAGCTTTCAGGATATTTTACTTGCTTATGCCTATCTTATCAACTGTTGCACCTGTAAATTCTAGCCTATGTTAATTAACCTGCCTTATGTGCTCTCGGGATAGTGCTAGTAGTTATTGAATCAGTTTGCCGATGGAATTCTAGTAGTTCATAGACCTGCAGATTATTTTTGTGAACTCGAGCACGGTGCGTCTCTCTATTTTGTTAGGTCACTGTTGGTGTTGATAGGTACACTGATGTTATTGTGGTTTAGGTCGTGTATCTAACATATTGGAATAATTTGATTGACTGATTTCTGCTGTACTTGCTTGGTATTGTTATAATTTCATGTTCATAGTTGCTGACCATGCTTCGGTAATTGTGTGTGCAGATGCAGATCTTTGTGAAGACCCTCACCGGCAAGACCATCACCCTCGAGGTTGAGTCCTCGGACACCATTGACAATGTCAAGGCCAAGATCCAGGACAAGGAGGGCATCCCCCCGGACCAGCAGCGTCTCATCTTTGCTGGCAAGCAGCTTGAGGATGGCCGCACCCTGGCCGACTACAACATCCAGAAGGAGTCCACCCTCCACCTTGTGCTCAGGCTCAGGGGAGGCATGCAGATCTTCGTCAAGACCTTGACTGGCAAGACCATCACCCTTGAGGTCGAGTCGTCTGACACCATTGACAATGTCAAGGCCAAGATCCAGGACAAGGAGGGCATCCCCCCGGACCAGCAGCGTCTCATCTTCGCTGGCAAGCAGCTTGAGGATGGCCGCACCCTGGCCGACTACAACATCCAGAAGGAGTCTACCCTCCACCTTGTGCTCAGGCTCAGGGGAGGCATGCAGATCTTCGTCAAGACCTTGACTGGCAAGACCATCACCCTTGAGGTCGAGTCGTCTGACACCATTGACAATGTCAAGGCCAAGATCCAGGACAAGGAGGGCATCCCCCCAGACCAGCAGCGTCTCATCTTCGCCGGCAAGCAGCTGGAGGATGGCCGCACCCTTGCTGACTACAACATCCAGAAGGAGTCCACCCTCCACCTTGTGCTCAGGCTCAGGGGAGGTATGCAGATCTTCGTCAAGACCCTGACCGGCAAGACCATCACCCTCGAGGTCGAGTCCTCGGACACGATCGACAACGTGAAGGCCAAGATCCAGGACAAGGAGGGCATCCCCCCGGACCAGCAGCGTCTCATCTTCGCCGGCAAGCAGCTGGAGGACGGCCGCACCCTTGCCGACTACAACATCCAGAAGGAATCCACCCTCCACCTTGTGCTTAGGCTCAGGGGAGGTATGCAGATCTTCGTCAAGACCCTGACTGGCAAGACCATCACACTTGAGGTCGAGTCCTCGGACACGATCGACAATGTGAAGGCCAAGATCCAGGACAAGGAGGGCATCCCCCCGGACCAGCAGCGTCTCATCTTCGCTGGCAAGCAGCTGGAGGACGGCCGCACCCTTGCCGACTACAACATCCAGAAGGAGTCCACCCTCCACCTTGTGCTCAGGCTCAGGGGTGGTATGCAGATCTTCGTCAAGACCCTGACCGGCAAGACCATCACGCTTGAGGTCGAGTCCTCGGACACGATCGACAACGTGAAGGCCAAGATCCAGGACAAGGAGGGTATCCCCCCGGACCAGCAGCGCCTCATCTTCGCCGGCAAGCAGCTGGAGGATGGCCGCACCTTGGCTGACTACAACATCCAGAAGGAGTCCACCCTTCACCTGGTTCTCAGGCTCAGGGGTGGGATGCAGATCTTCGTGAAGACCCTGACTGGCAAGACCATTACCCTTGAGGTTGAGTCGTCCGACACTATTGACAACGTGAAGGCGAAGATCCAGGACAAGGAGGGCATCCCCCCGGACCAGCAGCGTCTGATCTTTGCTGGTAAGCAGCTTGAGGATGGCCGCACCCTTGCGGATTACAACATCCAGAAGGAGTCCACACTCCACCTGGTGCTCCGCCTCCGTGGTGGCCAGTAAGTCCTCAGCCATGGAGCTGCTGCTGTTCTAGGGTTCACAAGTCTGCCTATTTGTCTTCCCCAATGGAGCTATGGTTGTCTGGTCTGGTCCTTGGTCGTGTCCCGTTTCATTGTGTACTATTTACCTGTAATGTGTATCCTTAAGTCTGGTTTGATGGTGTCTGAAACGTTTTGCTGTGGTAGAGCAGCATGGAAGAACTATAATGAATAAGTGATCCCTAATCATTGTGTCCAAATTTTGCTTCTGCTATACCCTTTTGTGCTGTTTCTTATGTTTTGCTTAAAAATTTGATCTGACAAACAAATTTGTCTAAATTATGCTCTTGTTCTGACTGTGTACTGTACACATTTGTATTGCTACCGGTTTGGCACATAGTTTTCTCTTTGATTGCAGATCAAACCCTTCTGATTGCAGATTGCTTGGCTATGGCTGATGTGCTCACTGTTCTTCTTTAGCTTGTATATTGCTGATGGTGGCTTGGCTACGGCTGAAAAAGTTGCTGCTGCGCCGACTTGGCAACTGTTGCTCCAGTAATGCTTTGTCCTCTCTTCCTAGCCGCCGACTTGGCACTTGGCAGCTGTTGCTCCTGTAATGCGTTGTTATCTCTTATCTCTTGAGATGTACTATGATTTTGAGGCTGTTTGACTTGTGCCAGATTGCCAGTGCTGATGCTATATTATCTCAGGTTTTTATGCTAGTATATGTTTTACTGTGTGCTGCCTGTGTCGAGTTACGTAATCTATTGAACCGCTATGCGTGTTGATGCCCTGTTGTTGCTTGCCAGATTGATGCCCCTGTTGCTTGCAGCTTGCAAGCTGTAGTGAAATCCTAAAATTCGAAGCCAAATCTATTCTGAACTTTTGAAGATCTGTGATGTCCGGAAGAAAAGATTCAAACAGATAAACGGGACTCTCCAGAATCTATAAAATAAATGATCGACAAACGCTTTGCTTTGGTAGGCTTCTCATTAACCCAAACATTCTGGAAGACCAATGCTGGAGGAAAACATAGAAAAAAAACTCTCTGTTCCCATAAAAGAAATAGTACTCCGGTTTATCTAAAAATATGAAGAATTCTGTGTTTTCAATATCAATCTAAATTCAGAATAGCTAGAAGCTGTGTGATCTGGAAGACAAGCGAACCCAGAGATAGAACTTCACACTGATTGGACTCATCAAAATTCTTGTGTTTGGTTTAAATCTCTGGTTTATTACAAACAGAAGTATCAGCTCCAGACTTCATCACGCAATTGCCGTAACTATGCATATATGATATATCCAAATGACGAGACGGCATTTATTTGTTCAGGACTGCAGAGTCCCGTATCTTCAGTATAGTTCTGATAATTACAAATTGAAGTTTTAACTCTGGACAACGACATACTTTTCTTTTTTGAGGTAAAACAAAGGAATACTCTGCGGTTTATCTGAAAAAAAAGAGTTATATGTCCTCAATATCACCAGAAATTAAGAATTATTACTACTACGAGCTTATATTATCTCTTCGAGGCAATCAAAACAAAAGAGACAGCTTCACACTGGTTGGACTCGCAAAAATTGTTCAGCCAGCGTAATCCAGAATTCAGATAAGTATCAGGACGAAGTATTAGCTTCAGACTCCATGTGCCGTAACAATGGCGTTCTCCTCTCCTCCTGTGTGTATGAAAACAACTGCAAACTTACAAATTCTGTCAACTTATATCTGAAAATTTGAAAAATTTCACCCATGTAGTTTGAGATCGTCAGGATTGCAGGCTGTATCATGATGTTCTCTATTGCATCCTTAACGTTAAACGAAAGCACAGATGAGAAAACATCATACACTTTGCACCCGTAATAAGTTCATTAGATATCTCTTAATCACGTACGAAAATCAGTCGAGAGTTCAATCTCGTTACATGAACGTTCAAACTAAAATCTGCTTTTACGTACAAGAAATTAATCCAGAGTCCAATCTTATTACACGAACATTCAAACTCCAAATCTCTACATTCTAACGCTATAAATTGCGAGCGATCCCACGTTGCTCTGCACAACAATCAGCCAAAGCCGCAACACCAATCTCACCACCCACCACCGATCTCTCGCCGACGAGACAGAATGGCGCCGTCGTCCAAGCTCGCCGCCCTCTTCTTCGCCTTCGCCGTCGTGGCGGCGGCGGCGCTGGCACCGGCCGCAGAAGCGAGGGTCCAAGGGTTCAACCATGAAGCGGCGTCCGAGCCTGCCATTGCCGCAGCCGGGGAGTCCAAAGCTGCCACCGGAGGAGGAGCGCCGACATTGCCGGGATTACCCGGCTTGCCGTTCCCGCTCTTCCCGTTCCTCACGCTCCCGTTCCCGCTGATCCCCATCGGCGGCTCTTCTGGCGGCGGCGGCGCCGCTCCGCCTTCGGCTGGCTCTGGCTTCCGGTTCCCGTTCCCGCTCCCGCTGCCGTTCCCTGCGCCCGCCTCGCCGGGCGGCGCTCCGCCGTCGTCTGGGTCCGGCTTCCCGGCGTTCCCGTTCCCGTTCCCCAGCTCGCCGGTCTCGCCACCGTCTCAAGCATCACCCGCCTCGCCGGCGGCACCGGCGCCGCCATCGCCGCCGCAGCCAAAGGAGTGCTTGACGCCGCTGTTGTCGATGATGTCGTGCGCGGACTACCTGACGAACAGCAGCGCGCAGACGCCGCCGGGCACCTGCTGCGAGGGGTTCAAGTCGCTGGTGAGCACGGCGCCCATCTGCCTGTGCCACGGCATCAATGGCGACCTGAGCAAGTTCCTCCCGCTCCCCGTCGACATGATGAAGATGATGACGCTCCCCAACACCTGCGGCGCCACGGTCCCACTTCAGACGTTCTCCATGTGCAACAGTAAGTTCTTGCTAATCAAATTACACCCTAATTAAACCCTATCGTAAAGCATGTTTATTATTTCTAATGCATTGTTTGTTTGAAGAGATTAATCTGATTAATCTGGTGACGTGTTTGATTTGACAGCGCCATCAGTGCCGCCATTGATGCCTTCCGCTGCTCCAGCGCCTGCTAGTCCCCCATCTTCATAGATCTTCAGGTAAATTCATATTTGAATTTGAAACTCTCTGAATTTTGTGCGATCTGTTAAAAATTTGAGATGTTATACTAAAATGTCCTTTTGATTTTATTCTTGGCAGGTGTGTCACCTTAGTCCGTCACCACTCACCGCATGTGCCGGTTGTCGTCGTCTTAAGTTTAGTCTAAGGAGTTTTCGATAAATATAGTACTCAGAGTTTAGGGTTTTGAGATGTGATTAAGTCATGATAGATATTTGTGCAGAGTCTATGTAATTTTTTGTCCATGGAATAAATAATAATTTAGTGAATTTTGTCCTTGTGATTAGTTGATTTGACAATATTACTGCACTGCAATGGTCTCATCTAGCCAGTTATTCTACCTCGAAAATAATTCATTGGGCTATATTTGGGCCTACAGGCTACAAGCTGGAATGCAAACTGAACTGAGAGCCAAGACTAAGTTGGCCTTTTTTCATGCTTGGCCCATATCCTCCTCGTGGCTCTCAAATACTCCTTCCGTTTCTAAATATTTAACACCGTAGATTTTTTAGCACATGTTTGATCGTTCGTCTTATTCAAAAACTTTTGTGAAATATATAAAACTATATATATACATATAAGTATATTTAACAATGAATCAAATGATAGAAAAAAAATAATTACTTAAATTTTTTTAATAAGACAAATGATCAAACATATTTAAAATAGTCAACGGCGTCAAATATTTAAAACGGAGGGAGTATAATACAGAAAATACGGGAAAAGGTCTACAACCTGAGTATAATATCATGTACCACTCCACCAAATTTTAAATTAAATCCACATATTCACGATAAAGGGAGTTAAAGTAAAAATTGCATGCCATCTCGTAGAAAAAGAAATTACGCGTGTCGAATACATGAAAAAGGTAGACTTCACCTCTAAACAATAGAAAACGATCTCCTCGGACGGCAACGTCGCAACCAATAATAAAACCAAATTAACCTTCTAGAACAAATTCCAAATGGTATCTTCTTTCTCCTACACCTACTTATGTGTACTACGTCTAGTGCATAACCAAATCCACTTACATTGGTACTCTCCTGTATACTCCCTCCGTATAAAAAAAAACTTAATATAGGAGAAGATATGATCCCTCCTAATATAATCTAGATAAAGAGTAGTTCAAATTTATTATTTTAAGAGGGTCACATTATCTTTTAAATTGAGTTTTTTCTTAAACGGAGGGAGTATATTTGTACTAGTACTGTCACAGTTCAACAAACAGCATCATTCAGCCCAACATATATATACTCTACTCCTAGCTGTCAGCCACACACTCACGGGTGTATACCAACTACTAAGCTCATCAGCTCGTGAGATGGTATCATTGACACCTTGAACAATTAATGGATTATCACTTGTTTTTTTTTATTTATACATCTCCCTTTTTGTTCGTTTCTTGATCAGAAAAGTGTGTGTCTTTGTTAGTGCTGTTCTTTTAACTGTTGGGTGGATCATGCTTGGATGGGGTCTCTTCAGCATTCATCTTAACCCTTTTGAACGTCTTTTCCACTTTGTTGTGCTCTCCTACTCGTAAGCGTGACCTTGCATTCTTGAGATTTTTCCCCCCTTTACAGTTGTATCCATCAAAAAAACAAATGGTAAAAGATTGGAATGGCTATAAGTGGTGTAAAGAATCGTTAGGTTCACTACTTAAATTACAGCTACTAAATGATTAGCACAAATCTCTGACAGTGGAATATATTTTTGTTAACTGTTATCATCTATCAAACTATATTTTAGGGGATCCAATATAAAGCTGAAAGTGAGAGGTGTAATTGACAACCAACCTCTGAAAGAGATGTAGTAAAGATGAAGGTCGTTTCCAAGGATTCCCCCATGCACACAAAAGGGCTTGCCGTTGCCATGCAAAGTAACACAAATTGCTGATTTTTTTGCAGGAAATGTCAATCTGAAGCTGTGCTTGTCCCTGCATCTTTTCTCTTGCTTGCTTGCCCGGCCTTGCAAGTGATCCCCGCAGGTATCTTGTACTAGTCAGAAAAGGGACATGGTCTACACTCTACTGAATATGATATCTGAATATGATATGGAGTGATATTGTTCCAAAAATCTACCTAAGTGAGCCTTCAATGATGGGAGCAGATAAGCAGAAGGACCAGGTTCAGAAATTAGCCTGTCTACAGCTTGTTAATTGTTAATTGGATCTTGTTAATTACTCAAGTGTACATCCTCCGTTCAGACTCATAGTTAATTTAGTTCTGAGCACAGCTGCAATTTGCAATGATCTTTACCTCTAAGCAAAATATTTGACCCGGGCAGGTTATAGGCCATCTCAGTCCATCAGTTGTCACGTCTATGAGCTGGGAAGTTGTGATGAACACGAGCTGAATTAGAGCAGGTATAATAGCAGGCTATTAGCCAGCTATAAACATATTTTAATGAGATAAAAGATGAGAGAGAAGATGAGCGAGCTACAGATATGTAGCCAGCTGCAGCACGGACTCTAAGACGCAATGTGTGTATGACAGGTGGGACCATATATTAATAGTATGATAAACAACTATTGTATGAATTGTCTATTAGATTGGCTATAGATAAATTGGAGTTAATAGTGGGCTATACTATTAGACTTGGTCTTAGGTGAATAAGACACATTTACATTTCGTATTCGCCAGGCCGTATCCATAATTTCATACGTGAAGACGAGTGAACTTGTACAGTGTACAATCTGTACAATGTGTGGTTTCCGAGGCAGACTGGTTTCCAGTTTTTTGATGGCTGGTCTTGAAAAGCAATACCTCCGCATTTGGTGGTTACTGGTTCGCCGTTCAAGAGCTGTTGTCCTCCACAGCCAACAAGACCTTCCTCAGTTCCTCTCCATTGTGATCTTCGTGTTACGATCCATTTGGTGTTTGTGAAATGGTGAATTTTCAGAAATAAAACAACTGTGCTGAAGCTACTGGTGTGAACAAGATCAAAGCATAGGTGCAGTTTTGGTGGGAGTTTGTTTAGGGCTTAGTTACTCTACGAGCCAAAAATTCCGAGAATCAGCTGATGAGTAATCATTTTGTTAGATTTTTTTTTAAAAAAAACTGGTTTACTCATCTTCTGATTTCTAGTTTATTTTCTAGATTTTGTAACTAATTAGTCTTAGAATCTTTGTACTAATCTGAACTGTTTAGACTTTGGAAGTGTTGGAAATTCTGAGAGAAGCTGGGCTTAATAGAAGCTCTCCAACAAGGTCTTATCCAGTGTTCGGCAACTTCTCCTCTCAAATTTTACTCCATCGTTTTCTATGTACACGTATCCTGAATAACAAAACAATGTGTTTTTTTAAATAATTGTAAAAGAGTTGCTTTAAAAATTATATTAATCTGTTTTTAAATTTTGTTAAAGTAATAATTAATTAACCATATGCTAGTAAGTCTAGTTACCCTCCTTTTCCGTGCATGAGACATGAGTTACCCTCCTTTTATGTTTCATTCCATTATCTTAAAAAAAAAGACACGAGTTAGGAACATACAGATTCAAACTTAGCCAGTGCCATTCCCTTCTTGAGTTTAGTGGTTGGAAGATGGTGTTTTCTTTTTATGATTTGATGTAATTCAGTCCTTTTCTTTTTCCTCTCTTCCAATGGAGAAATATGCATTTTTCCTGTGTATTTTCAAAATACAATGCCATAAAACTAATATTCTTTTACATTTAAAATGCCGTGTCAAGCAGATCCAAACTAAACTTCCACTTGACCTCCCTGATTGAATTCTGCATCTGGACCAGAGGGATATGATTGAACTCTTGGTGTGCACCCCACCAAATACACTGTACTATGAGTGTAGACTATGCAAGGAGGATGTACTGAATGTATTAAATGAAGTATGATGTCTTCATGTGAGTTAGGAAATGATCTTCATGTGAGTAAGGAAGCCAGTCTACTGTTCTTCACCCAACATTTCAAATTATCTCATTTCATATAGCACCAACATGAGTACAAGAGGGCAGGATTGAATTGTACCCCAAGAATTGACAGAAGAAAAGGAAAGCCTAATTATTGGAGGTTTCTTAGCCATGAGTTCATAATTTAAAGGAAAAATTGGTTATATAGCATCGAAAGTTCACGTTTTTGGTTTTATAGTACCGAAAGATACCGGTTCACTTTAATATCACTCAAAGTTCACCCTGTTCCCATTTTTAGCACTTCCGTCAATTCTCGATCGTTTTTCGTCCATCTTGATCCAGCCACACACACGATATGACGTTTCTACCCCTCACAAGTACAAGTAGAATGCATGTCAATGAGGGGTAAAAACGTCATATCGTGTGCGTAGCTGGGTCAATAACGATTAAGACGGACGGAAAAATTGACGGAAGTGCTAAAAATAGGAACAGGGTAAACTTTGGGTGCTATTAAAGTGAACCGGTATCTTTAGGTGCTATAAAACCAAAAACGTGAACTTTCGATGCTATATAACCAATTTTGCCTAATTTAAATATATCTAAATAATTGTTCCTTCACAACAGTAGGCTGCCAACTTGTATCAAGATTGATAACAATGAGAGACTTGGAGCAAAATATTTCTTGGCCTGAATTATGCCTTCCTTAATGACAAGCCAGCCGGTATTATGGCTGTATCATCATTCATCAATGTAATCAGCTTAAAGCTTTCACTACATTGAGCATGCACATTGCTTTATCATGGTCCATATGGACTAATATACTGATAAAGATGTCTTGCTGATTCTGTTCTCTCTTGAGAAGAAAGATGAACATGTAGATTCTAGAGTGGTCCTGAACTGGATCGAAATAACTGAAACTAACTGAACCTACTAGTTTGTTCATCAGAGAAAAGTAGGAGCACACCATACATATTGGCATTGCGTGTAATACATAGTTATCTCGGCACTGTAATTTTTGCTGGTGACAAGTTATTCCAAAAGTTGTTTCAATTCTCTGAACTTGGAAGAGATTCGTAGCTAGGCTGCAGTATAGGTAGCCAACAAAAGATGTGAAGGCTATAGGAAGTTGCTTTTGATGTGTTCACTTTCTTTTCCCTCTGTAAAGCCTTGTTTACCAACCTTATCTCTCACAGGAGATAGATATCATGCCCGTGAAGACAATAATGTGATGCCAAAATGTCGGCTAAAAAAAGCGAAATCTCGGTTGCTTTTAATCTTAGCATTTATTCATTCAATTATCAGCAATAACATACATGAAAACTTTAAAAATGTGATGCTAACCCAACCCCTCTGGTTACAGTAGGAATCTGAATTGTCAGGACTCAGGACAACCGGTAGCAATCAGACTTGGCTGTCGGTGCTCGACAAGAATCATCAACCAAGAGCCCAAGAACATAGCAATGTGGTAAGCAATGACATGGCCTTTAACCTAACCTGAATTTTTTCATGGGCACACTGATAGATTAGGTACAGACACTGCCATTGTAACAGAAGAGACCGGAGCAGGAAACTTCTTGAGCTGGGACAGTTTCACCAATTAGAGCTGGAGTTGAGTTTCGTCCATCCTTGCAACCCAATCAGATAGATAGATATTCAGATTCCAACTAGGCCTCGCATGCATGCCCTACCCATTATGAATTGTGATAGATACAATGTGAGCCATGCATCGTCTACTGTTATACTAGCTTTGTGTCCTTGTTGCTACTGCTATTCAGTTTTAAATTGTAACAGGTAGAATATCCTACTGATCACCAAATCTGCTGCGATTTGCTGCTTCTTCTCCAATACTGAATGTTTGGAGTGGTATACTGAATGTGAGACAATTTGTTCAGTACAAAATGTACAGCTGTACATGATGCTGCAATCTGAACTTCTGAAGTACTGGAGGGTGTAGCAACTACTAAGTACTAGTACTAGCAAGTGCCAAAGGAAAGTGCAGAGATGGACATGTTCATCACAGTTGTTCATGCATTGCACATTGGGTGGCCATTTAATCTGCGTTCATGTGGACCATCCATTCTTCTCCCCTTTTCTTCACATTGGAGTACTGAATACGGATTATGGATGGAGCTGGATCATATGCTAGATACAGACAGAGAGGAGAGCTAGGAAGTGTTGTAAAGAAGCTTGCAGGTTGTGATAAGGCCTATCTTGGCATGTATTGCCATCTTGACCAATGTTACAGGCTTACAGCACCAGATTGTTGTGAATATGAAATTCTGAATGTACTGTCATTTTTTCAGATAATATCTGAAACTGAGTACCCCATCGTTTAGCCTCGAGCTTATAAGTATAAGCGCAAATTTGAATTTTAAAACTTAATTTTAGAGTAGTTTATTTTCCATCATTCGTATTTAAATCGCTAAGAACATACATGATGCATATAAAAGTTTTATTCATAAATTATTTTTTAATCATTAATAAGACGTTTCGCTTATAATTAATAATATGTATAAGAGGGACAATGGATACACAATACATTCATCGTTTCGCTTATAAAAGTTAGAACATACTAGTTCAGAGTGTAATTTTTTTTCAGATGAATCAGTACATGGTCTATTTTTCAGAGTGTAATTCTTTGATTGGCAGTATCGTCTCAGATGCCATTGGTGACTTGATCACCTACTAGATGCTAACGAAGCTGTCCATTACCAAACTTGTGTGTGTATATAGTATTAGTACGTTCTCCTCTACCTACCAAACTCGTCTGATTATTTTCAGTTGCGTAACTCCCCTAATTATAATGGCGCCTAAACCAAACCCCAAGTAAATACAAATACAAACACCAAAACTGAACAACACACTGAACATCACTGTATTTCTCACTGTCTCTCTCTATATATAGCCGAGTGCACTGCCACTCAGAGATTGTCAGAGAAAGCAGCTTTGAGCTTAGCTATGGCAATGGCCGCGCCGCTGACGTTGGTGGTGGTGGCGGCGGCGGTGGCCGTCGTCTTCGTCGGCGGCGGCGTGGAGGGGTGGGTGCTCAAGGAGGGGTTCTACGAGCAGAGCTGCCCGCGCGCGGAGGCGCTGGTGAAGCACTACGTGGAGCAGCACGTCCCCCTCGCCCCCTCCGTCGCCGCCACCCTCATCCGCACCCACTTCCACGACTGCTTCGTCAGGGTAAGCGCGTATAGCTCGTCGATCGATCGGCGTGGCGCGGCGGCGGAATTCTGACGGCGGCGACGGCGGCCATGGCGTGGTGGTTTTGAATTGTAGGGGTGCGACGCGTCGGTGTTGCTGAACGGGACGGACGGGGCGGAGGCGGAGAAGGACGCGGCGCCGAACCTGACGCTGCGGGGGTTCGCCTTCATCGACCGCATCAAGAGCGTGGTCGAGAGCGAGTGCCCCGGCGTCGTCTCCTGCGCCGACATCCTCGCGCTCGCCACCCGCGACGCCATCTCCGTCATCGTAAGCTAGCACCTCGCTCCTCCTCCTCCTCCTCTCCCGCATTTGCGATGGCCGGCGAGCTGGCTGACGGCGAGCGAGCAGGGCGGGCCGTTCTGGCGGGTGGCGACGGGGCGGCGCGACGGGAGGGTGTCGATCAAGCAGGAGGCGCTGGACCAGATCCCGGCGCCGACCATGAACTTCACCGACCTCCTCTCCTCCTTCCAGAGCAAGGGCCTCGACCTCGCCGACCTCATCTGGTTGTCAGGTAAACTAACTATTCACTCTTCCATATATTAATTTCAGTATTAATTTCACCATCCATTTCAGAGTTCAGACTTCACCATCAATAGTATTTCCTTCGTTCCAAAACAACTATAAGTTTCCGCGCCCAACTTTAATCGTCCATCTTATTTAAAATTTTTTTATAATTAGTATTTTTGTTATTATAAGATGATAAAACATGAATAATATTTTACTCGTAACTTATGTTTTTAATTTTTTTCAAAAAAAAATTCAAATAAGACGGACGGTCAAAGTTGAACGCGGAAAACCATGGCTGTACTTAAAATGGGACGGAGGGAGTAAACATTTTTAGACTTTGACATAGTCTTTGAGATGGTATTTTGATCAACAATATCTATAAAAGTGAGATGTTTTAAATAAAAAAAAGTTGTAATAGTTTGTTAATGATAAGTCTAGTAACATCAATTTTACATGATTGATTTTTTTTTATTTTTTTACTATTAATAGTTAAAATTAAAAATGTTTGACTTGACACTATTCTAAAATTGCTTATATTTTGAAAATTAGTTGCGGTCGATCAAAACCCCAGTTTCAGCTTATGACAGCATCGTTTCTGAAAAGAAAAGTAAAACCATTCACCTAAGCTAATGATTGGTTAACTTGACACAAACGGCAGCCAAAGATCGATTTTCACGTTATATCCTAATTAAGTCGATTGATTACTAGTCTTCAGGATACACAACTCGATCAGGTTTGGTGTTTTATCTAGCTTGATGTAGCTAGCTATGTGGTGTTTGCAAATGCGTAGTACAAGCCACCGACAAATAGTGAATTGGTGATGTGATATCGTGCTGCAAAATCTGCAATATGCAGAGAACGATAGTTAACTTTTGCAAATTCTTTGTGTGTTGAGTCGGCAACTAGGACACGCTCTCACTCTCACTCACATCACACCCCAGTAATGCTGTCCCCAAAGATTCAGAAGATGAAAGATATATAGCCTCAATCACACCGATTTCCATGTAGTAACAATACTAACAAACAACGATCCTAATAGGAACACTACAGATGCCGAATTTCTATCCATTATCTAAAAAACTCTCGTGCCACGACAATCCAGAATTGAACAGACAGCTACGTCCAACAGGGAGGGTTGGATCTACTTAATTCATAGAAGGCCAAAACTTAGCTGAATCTTGTTCACGGGTATCGCATCAAATCAAAGTTAAAAACAGTTTAGTAGGTATAGCGATCTAACCAACAGATAACGAGGCTTTTAGTTGACGGCTGGCAAGTCTGTTCCGTGCAATAAAATGCAATTCATAACACTGCACTATAACAAATATATCTTATAGAGATATTTTCATTTTTCTAATACTATAGAGGCATTTTTAAAATGCCTTTACAATGTTATAGAGACATTTTGAAGAGTGTCTCATAAGTGCCTTTTGGTGAATTGTCGCATTTTTAAAATGCCTTTACAGTGTTATAGAGACATTTTGAAGAGTGTCTCATAAATACCTTTTGGTGAATTGTCTCTACAAACTAAGAGGTGAATTGTCTCTACGAACTAAGAGGACATTTTGAAGAGTATCTCATAAGTGCCTTTTGGTGAATTGTTTCTACGAACTAAGAGGCATTTTATAAGATGTCTCTATGCAAATAGAGGCACGCACTAACCATCTCAACCTCATATAATTATATGTAAGTATGTGATTTGTGTTACTTATATCTAGTTACTTGATATATATTAATATTTGAAAAAATGCCTTTACATCGTTTTAAATGCCTTAAGAAAATGCATTTACATATGAGACAAATTTTAAAGTGCCGAAAATGTGTCTCTACGAGATAAACTTAACAAAGTATACTAAAAATGTCTCTAGAGTAAAAATATTTTAGACGATTTTGAAAGTGCCTCTAAAAAGTGTCTCTAGACTATAGAGCTTCAAAACTTAGAGGCATTTTAAAAATTGTCTCTACAAAAGATTCTTTATATAAGGTTTTTGATGTAGTGCTGTTTTATTTAGAGAGTGTAGCACAGATATTGACACACTAACTGACCAAGATTTTTATTAACGTTAGTGGTTAAAGGTGTGCAAAAAATGCCAAGACAAACATTCAGCTCTTGTACTGTCCTGTATCTGTACTTGTGAGTTAGTAGCAAATTAGTAGCTAGCTAGATTCTATAAAAGGGGGGAAGTGATGCAGCTTATATAAGGGAGAAACGTGATGTAACTGGCCTCCTACTTCTCTGAGAGAGTGACTATTTACTAATCCTTAATTTGAAAGATCAAGAAATGAGTTACATTGTATTTATTCAATGTGTAAAAGCTGAAATAATATATACATACACGTCAAGTGCAGAGGGCATGCATATGCCTACTAGCTGTTGAGATTATGGGCATATAATGATTTAATTTATTCCATAAATAAATCATGACATTACAGATGAAAACTAGCATGAACGCATCATTAGATCTACACATGTAAACTACGTAGAAAAACATGAACAGACCAAATATGCGCAACATATTGAACACGTACCGAGGTGACGAAAAAACCGGCTGCTTGGTCGAAACTTTTCGCAGGTGTCTACGAAGGCACGAAACACGCGAGCGAAGAGGAAGGCGAGCCGTCGCGAACGAACAGGGAGCAGTCGCGCGAAGCGCTTCCCAAAAACCTTATTGCCGCCTTCTCCCGGTGCAGGACGTCAAAGGCAGAGGTTCCGGAGACCTGCTCTCCCGATCGCTGGTGCACGCCGGCGAGCGGGATGGAGTAGTCTACGAGCGACGGCGCAGTACAGAGTAGGAGGCAAACCCTAGATTGATTTTCGCATATATTGCGTGAAGACGGCGGGTCGGTTTATATAGAGAAGGGTCGCTTGATCAGGGCGCCCGCACGATCTCTACTGCGCGTAACCGAACCGGATAAGTCGCGCGTAACTTATCCGGACTCCACGCCGTTTGCACGCATCGGATTTTTCGGAACGTTTCCAAAACAAAAACGAATCCGAATTTGCAGCAAAACAAAACTGCAAAAGGAGGCTGCATCTGCGCAAGGGTGAGGAGCCAATTTTTCGGACCATTCGACGCGTACGTCGTGCACGCGCGCCGCCTGCCCTGCCCTGCCAGGCCAGGCGAGGCGAGGCGAGCGAGCGCGCGTGTGTTTCCCCTCTTCTCTCCACCACACATGCTTCAAGTGGCTAGGAGGGCATCCTCCCTTTTAAGGAGGTCCCCCTCTCCTAGAATAAGCAAGGTGGTACTAAACTCCACATGCATGCCATCCTATGAGGTGGGCTTTTGTGATTTTCCAAAGAATTAATCTTCGAGTGGGCTAAGGCCCATTCATTAATTCCAACAATCCCCCACCAAATCTCAAAATCCCACTGAGATTTGCCTTTTCCAATGTACTGTTTATATACCAGCGGTTCGATGGAGACCAATTAAGGTTGAACATCCACCTAGAACTCCAAGCTACACTTACTCACAACTTGAACAATGGACTACGCCTTGAATTGCAAGTCTTGTGCAAGCAAGTTTCACTCAAAGTCTTATCTGGTACTAGACCGTCTGTAGACTACCCCTCGGGTGGAGCGTATAAGTCATACTCCTAGGTCTTTAGTAAGCTTCCTAGAAGATTCACCCAAAATCTTCATGGACTGCGACCAACAGTCAAGCTCACAAAGGTGAGTTCCTTCAAGAATGCTCTGCAGGACAACATCTTTGCTAATTAAAGCCAACAGAACTCATTAAGGCATAGCCAACCTGCCTTGCAGCTCACGAGAGTATATGCATCTTCACTTAGAGAGGGTATATATATTGGTACTCTCCTCTAGTTTATTAATGGTTTGTTCTTCCCAGGATCTAATTCACGGGATCTCCGATCACATAGACTGGGTTACCACCATAGTATAACTCACATGGGTCTCAAACCCATCTCCTTCGATGCATTGTCTATCACATTTCGTGATAGTCCCTTCGTGAAGGGATCTGCCAGGTTTCTCGCTGTTTGGATGTAATCCAACGTTATAACTCCGGAGTTTCTTAATTTCCTGACAGACTTCAATCGTCTTTTCACATGTCTAGACGATTTCATATTATCCTTAGAACTATTCACTTTGACAATTACCGTTTGATTGTCACAGTTCATAAGGATAGCCGGCACCGGTTTTTCAACAACAGGCAGATCCATTAATAGATCACGCAACCATTCTGCCTCAACAGTAGCAGTATCCAGTGCCGTTAGCTCTGCTTCCATGGTTGACCTCGTCAAAATTGTCTGTTTGCAAGACCTCCATGAAACAGCACCACCACCCAGTGTGAAAACATATCCACTAGTGGCTTTGATCTCATCCACATCAGAGATCCAGTTAGAATCACTATAACCCTCCAGTACCGCAGGATACCCAGTATAGTGAAGCCCCAATTCCACAGTACCTTTCAGATAGCGCATTACTCGCTCAAGCGCACGCCAGTGATCATCTCCCGGATTAGAGGTAAATCGGCTCAACTTGCTCACAGCAAAGGAGATATCAGGCCTAGTTGCACTAGCCAGGTACATCAACGAGCCAATGATTTGGGAGTATTCCAGTTGATTCCTAGCAATTCTCTTGTTCTTGCGAAGCGACAAGCTAGGATCATAAGGTGTTGGAGAAGGCTTACTATCAATGTAGCCAAAGCGATTCAAGATCTTCTCCACATAATGAGACTGCAAGAGTGTAATCCCATTCTCACCTCTAATTAGCTTAATGTTTAAAATAACATCAGCTACTCCCAAATCTTTCATATCAAAATTTTGAGACAAGAATGATTTAACCTCATTTATCACCTCAAGGTTTGTCCCAAATATCAGTATGTCGTCAACATACAAGCACAAAATAACTCCCTCACCCCCACCATGGTGATAGTACACACATTTATCTGCCTCATTGACTGCAAAGCCTGCAGATGTCAATGTTTTGTCAAATTTCTCATGCCATTGCTTAGGAGCTTGTTTCAGACCATACAAAGACTTCAACAATTTGCACACTTTGCCTTCTTGACCTTCAAGTACAAACCCATCAGGTTGATCCATATAGATCTCCTCATCCAGCTCTCCATTAAGAAAAGCTGTCTTAACGTCCATTTGATGAACGAGAAGACCATGTGAGGCTGCTAGGGAAAGTAGCACACGAATTGTGGTCAATCTAGCAACAGGTGAGTAAGTGTCAAAGAAATCTTCGCCTTCTTTCTGAGTATAGCCCTTAGCAACAAGCCGAGCCTTGTACTTTTCAATAGTACCGTCAGGCCTAAGCTTCTTCTTGAACACCCACTTGCACCCCACAGGTTTACACCCATAGGGTCGCTCTGTCACCTCCCAAGTCCCGTTAGCGATAATGGAATCCATTTCACTACGGACAGCCTCCTTCCAGTAGTCTGCATCAGGAGATGCATATGCTTCTGAAATTGACTTAGGAGTGTCATCCACGAGGTACACAGTGAAATCATCACCAAAAGACTTAGCCGTCCTTTGTCTCTTACTCCTTCGAGGAGCTTCACTGACATCCTCCTCAGAGACAAGTTCATGTGTATGTTCAGTTTGTTCTGGTGGTGTGATTGAACTGGGAATTATTTCAGAGGGTTGGTTCGAACCACTATGTGTATCCTTCATTGGGAAAAAGCTCTCAAAGAAGGTAGCATCACGAGACTCCATAATTGTACCAACATGCATGTCCGGTACCTCGGATTTAACTATTAAAAATCTATAGGCAATGCTATGATGAGCATATCCCAGAAAAACACAGTCCACAGTCTTAGGTCCAAGTTTGCGCTTCTTCGTTATTGGTACATTGACTTTCGCCAAGCACCCCCATGTGCGCAAATAAGAAAGTGATGGTTTTCTACCAATCCATATCTCATATGGTGTTTTGTCCTTATTTCTGTTAGGAACTCTGTTTAACACATGATTTGAGGTCAACAATGCCTCCCCCCACCATGCCTTAGGCAGTCCCGCGGTGTCCAACATGGCATTCACCAAGTCAGTCAGTGTGCGGTTCTTCCTTTCAGCAATCCCATTAGACTCGGGAGAATAGGGAGGCGTCCTCTCATGTATGATGCCATGTTCCTCACAGAATAAGTCAAACTCGTTCGAGAAAAACTCTCCACCACGATCAGACCTAAGCCTTTTTATCTTTCTGTCAAGTTGATTTTCAACTTCTGCCTTATAAATTTTAAAATAGTCTAGAGCCTCGTCTTTCGTTTTCAACAAGTACACATAGCAAAATCTAGTAGCATCATCAATCAATGTCATGAAATATCGTTTTCCACCCTTCGTCAACACCCCATTCATTTCACAAAGATCTGAATGTAGGAGTTCTAGTGGTGCCAAGTTTCTCTCCTCGGCAGCCTTGTGAGGCTTGCGAGGTTGCTTCGATTGCACACAACTATGGCACTTAGAACCTTTGACAATGGAAAACTTAGGAATTAAACACATGCTGGAAAGCCGAGACATCAAGCCAAAATTAATATGACATAAACGTGAATGCCAAACATTAGCCTCATCATCCACACTGCCACAAATATGGTTCACAGACTTATTGCAGAAATCAGAAAGGGAAAAGCGGAACAGGCCTCCGCACTCATAACCTTTACCAATAAAATATCCATGTTTAGACACGACTACTTTATTAGACTCAAAAACCAACTTAAATCCGTCTCTAGTCAGACGGGAGCCACTAACAAGATTCCTGTCGATAGAAGGGACATGCTGCACGTTCTTCAGCTGCACGATCTTTCCCGAAGTAAACTTTAGATCTACCGTGCCAACACCATGAACAGAAGCATGTGACCCATTCCCCATTAGGACGGTGGAACCCCGTGCGACCTGATAAGAAGAAAACAATGAGATGTCAGCACAAACATGTACATTGGCCCCAGTATCAACCCACCAATTAGTAGATTGATTAACTGAAAAAACAGTAGGTAAATTACCATACCCGCTTCCATCTCCAGTGTTGCCAATGGTCACATTAGCAGACTTAGAAGTCTGCCCTGCAGGTGCCTTCATCCCCTTGCGTTGTGGACACTTCCTAGCCAGATGACCAACTTGGCCACACACAAAGCAAGTCCTCTCATCCTGATTAGGATTGTTGTTGTTCTTCTTCTGCTTCTTGAAGTTGGTGGTCTGCTGAGCTTTGTATTTCCCCTTGCTCTTGTTCTGGGCCTTGTGCACAACATTGGCACTGGACTGCCCACCATCGCCCTTAGACGCGGCATCTTTTTCCCGAGCTTTCTCCTCAACATCAAGAGACGCAATCAACCCCTCAACGGAGTATTCCTGTCTCTTGTGTTTGAGTGCAGTACCGAAACTCCTCCAAGATGGAGGTAGTTTTGCAATAATGCACCCGGCCACAAATTTGTCGGGTAAGACACACTTAAGGAGTTCGAGTTCCTTAGCCATGGTTTGTATCTCATGAGCCTGTTCGACTACAGAACGGTTGTCAGCCATTTTGTAGTCATGAAACTGCTCCATGATATACAGATCATTGCTAGCATCAGTAGCACCGAATTTAGTATTCAGTGCATCCCATAACTCCTTAGCGTCGGTCATATGCATATACACCTCGACCAGACGATCGCCAAGAACGCTAAGAATGCATCCCACAAAGAGAGTAGTGGCTTCCTCGAATTGCTTCTGCTGTTCAGCAGTAAGAACTCCTTCAGGTTTGCCAGTACTCACCCAGAAGCATTTCATAGCTGTCAGCCACAGAGTGACCCTGATCTGCCATCTCTTAAAATGCACACCGGTGAATTTATCCGGCCTCAGTGCATCGGCAAAACCAGCCATAGTAAAATCACAGTGCCTATAATAAGGTTTTTGGATTGTTGAGATTATGGGCATATAATGATTTAATTTATTCCATAAATAAATCATGACATTACAGATGAAAACTAGCATGAACGCATCATTAGATCTACACATGTAAACTACGTAGAAAAACATGAACAGATCAAATATGCGCAACATATTGAACACGTACCGAGGTGACGAAAAGACCGGCTGCTTGGTCGAAACTTTTCGCAGGTGTCTACGAAGGCACGAAACACGCGAGCGAAGAGGAAGGCGAGCCGTCGCGAACGAACAGGGAGCAGTCGCGCGAAGCGCTTCCCAAAAACCTTATTGCCGCCTTCTCCCGGTGCAGGACGTCAAAGGCAGAGGTTCCGGAGACCTGCTCTCCCGATCGCTGGTGCACGCCGGCGAGCGGGATGGAGTAGTCTACGAGCGACGGCGCAGTACAGAGTAGGAGGCAAACCCTAGATTGATTTTCGCATATATTGCGTGAAGACGGCGGGTCGGTTTATATAGAGAAGGGTCGCTTGATCAGGGCGCCCGCACGATCTCTACTGCGCGTAACCGAACCGGATAAGTCGCGCGTAACTTATCCGGACTCCACGCCGTTTGCACGCATCGGATTTTTCGGAACGTTTCCAAAACAAAAACGAATCCGAATTTGCAGCAAAACAAAACTGCAAAAGGAGGCTGCATCTGCGCAAGGGTGAGGAGCCAATTTTTCGGACCATTCGACGCGTACGTCGTGCACGCGCGCCCCCTGCCCTGCCCTGCCAGGCGAGGCGAGCGAGCGCGCGTGTGTTTCCCCTCTTCTCTCCACCACACATGCTTCAAGTGGCTAGGAGGGCATCCTCCCTTTTAAGGAGGTCCCCCTCTCCTAGAATAAGCAAGGTGGTACTAAACTCCACATGCATGCCATCCTATGAGGTGGGCTTTTGTGATTTTCCAAAGAATTAATCTTCGAGTGGGCTAAGGCCCATTCATTAATTCCAACACTAGCTAGTAGTTTGCGTCATTGATTCTCAAAATTTTCATACAAATATACCCCCTCCTCCTCACATCGATCTCTTCAAAATCCTTATATTATGGGATGGATGGAGTAGATAGATACTATGTAGTACCAGTGAGCAATGATAGTTGTGATGTAGACATGCATCTGCATGCCACAGCTAATTACACCCTCGTGTTGATGTAGTCACGTAGATGTCAGCGTTAAATGGATGTTTTGATGTTTTCTGAAGTTGTAGTATAGTACTCCGTAGTAGGTCTAACGTTGCATTCTTAATTAACACTGCATACATATCACTTAAGATATTCCTAGCTTAGCTACCGTCCACATACTTGAGGTTCCTAGCTAGATGACAATACTACGTGCAAGCCATTGCAGGAGCTGAATATCTTGTAGTACTTGCGCATAGTTGCATGGTCCAGAAAAACAGATATCCAGTACATCTCTCGTTTTCTCCCATTAATTGCAGAGTACTGGGTATCTGATCAGTTAATGAAATCCGCAAACTGCTGAACAACCATCTACCTGTAGATTTCAATTGAGGATTTGGACTAAGATAATATACAAATGGTTTTTAGGTACAAACTTCAGAGAAACTGCACTTGCACTGGTTTTCTATGAAATTCAACCACTCAGTTTTGTCACCGAACCATTTGAAATGGGTTATTTGGATTATTTTCATATAAGGATAAACTAAATACTTTTAGAAATAAACTTACTTAACAAAATAACAAATACTATGCTGAGTGAAGAAGTATAGTGCTGTAGAATAAGTAGTTTAGAAGCAATATCATAGAAAAAAAAGTTTTTCGAGAAAACATTTCTTTTTAGACGTGGAGTAAATAATCTAATATAGTAATTGAAAAGCACTCTCTTCGTTTTTTTAATGAATAACACTGTTCACTTTTAAACATATATTTTATCATTCATCTATTAAAAAAATTTTATGTAAATGTATAAGATATAAATCATGCTTAAAATACTTTAAGTGATAAAACAACTAACAACAAAATAAATTATAATTACGTAAATTTTTAAAAAGATGAATGGTTAAACATGTGATAAAAAGTTAACGGTGTCATTTATTAAAAAACGAACGAAGGTAGTAGATGCTTTTAATTTACTTCTGAACTCACTAATTGAGTTGATGGGTGCAGGGGCGCACACGATCGGCATCGCGCACTGCAACTCGTTCAGCAAGCGGCTGTACAACTTCACCGGGAAAGGCGGCCCCGGCGACGCGGACCCGTCGCTGGACGCGGAGTACGCGGCGAACCTGCGGCGGAGCAAGTGCGCGGCGCCGTCGGACAACACGACGATCGTGGAGATGGACCCGGGCAGCTTCCTCACCTTCGACCTGGGCTACTACCGCGGCCTCCTCAGGCGCCGCGGTCTCTTCCAGTCCGACGCCGCCCTCGTCACCGACGCCGCCGCGGAGGCCAACATCGCCAGCGTGGTGTCCAGCCCGCCGGAGGTGTTCTTCCAGGTGTTCGCGAGGTCCATGGCGAAGCTGGGCATGGTCGGCGTCAAGACCGGCTCCGAGGGCGAGATCAGGAAGCACTGCGCCCTCGTCAACGACATCCACTACTAGTATTATCACTAGCTCATCGATCTTCAGCTCCTCGGTGCTTGATAAAATTTCAGTAGAAATATATATACATGTAACTTAATTCGATCGTCATCCTGTTTATTCTCTCTCTCTATGTAATTTTGTTTCCAAATTGTAACTGTTTTATTTTGGAGCAACTGTAACTATTTCTGTATGTGCCCATGAATATATTTCAATTATAGAAAATAATTCACTTTTTAGTCATAGATATTTAATGTTTAGGATAATATTCAGATTAATTATCATTAATATTATATTAAAATAAATTTTAAAATGTTTTGATATATTTACGATTTTACTTTTCTACTAGACAAATTTACGTATATTGATTTTTTAAACTAGAATTTGAGATCCTACTACTAGTTAAAGTTTAAAAAATTAACTAAGTTTTATTATTCTAAAGTTAAATTGCTCCCCTCTTTCTCTCTCTCTCTTAATATCTGACACCATTACATTTTCAACGTACTAATCATTCATCTTACTTAAAATAATATAATAAATTGTCTTATTAAAATTATATAATTATTAATTATCTTGTTATGAATTGTACGTTTAAACATTGAAGATAATCTTAGCATAACTTATATATTCTTGTATTTATTTTACATAATTTAAATAATAAAAAGTAAAACGTATATTTAAAATTCGACGCCATACAATACTGAAAATCAAAGGAGTATTTATGACCATATAATCGTATTTGCACGTGGTCCTCCTTGTCGGCGGCTCGGTGGCTGTCGCCGTCCACGCGCTGCCTTCTCGACAGGGCGGTACTCCACCCGGTAGGTAGGCACCCGTACGGAGCTCGGCTAATCCAGCTGACCATTCAATAATTTTAGATATTTAAATATAAACTTTTGTAGTGAGGCTGTGATCAGTTGTTTTGGCAAAAAAAAAAAATGTATACGACACATATTTAAAGTATTAAACGTAAACTATAAACAAAACAAATTACAGATTCCGCCTGTAAACTGCGAGACAAATATATTAAGCCTAATTAATATGTTATTACTAAATGTTTACTGTAGCACCACATTATTAAATTATGGTGTAATTAGGCTCAAAAGATTTGTCTCGCAATTTGCATGCAAACTGTGCAATTGGTTTTTTTTTGTCCACATTTAATGTTACATGCATGTGTCCAAACATTTGATGTGACGGAAAAGTTGGAAGTTTGAAGGAACTAAACACAGCCTGATTCTCTGAAACTAATAACAGCTTTCAAATGGTCTCCTAAATTCAACTTTAACCATTACTTCTTAAACCAACTAAAAATATAATATTGTGCAATTATTTTGTAAGAAAAAATTGTGGCTTTCATGCATCCAATTTAAGCAATTTACTATATTATGGTAGCTAACGTTTAAAGTTTTTATCAGATAAACAAAACACCATATTTCACTTTGGGCCACATTTTATCACCTATATTTCGCTTTGGATCACATTTCAACTAATGTTTTATTTTGGATCAAGTAATTTTACCTCCATGATGTTTGGACCATCCTGATAACTTTTTTATCCAACTATATCCAATTTATTATATAAAAATAGATTAAAGGATGATCCAAAGCACATATCAATAGTAAAATGTGAAGCAAAGTGAAATTTACTCAAAACGAAAGTTCACTCTGTGAAGTGTCAAATTATCAAATCCCTCCTCCTATTCGTTGTGTTGTAAGACCAGTTTAAAACAATTGATGAAGTGGAGAATTACCAAATTCCCCCTAATCTCTGTCTCCCCCTCCCTCACGGCCTCACCTCTTCTCCCTCCAAATTCTCCATCCCCGGATCCCCCTCTCCTCCTCCTCCTCCGCCGCTCGTCGGAGCCGGAGGCGCGGCGGCCTTCTCCCGCGCCCTTCGTCTCCTCACACCCGCGGCGGCCGGCGAGAAGGCCCAGAGGCAAAGGCGTGAAGCGGCCTCCTCCCCCGGCGCGGCACCCTCGGACGCACGGCGGCCGGTGAGCAGGAGCAGGTTCGGAGGGGGCGACGCGGCCGGGCTCCTTCCACCGGCCAGCATCCTGGCTCGAGTCGAATTTTGAAGGTATTGATTACTCTCGTAGCCTCCCTCCCTCCACCTCTCCGCGATTTCATGAGCCAGTGTAGATTGGGGTTGCAGATCCCCTGGAGTTTGACCTCCAAATCCACCGGGGTGGATTTCAGCTGATGATTTCTATGGATGGCGGATTAAGCAAGTCACTTTGTTCCCCATCTACTCGGGGTGGCCACATCATTTCAATCCTATACTGCTTTGCGACATGTCAATCTGTATCTTATTAGCTTTCCTGGGCTATCAGTAGTTGACAACCAGAACTTGATTGGAGAAGAAACATCTTGTGTGAAATACATATGACACTGGGAACATCATCATATGATAGTTATGTATTACTTACTTTTCAGAAACTTGGGGCACCAGTATTTACCGCAATTGATTGAATACTAGTACTCCCGACGGCAAATATAAGGAAAGGGTGGGAGTATATTATTAGCAGATCAACAGCGAAAATTATAAAATACGGCACAAGCATTATGCCATAACTTAAATTATTCATTGTCTTGTCAGTTATGAATGTATAGCTCATTATGTGTGGGATTAGGGAAGAAGAGGGTGACATGGGCAAATGGCTACATCTAACGCCTAAAAAAGAAGTAATGGTCCAGATTTGCGTAGGTGGATTTGGAACCAACTCTAGGGGATCTGCACCTGTAGATTGGAGATCCATCCGGACTTTGCTGGAGAAAATTTTAGAGTTGAGCACCCTTTAGGTCTGCACCTGTTTCTAGATGTTCAATTCATTGGAAATTGATGACCCAACTGATGGGCAAACACATTTGTGAATTGAAAAAAAGATTGCATGAGTACTGATTAGGAGCTATGTTAAAACTCAGCAATACAGTCTGAATTAAGGTTGTTTGTGTGATCATTCGGACACAAATGATGTGCATGATGCCATGACAACCTGTTCCTTCTGCAATCTAATTTCCTTCTAGGACTAGATAACTAAAGCCATAGTTTCCATGTGAAACTGTTATTTATTGTATAATGCTAAATGGTAAGATTTTCGTATTGATAGGAAGCATGAAGGTTGATGATGGTCCTGGCGTCAATGGCAGTAGGTGGGCCAAAATGATGAGCACAGATTCGTGGAGGTGGTGTTTAGGATTGATTTACATTGTTGCTGTTGCGAGTATATGGATTGCTGCAAGCTACATTGTTCAGTCTGTTGTGGATGAGGGTGTTTCTCCATTCTTGATTACCTACATATGCAATTCTCTATTTGTTATTTACATCCCAATAGTTGAGGCTGCACGATACTTTGAGGATTCTATCAACAACTTTTGGACAAAGTTGAAAGGCAAGGATGTTGCGGACCTGGAGCAGTCTGCTGATCTGGAGAGCATAAATCTTCTCCATGGAAGTGAACAAGAGGGCAATACAGCCTCACCAACAAGGTTGCCTGAAGACATATTGGCTTCAGAAGCAGTCTTCCCTGTCCAGGCCGAGCTGAATGTAGCAGATGGCAGCAAAGGGTTGGATGCAAAAGGGCGCTGGACACGTGCTCGTGTGGCTAGAGTCAGCATGGTAGTCTGCCCTTTCTGGTTTCTCGCTCAGCTTACATTCAACCTGTCTCTAAGATACACCACTGTTACAGTAAGTGTTACTAAGGCCTGCATTTCCATGCCATTATTTAACCTCGCTCCTGTCCATTGGTAACATGTCCTTGTTTCTTTGTACCTGCAGTCAAATACGATATTGAGCAGCACGTCTAGCCTCTTCACTTTCTTGGTTGCACTAGTATTTCTTGGAGAAACATTCACGTGGTTGAAACTAATCAGTGTACTTCTCTGCATGGGAGGAACGATAATTGTTAGCCTAGCTGATTCAGGTAGTACAGCGAATACCATTGCCACAAATCCTCTACTTGGAGATGTCCTTTCTATTGTTTCAGCTGGATTGTATGCTGTGTATATCACCTTGATACGGAAAAAGCTGCCTGATGAGAAAGAAGGTCAAGGCGAAGTGAGCATGGCTCAGTTTCTTGGATTCCTTGGACTGTTTAACATGTTATTTTTCTTTCCTTTTGCATTGTTCTTGAATTTCACCAAGCTGGAGCCATTCCACAGGCTGACATGGGAGCAAGTTGGTCTTATTGTTGGAAAAGGTAGGTTTGCAGTTTACGCATGACCATAATGTGAGCTATAATAATGCATTGTGTTTGTGTGTGTAAACCTTTGCGTTGTTTTAAATATAACATTGTAGGAAGTCATAACGGAATAACTTCGTAAAAGATCATAAAAGCTCAAACTATCCATGGACTAGCACTAACATCAAGCTGTTGTGTTCTTTACAGGTTTGTTAGATAATGTTTTGAGTGACTACTTGTGGGCAAAAGCAATCCTTCTCACAACAACAACAGTAGCCACGGCTGGTCTCACGATCCAAGTTCCAATTGCTGCCATTGTGGATACACTAACAGGTCATGCTCCTCATCTATTGGACTACATCGGAGCTGCTGCTGTGTTGGTCGGTTTTGCTGGCATCAACATACCTGTAGGCACTCCACAGGGTTCTCAGCAAGAGCAGGAAACTCCTATCGTCAGTATGGTTGATGATCCAGTCCATTTACCAAGTGATAGAAATGCTACTAGCATGGTTGATGATCCAGTCTATTTACCAAGTGATAGAAATGCTACTGGTGCTGTTCAATAAGGACCGGCTTGGCTTTGGAGTTTGTCACAATGTATATTTTTTTCGAGGAAAATTTTCATAATGTATATTATCAAGTAATGTATAAGGATGCGAGATCAGTACAGTTACTGTAATTGTTCCCCCTTGCCATGAAAATCATAGAGAAGGGGATAGACAGGGATTGAAATTAGATTAACATGCTTTCCTTGCTCATAATTTTGAGCAACTAGCCAGTTGTGTTCGTTTTTGAGTTAAGCATGATTATGAAAACATTCAAGAGATTGAATAGAACATGTGTGTACTAAACATTCAAACCACTCGTGTTCTTTTTTCTTTTTTTTGTCGGGAGCTTAGATCACACTCACTTTCAAGAGATTGAATAAAACATGTACCTTTTGAGTCGGGTTCTATCTATTATTTTGAGTCGTTCCGCCCATAGGGTGGTGTCGTAGATGCACCTTGGTAAATGCGATCATCTTCTAGCAATGAGCCAATGAGAAGTTGAGAACGCTAACCAAGAAGCCACTTGAATTAGGAGGCAATGCTAATAATCCTGATGGTGAGGAGTGATGCTTTAGGAAAACAAGGGAAACAAAGCAACAAGCATTATGCTTGTCTTTTTCGCAATCCCTCTCGCTGATACTCCCTTCCAAATATCCCTCGCTGACGGGTGATTCTTTTTAGTGAAACACTTGCATTGTGCTAGTTCTAGATTAAAAAAAAAAAAGGTTAGAATAACTTTCGCTGGCTGTCGTCCGCTGCCGCGCCATCGTCTCCCCCCCCCCCCCCCCCCATCTCGTGCAGCCGTCCGCCGCCTTGAAGCCACCGGCGTCGCCTCGTCGGCGCGCTACATGATCGAGCACGCCTCGGCGTCGGAGGCTGCGCCGAAGCTTTCGTTGCCGCCGCCGCCGTAGAGGTCGTCGTTGCCGCCGATGTCGCCGCCATTGGTCCCGATGCTGCTGCTGCCGTCGAGTCCGCCGCCGCCATTGGCGCTGTGCCCGCCACCGCCGTTGGCGCCATAGTGATGGTGATGATGGTGTACGGTGACGTCGGGTCGACCGTCTCCAGCCGGCGGCGGACGCGGACGATACAGAGGAAGCGGCGGCGGTGGCTTCTTCTTCTTCTTCAAGCTCTTCCAGCACTGGCTCCGGTAGATGTAGGCGCCACCGCACGCCGAGAAGAGAGACGCGATCATCGTAACGAACACTTGAACCCATGACCATGACTTGCAGTTGCAGACGAACACGCGACGCTCATCCCCGCCGGAATGGCCGTCGCCGCCAGAACCATCATTGCCGCCGCCGCCGCCGCCAGTGCATGCAGGGAAGCCAGCATAGCAGGGGAGCGCGGGTGGAGAGAAGTACGAAACGTCTGGTGGAGAGTAGAAAATGGGTGGAGGTGGCGGCGGCGGTGAGAGAGGTGGTGGGCAGAAGATCGCAGGGGGAGGGGGAGCACCGGAGATGATATAATCCATCTGAGCTACGCGGTGGAGAGGATGAAGCTAGGGCGACAGAGTCGCGGAGAGAGAGAGACAGAGCGCACGCCGGCGAAGAAGAAGATGGGAGGGTTTTGTAGTCTTCCTCCCTCTGCTCACGGTGGGCCAAAAAAAACCCAGCAAAACAGGGTTTCCTTCCCAGAATGTGTAGGTTCCTCCCTCTGCTCATGATGGGTCAAAAAAAACCAGGTTTTCCTCTTCTCATAGTGGGTCAAAAACCTAGCAAAACAGGTTTTCCTTCCCAGAATGAGTAGGTTCCTCCCTCTGCTCATGGTGTCTTGGTGTGTCCAAAACCCAGCAGAACAGGTTTTCCTTCCCAGATTAGAATGGGTAGGTTGGGCTAAAATTGACCCACCTAGCTCTGCTGCCTCTGCATCCCCAGGCCAGCCTCTCCAGGCTCCACTATTCTCTTGTTTTGGGCCTGTTCTTTCTTTTCTTTTCTTTTTTTTTCAAATGCAGCATTAGGCCACTGGCTTCCATACTAGTGCTATATATGGAGGGGGGAGGGAGGTATATATGGATGGTTGAATGTGACACCTCTTGGAGCATCTCAACTGTTTATTCCGATCATCGAGCCAAAAGGCCAGTACAGGCCAAGGTTTAGATCAGCTGAAAGAGACGCTTCAGATCAGTTGAAAGAGACAGGGTCTTTCTGATAGAAAAATATATGATGACGTGCCATGAGCCTCTTAATATCTTGTACTAGTGGCTAATCAAATATGGTTAGATTTGGAAGTGGCCTGCATGGTAGTGGCACACCGGGCTCTCCTAGTACTTCTCTCGGCAAGAGTGACATTGACGCTGGCACTACAAACTCATCCGCTGACTGCTGGATCATCATATGTTGACCATCATCATTATTTCTATATAGCAAATCTTTTCGCAATACCATTATATAATTTTTTTTCGACATGAAACTATATTACATCTTCACATGATGAATGCTGTATAGTAATACATACGTTATTCGTTATAAAATGTTTTCTTATTATTATCTAAAAAAAGGTTTTCTTATTGAAACATAAGCTTATTGCTAACAATACAGTAATAGTATTAGAAGTACTACTACCGCGTTTGAACAAAATATCAAATTACTCCTCTAAACTATTGTGACAATTTACCAACTGAACGGTTACACCAGGCTACCCAAACTCGTTAATCCAAATAAATTATCCTTTGAACACTCTTTTAGGCGGTTTTGGCATGAGATGACACACATGGTGCAACCGGCACTCTTATCAGTATAATAATAATAATAATAATAATAATAATAATAATAATAATAATAATAATAATAATAATAATAATAATAATAATAATAATAATAATAATAATAATAATAATAATAATAATAATAATAATAATAATAATAATAATAATAATAATAATAATAATAATAATAATAATAATAATAATAATAATAATAATAATAGAACCCACATGTCAGATCTCTCCGCCTTCTCTATTTCTCTATTTCTACTCAACAACAGGATAGACGAGGGAACTCAGCAACGGTTGAAGGTAGATTGGAGCTCAGGCAATGCGATCAACGGTGACAACGGTCTTTGAAGCAAATCCCTTCTAAAGCACTCACCTCAATGCTGACCAAGTGACCGTCCCCCGCTGGCTGACGAATCTCGCGTAGAGCCTCCTCTCCACCCCGTTGTCACCTTCTCCCTCGCAGCAAAACTAGATGCCAGGACCGACGAGGAGGCCCGCATCCTACTACCTCCCATCTCTGGCTTGGCCTCCTCCTCTGCTAAGGTCACAGCAGTGCTCGACGCCATCTTTGGGGGATGGCACCATGAGGGAGAGAGAATAGTAACGGTATTATTTATAAAAGCGATCCAATAACAACGAAACAATATAGTTTTCACTATGTTAGGATTCAACATGCTTTAATGTATGATATGACTTGATTGCTTATAAAGTCTTCTGGATCAGCAGCGAAGAACAACCAATCTTCCGAAACAATGACGTCTACACAGCAAACGCAAAATTAAAATAGACAAAATTTGCTACAGGACACTCAAAAAACGTATAATTGGTCCGCAAAAACGAGACACGGCTGATGGACACTACAAAAAATGTGTAATTGGCTATAGCATACCGAAAACAATATTTTATAATATCCAGGTCAAAAGAGGTGAGAAATTTTCGAAATAGCAAGATTGCCCCTAGCTCCATCTTCCTCCACCTGAAATCACACACAAAAAATTAGCAGGGAGCAGCCGCCGGCGAGGTTGTCCACGGCAAGAGAGCAAGTAGCGGCGACCGCGCACCAGGAGCGGCCGACGGCGTGGAGGCGGACGCGGTCGGGGAGGGAGCGCGAGGGCGGCGGCGACGGCGGCGCGGAGCGCGAGCAGGAGGTGGCCGTGCGCGAGGAGGCTGTTGAACGCTGGCCGATATGAGGCTTGCTATGGCCGCCGGTCGCTGGGTCTCGCCGGTACACCTACACATCCATGATCTTGGGTCTCGCAATGCACGGCCACGGTGAGGACGCCCTGTCTCTATTTGCCGGCATGCAACGAGCCGGCGTGACGCCGAACGAGGTGACCCTCCTCGGCGTCCTCACGGCGTGCTGTCATGCCGGACTTGTCGAGGAGGGGCTCCAGCAACTCGACGCCATGCCGGAACCTCGCATCGAGCACTACGGCTGCGTCGTCGACATGCTCGACCGCGCCGGGAGACTAGACGAGGCAGAGGAGCTCGTCGCGGCAATGCCAGCACACCCCGACGCGCTCATCTGGGGCTCGCTGCTCGCCGCATGCCGCGCACATGACGACGTCGAGCGCGCCGAGCGGGTGATGTGGCGGCGCACCACCGACGCCGACGCGGACGCCGGCGACTACGTGCTGATGTCGAACACATACGCGTCGAATGGCCGCCACGGCGAGGTGGTGAAGGTGAGGAGGCAGATGAGGAGGAACGAGATCGACAAGGTCCCCGACTGCAGCCTCATCGAGATCGACGGCGTCGTGCACGAATTCAAAGCAATCCCAGCAAATTCCATCCGATAAAAACACAACAAGATTCATCAAAGAACAGGTTATCCGATTGATCGATTGATCACTGTAGATAACAAGATTCATAGAACCAAGGATGCAAGATTTCCACTGGAAATTTTCTACTTCTAGCTGTACATGAGATTTCAGAAGGCATTATTTGGCTTTATTGGTTATTGCTGCAAGAAGTTGATGCTCATTTGGGCTTGTGATTGGCAGCGGCCATGTCGACGGCCGGCCTCTCGACGTCCTCCATGTCCTCCTCGCGGACGAACACAGCCTGGTCAAGCACCGACGGCGAGCCGCCGGCCGCCGCCGCTCCGCAGTGGTCATGGTTTTTGGTGCCGGAGACGGCGGCCTCATCCGCCAGACTCGTGGTCGGGCACCCACGCGTCCTCCGGGCCGCCCTCCACCGTCTCGTCCTCCGGGAGCGCCTCCACGTTCTTGCGGTTCAGCGCCGCCTCCACCTGCGCTCCGGCGACGCCGCCTGCCGCCGTGGACGCCCTCCTACTCCTCCTCCGGCTGAGCCTGGGTGTTAATCGAATGTACGCGTCAAATGGTTTTCGGTGCTGATGTCGAACACGTACGCATCGAATGGCCGTCGCCGGCCTCACGCGTAGCCGCCTCCTGCTAGCGCTCCACGCCACCGCCCTCGCGCTCCCTCCCCGGCCCGACCGCGTCCGCCTTCGCGCCGTCGGCCGCTCCTGGCGCGCGGTTGCCGCTACCCGCTCCACAGGACAAACTCGCCGGCGGCTGCTCCCTGCTCACAGGTGGAGGAAGATGGAGCCAGGGGCAATCTTGCTATTTCGAAAAATTTCTCACCTCTTCAGACCCGGATATTATAAAATATTGTCTTCGGTGTTCTATACCTAATTACATAATTTTTTGTAGTGTCCATCAGCTGTGTCTTGTTTTTGCGGTGACTCTCAGCCAATTACAAGTTTTTTGAGTGTCCTGTAGTAAATTTTGCCATTAAAATATATTCCCTCCGTTTCAGGTTATAAGTCGTTTTGATGCTCTAAGTTTAATCAAATTTGTAGAAAAAATAGTAATATTTTTAATCCAAGACAAATATTTTTAATGAAACTAATTTGATGTTGTAAATATTACTAATTTTTTTTATAAATTTAGTCAAATTTTAAGCGTTGTAACATGAAACGGAGGGTGTCGGTGACATGGGGCCGGGGGTATCGTGACTAGAGGCTTGGGTAGCCGCGGTCACCCACGTGGCCTGACCCCCTCGGGGGGGTCGGGCCCGAAGGAGACGTGGCCACCCCTCCCTCTGTCTCCCCGAGGGGTCGGGCCGCTCCCGTTTCGGCCCCGAGGGCTGGGGCGCCCCGACCCCCTGTGGTTTTGGCGCCACGTGTGTGGGTTAGGTGAGCACAGCGGCGCTCACCTAACCGCATTTATAGCGGGCTAGACGAGCGCGCCACGCCGCATTCAATGCGGCGCAGCGCATGCTTATCCGGTCTGTGACCAGTCGCGGTATATGACCGGTCACAGACCTGTCAGATCGCGGGTTAGGTGGCAACAGGCGGCCTGTCACACGCCTCGCCCCGTCCCGTCGGAATGATGAGAGCTTCCTGGCTCTCGTCCCTAGCCGGAGCCGGCGTGCCAACTCCAGGAGTGGGTATGTCAGTCCCGGTCAGATTCATTCCAGGCTTCAGCGCAAGTATGGCAAGGAAGTCGCTGGCCAGTAAATGAAGGTTGAAGTGGGCATCCCCGGAAAAAGCGGGCGGGCGGAGAAGGAGGCGTGCGTACTGCTTGTCAGAGGTCATTTCCGGCTGTAGATTAGCCCTCATTGTAAAAAGCATGTTTCTTTTCTGAGGTAGCGAGAGGCCCGTGTGGTGACCCCTAACCAGATAAAAAAAGAAGGCCCAGGCCTAAAGAGGGAGAGAGGAGGTCGAACTCTGGGGAGGGGATTGGAGAGTCTGAACTCTCTCTCGCTCTCGAGCTCTCTGGCTCCAGAGCTCTCTGTATTCCTTCACACACAGATCCACCAGAACACAGGAGTAGGGTATTACGCTTCTCAGCGGCCCGAACCTGTCTACGTCGCCCGTGTCTTGTGCATTTCCTCTCTCGCTGACATTCCTCAGATCGAGGGCGAAGAACCTCACTTAGCGCCCCCGGCCGAACCGGCAAAGGGGGGCCTGCGCGGTCTCCCGGTGAGGAGCCCCACGCTCCGTCAGAGGGGTACTAGGTTAAGAAAAACTATACAAGCAGCAAAGCTCATAATAGGTTATTTTCATTGTTAGGAAAAATCAGACACTTAAATGGGTTAATTCGGAATTCAAACGGCAAAGATATTACCAATTGAATTTTTATGGTTGTTAAAATGGATGTTCCAAATTTCTTAAATTATTTTTTATATATTACAAAACAATGTTTATTGCGTCATGTCGGCCCCACGCGGTGCCAAGCAGGTAAGGCTGGAGACCGGCACCGGCGTCCGGCGGCATGGGAGCCAGGGCTCGCCGGCGTTTTGTGCCACAACGGATGATGGAGAGCTCATAGGGAAGGAGAGGAGAGGATGGCGGGCTCACTAATGAGGACTCTACGGCGAGGAGAAGACGGAGGTGGCCGGCGACGGCAAACCCGATGGCAAACTGCAACCTGAGAAGCTTCGGCGCCGGTACGGTTCGCCGCCGATTTAATGCGATTAAGGGCCCGATCGGGTGGGATTATTATGGTTCAAATGATGAGATGGGAGTGGGGAATCGATTTTCGCATTCAAATGGGAGAGGAAACGATCAGGGAGGCCGATGGATGCATGCGGTGGCGGCTTTTAGGGCTCGTCGGCCGCCGGGGAGAAGAACGAGACTCGGCTGGAGGAGGAAGACGCCTTCGACAGGTGGGCCCCACCTGTCGGTGCGGGAGGGGCTGCCCTGGGCTAGCTGGGCGAGGCGGCCCAAGGCGGAGGTGGGCCGGAGAGAGAGGAAGGAAGATGGGCTAGTGCAGGAGGCGTGGCCCACGAGGGGGAAAGAAAGAGAGCCGTGGGACAGCGAGGAGGGAGAGAGAGAGAGACTTTAAGCCGAACGGGAAAGGGATATTATTTTTTCGATTTTGCTATATCTCACCCAAAACATTTTTTCTAGGATCTCATGGTGGAGAGCATGCAACCATTACCAAATGAGACATGTATCAATTTTGTTTTGATATGCACCCAAACATGTAATTACAATGTAAATATGTAAATATGATGTAACTATTATAATTGACCGTAATTATATTCATATGATTTTTATAAAAACATCTTTTGAGTGATTTATAGCTAGTCCCTTATTTTTTATTTTTTATTTATCTTTATCTTTACTAGCAAAAGTGTCCGTGCGTTGCACCGGGTGATTACGGAGTGTGTGTATTGATCAAAAGTGTTGTTTGGTTTAGCAAAAGTGCCCATGCGTTGGAACGGAAAGAAAAGAAAAGAGAATTAAATTAAAACATATTAAATTCTAATTTAATGAAATTTAAATTTTCTACAATATTAATTATACACTTTGAAATTTTAGCAAAAGTGCCCGTGCGTTGCAACGGAATGAAAAAAAAGATTAAATTAAATTAAAACATATTAAATTCTAATTAAATGAAATACACATTTTCTGGAATATTAGGGTATTTTTATGTTGGTAGGTATATAATTAAATTAATGTTCAAGTAAAGTAAGTGTGAGAAATAAAATATTATGTTTGGATTTAATTTTTATTAAATTTTCTATATTAATTACACTCTTTGAAATTTTCTTGGAATTTACATAGCTTAATTGGTAATTTTGGTAATTTTGATAATACAAATATCATTTCAGCATTTATTTAAATAAAAGTCAAAATAAAAATCATTTTTCTCTATGGGCCCTTTTCAGCCCATTTTCTTCTTTAGCCTGCAAGCGCAAAAGTCTACTTAATACCCCCATACTCCTCCTCTCACTTGCTAGTCCACCGGCCGGCGTGCGGCCCAAACCCTCGATCGATCTGAGCCGTTCATTTTGATGGACGGCTCAGATCAATTCCAAATTGATGACCCTAACCCTCCCCCTCCCCCTTCCCCCAGCTGAGCCGGCCACCACCCTGCGCCCAACGCCTCCTCTCCCCCTCCCTCTCTCCCCACCGGCGCCGCTTCCCCTCCCCTCCCCTCCGGCGGTGCCGCTCCCTCTCCCCATCTCCCGCTTCTCCCCCTCCCCCAAGCTGGCCGCCTCCCCCACCACCGGCGCCGTCTCTCCCACCACCGATGCTGCTTCCCTTCCCTTCTCCCTCCCTTCTCGCCGGCATGGCGCGGCGACGACAGGGTGCGGCGGAGACGGCGCCCTCCCAACGGCGGCGACGACGGCGTTGGCGTTCGCGCTCCGTCTCCCGCTCTCCTTCCCGTCTCACCGGCACGGCGCAGCGACGGCGGGGTGCGACGGAGACGGCAGCGACGGCCGTCCCTCCCCCTCTCCCTCTCCTCGTTGGCCTTGACGGTGATGACGCCCTCTCAACGACGGCATTGACGGCGATGACGGCGTCGGCTTCATCCGCGGGTGGATCCGTCGGCGGTGGCGGCCACCGCGGGTGGATCCGGCAGCGGCGGCTCCCTTTGCTGCCTCTCTTTTCCCTCCGGTGGCGGTGATGGCGTCGGCGGCCACCGATTTTTTTTTTTTTTTGCAATTTTTTTCCATGGCTATTGCTAACCGAATCGGATTGCATACGAACATGATGAAAATTAGATGTGATGAAAGGAAAAATACGAATATTTATATTAGTTATAGATTCATAAAAAAATATATTGTCAAATATATAATACTACAGTATCTGCTTATTTCCAATTCACAATTATAAATGATGTGGTGGCACCATGGCAGATTGGCAGCAGTGATGCGTGCCTGCTGCAAGAGACGAATCGTGCCGGCAGCAGTGATGAGTACAAGAAAAATCAACTATACGAAGCTCGGAAAAGAAAAAACCGGAGGCCATCTAGTGGCCCACGGTCTTTATTCTTTAATCCCTAATCCCCGTCCGCTCCCCAGTCCCCACTCCCCACCG